CCTAGTTATAGCGATAGCTTAGTATACTACCCCTTACGTGCGGTCTATTAGATTGTCTTCGTACGGGGTACTTGTTCTATATATATACGAACGAGGCTAGTTCTTTCCGCATAATAGGTATATAGATATACTTTATAGTAATGCGGTTAGCCTTCTTTGCTTTATAAAACTACCCCTTCTTCTTTAAYATTATAAAGAAGCCYTATAATATTAAGATTAGTTAGCCTAACTCGTATAATTAGATTCGGATATAACGGGAGCGTTACTAAAGCATATATAGATAATATGCTCTATATACTTATATGCTATGCCTTAAACCTTCCTCGTATAAGCTAGCCCTACTATGCCTTAATACGGACATTAGTAGTGCTTGTTCTAAACACAAAGCAGCGGCGAAAGCGTACTTTACGCCTACGAATAATCCTTACGTGTTAGTATTAAGCCTACGCTATAAGGAGTGTCTCTTTACTCTTATCTATCCGAATAATACGAGGTACTCTCGTAAGCTTTTTATAAGCTTTCGCAAAGTTAGATAGCATAGATACTATTATACGGGCAGAGGGTCTAAGATAGGTATATAGAATAAACCGTATATCTGCATTAATAGTAGTATAGATCTAAAAGCTATAGTCCTTAAGTTTATAGTGTGTATCTATACTCTAGACTGCATTAGGGCTAGGCGTAATATACTTCCTACGGCGACGTATAAACTTCGTAGCCCTATTATACGGGCTAGCGGGATAGACCTCGCGGGCTATCTCGTATAGTCGCTTCCTACGATATAGTAGCATGTTAGCAAACCCCTTTCTACCCTATAAATGTATATCGTATAAATATACTAACCTACTAAGCGTAAGCCGCGTATAATCGGTTATACGGAAGTGTGTTTGTAGTAATATTGTTTTATATACTCTAAGGTTCGAGCGATTAATCTCCTTCTTTATAATCTTTTTATATTCCTCTTAACGCTTAAGGAACTCTCCTTCTCTTAGTCGTTTCTTAATACCTATACTCCGCCGAAGCCGTATAAAGGTATAGTACTTAATCGTAAATCCCTCCTCGTTTAATTTGTCTACGATATACGTATCTAGTAGAGCTTCGAGGTAGAAGAGTTCGGCTATTCGGATGCGAAGGAGGGGATTATCGTAAAGACTATTCTTTAACGACTATCGGGGTTCGCTACTGTTCTCTACGACGATTATATAGATAGTCCGTTCGGAGGCATATAGCTATTATAAATAGAGGAAGGTTTAAATGTCGGTAATACTCGCATTATTATTCTAGAGTTTAACGACTTTTAGATAAAGATTAGGGGGGATAGAAGGGGAGCGGCCTATTATATAGAATATRCGTATAATAGGGTAGAGGGTAGACGGGAAAGGAATTAGCGTAGTAAGAGGTTATAAACCTTAGCGAAACCTTTRCTAAAAACTATAGGGTTAGGGTTAGGGTAGTATATTTCTTTAATATAGAGCGATAGTAATATAAATCGTAGGATATTTATAGGGACAAATTATACGAACATATAAAGCAAGGAGGAGTTATATTTTAGGTGTAGAAGCAAGTAATTATAAAATAGAAAATATATTTTAAAAGTAGTTTTTAAGTACTACAATTAAGGCCCTCGTAACCTATTAGAAACTCCTAACGCTTAAAGCCGCTAGTACAAAGAACTTAAAAGAGATTCCCTCCTCCCCTAGATACCCTTAACGCCCTAATTATCTCTCTAAAAACTACCCTCTACCCTAATTAAGCCCTATTACTAGTACTCTACTATTCCTATTCTTTAGCGACTACTAGTACGCCTAGACCTCGTTACCTGCGATATACTACGCTTTAGCCGTACCTAATCTCTATCCTAGCGATTAAGCAAGTCCCTACGGTCGTAGCTATAAGCCTAATTATAAAACTTGTAGTTACTATAGATATTATAGAAGTTCTTCTTCTAGATTATATAGCTCTGTTCCCGTTAGTATCGTATACCTTTATACGGGTAGGAAACATACCTAGAAGTTCCTATTACTATTCTAATACCGCTCGTACCGCTTATCCGTTCTTATTTCTTCTCTATTACTATCTACTACTCTCTCGTCGGGGTATACCGTTCTACTGCGATATTATTAGCCGGCATACTTCGACAATTCTCTAATAGGATTGTATAGACCGGCTCTAAATTAATAAAGCGTTAACGTAGGAGTAACGGTTATAGATTTTAATAGCTAGATCGAATATTAGATCTTAAGTTAGGAAGCGACGGCTAGCCTTTAACTCTATTAGCTCCTTCTGCTCCTCGTTAATAGTAAATCCTGCTTACTCGAGCTATTATACGGGTTAGTGCTACTCTTAGAATGTTAAATTCCTAGCTCCTACTCTGTCTACCCTTACGTCGATAATTCTTCTTCCTCTAATAGGACCTCTATCGATTAAAAGTGGGTTAAAGGCCGGTCTAGTAGTTATCCTTACGGTCGTTAAGGTAGTAGGTGTTTATACGGGGGAGTAGGAGGAGGGAGGAGGATATAGGTAGGTAGTAAAGGGGTAGTATAGTAGTAGGAGTAGTAGGTATTAATATTAGTATTTAGGTGTTAATAAGAGTCGCTAAAAGAGCAGCAGGTCTTTATCCTACTACTCTTTTAGAGATCTTACTTACCTATATAGAGAGTTATATAGCTACCCGCGTAATGCTATTATACCTTTACTTTATCCTTACTATTATTACTCTTTAGTACCTCTCCTTTATATATATTTAGATAAGAGTCGCTTAAAGAGCAGCAGGTATTTATCCTGCTACAAAAGTAGCTAGTATAATAGTCCGCGAGTAGAGTAGATAATARAATATATAATTTAATAAAAAGAGTAGAAACTTTCCTATTTARGAAGGAACTATAATATTACTATAATATTATACTAAGCTCCTATTRCGAACTYRTAATAGCTAAAATCGAGATTATATARAAGAAAGAAGAGTACTAATTCTCTATAYCTTATCCCTTCYRACYYTAAGACTTRCTCYRAGACCTAYRAGACTACTTATCCTTTCCTAAACGYAGACCCTTTAACTAATTATCCGTAGCTATACTCGTAATTATTCCGCGCTTAGGTCGCCGGCGTATATTCTCTAGTCTACTATTATACGCCTTTAGCCTCTYCTAATAGGCTCTYTCGCTAGCTATYCTATCGCTATACTAGTAGGTACTCTTAGTTCCCCGCTAGATATAGTTGCTATAGGCTAAGTTTAAATATCTACGCTAGATTGTGTAGCGCTGTTCTCGTTAGCGTCGAACACCTTTATATAAGTAGGAAATATACTAGAAATAGCCCTAGGCCTTTAATTACATTACTATCGTAGTTCTTCCGCTCCTTATAATCTCCGTAATACTCCTCCTTAGTTAATATTATTCTACTACGATATTATTAGCTATTATACTTTAATAATTCTCTAATAGGATTATATAGACCGGCTCGTAACTAGAAAGGCGTCGACGTAGTTCGGACGGTCTCGGATATTATCGATCCTATTAGTAAAGCTATTATAGATCTCGACGTGCTTAGTAGCAGGCTTAGCTATTATCTCCCTCTGCTCGCGGTTAAGGGAGAATCCTATTTTCTTAAGCTATTATACGGGTTAGCGCTACTCTTAAAGTGTTAAATTCCTAGCTTATACTCTTATAAAGTTCTACTTAAAATATCCGTATTCGCTATTATTATCCGGATCCTTAGGGAAAGTTCTAGCCCTCTAGTATTTTGTAGTATCGATATAACCTAGCTATAGGTATAGTAACTTAGGCTTCTTCGCCTTCTTAGGCTTTTATACGGGTAGTATAGAGGAGGGAGGAGGATATAGGTAAGTAGTAAAGGGGTAGTATAGTAGTAGAAGTAGTAGGTATTAATATTAGTATTTAGGTGTTAATAAGAGTCGCTAAAAGAGCAGTAGGTCTTTATTCTACTACTCTTTTAGAGATCTTACTTACCTATATAAAGAGTTATATAGCTGCCCGCGTAATGCTATTATACCTTTACTTTATCCTTACTATTATTACTTAGGTATCGTAGACTATTATTACTTAGGTATTGTAGACTTAAATAAAATTACTTTAAAGAAGGAAAGCGAGGACATTGCACGCGTATATTAAATTACGCTACTTGTTACTTATTGTACGGAATACACCTTCAATTACCGAGGTTCTAATACCCTATAATGCTAGCGTCGCACTATCGCCTAAAAGGATTGTTGCAGAGTTGTTCTTAAAAACGCGCCGTAGTTGACGCGCCTTGAAAATGACATCATCGGGAATTCGGCACGGAATTGCGAGCATTTCCGTTCAAAACCGAGACCAAATCCTTCAATTCCTTCAAAGTAGGATCAAACTTTGTTCCTGTAGACTTCAGGCTGCAGCGCTGCGCCCCAAACGTATTCAAGGTCCAAGTAAAGGCATTTCTCATGCCATGCTTTCCTCTTCATCACCGCTCAAAATGCCCTTCTCCCATCAAGAAAAACGAAGCAGCTTCGAAGACGAGCAAGGATTGCCAATGTACGACACACAAATGRATGATGCTTCCGCTTCGGCCCCGTTATACAATGCACCAAAAGAGGCCGTGAAGCCACCGCTTCCTGACAAGACAGCTTCCCCTGCAGAAGTGTCCGACTTCATCGCACACCTTCTCGTCATCACGCGAGATCTACCGGAAACACGAGCTCGTGAGATTGCATCCAAGTGGGAATTCGGGACGGGACACGAACTTCTAGAAACTTATCCTGCCACCATGTTCCGTAAGATTTTCGGTAGTGAAAGCGGCTGGATGGTCTACAAAGAGGTCATGCTGCACAAGTACGAGACGTCGCATCCTGAACGCAATCAAAGAAAATATGGCAGTAAGGACCATCCGGGAAGACCTCATCGGCCTCAATGGCTGGCTAACCCTTCATAGGTATTGGGCTGGCGATAGGCATTCCTACCATGATCGCTGTGGTCTTTTTTACGCCCCGGATGGTGGACTCACTGGCAATATACCCTCTTATTATTCTGGGCCTGTTCGATGCGCTTGGCTTGCTCGTGTTCTTTGTAATGTAAGTCGGAACGTTGTGAGAGCACACTTGCGTACCGTCGAGTGAAAGAAAATCCCGTGGGAATGAGGGGCCTAATCCATCTACGACATTGAACGACGCACTTTTTGGATTTTACATGCTGACCTTACCCTCTCCCTAGGCTGGTGGCACCGAAAAGCACTCCTTTGGATCTGGTTGAGGGTAAGCTCAAAGACTCTTTTTTCAAAGGCAAGGATTCGTCGAGTTAGCCGAATGGCATGGACAATGTTGCGGCAAACTAGGTCTTCTCCAAAAAAAAAAAGTTGACAAACATGGACGAAAGCACAATCATGAGAACATGTCATGACTGATTATGAGGCTTCCCGCTCACTTTCCGATGCGTCGAAACACACAAGAAGAGCACGGGTAAGAGATGTACGTCTACCTGTCCACGGTCAAGTAGAGTCAACAGGCTATTTATGCTGTTTTGAAAAAAAGGTTCGCTGCATGCAAAGATCATCACCTGTGGAGTAGCGGGTATATGTCACTCGGACAAGAAGGTGGACTTCGACACTGACGCCGCATAGCCTACTAACCCAACCCTAGGTCTACGCCGTACGTTCAAATGTCATTTTTTTTTACCGCTAGCATTGGGAATCTAGCATTTAGGATCTGGCATTGGCATTAGGGCCAGTAAAGGAAAGTGTATCTCTTCTAATGATATTGCAACTCCGCTCAACCATTCATTCCATCGCTGACTAGAAAGCAACGGCATCGGTCAACACACCATACAAATGGTGTTGACCATCCAAAAAATGCCGTCGTAGCTTGACTCCAAATACTCAAAGGCAAAGCATACGTACGTCCTAGAGCTGCGTATAAAACATACCAACCACTAACACCGGGTTCATAGAGCCATCACCACCGGTGCCTCCCGAGATATCGACAAAGTATTAGCCTTTCTTCTGACTTTACTGCTCGTAATGCATCAAAGCCAGCGGAGGGTACATGCTGTACTTAACCACTGGCTGCCGCTAAGCATGTAATATACCATCGTACTCACCACTAGGAAAACTAACCACTATTCAAAAGGAAACATCAATTCATCTCTCATCGCTACTAATCACGCAACAAACGAAACCCCTGTTCCAATCAATCAATCAATCAAAAATCAAAAGAAACAAATCGTCCGAATCTCACAACTCTCCCTAAAAGGCGCATCCTCCCTACTATTCGGATCCACAAAAGCCGAATGCCCCACAAACCGCGCCCTCCCTTCATCAGAATCATACGTCTTCAACAAAATACACTGATCAGATTCCATCTCCGGAAAATAAATCCATCGATGCTGTTCATTAAATTTCATAACATAATTCTCCCCCGTACGATCGCGATATCGGAGATATAATTTGAAGAAATCTTCCGGAGGAGAGGATGTCACGTCGCACATGGCGAGAGGGTTCTCTTCGACTTTGTTGAGGGGTTTCCAGACGTTGATGAATGCTACTCGACGGGTTAGGAGGTCGTCTGCTTCGTCTGGGAGGAGTTGTTTGACGCGGATGGGGGCGGATTCGGAGGTATAGTCGCAGTGAACGAGAGCTACAGGGGCGCGTTGTGTGGTGTTTTTTTCTTGAGTGATTGCTTTGTTTGCGTTGGCGCGAGATCGAATGGTATGGTCGAAAACAAGGACTCGTTTCGCTCCCAGTTCTTTTCTGAGAAGTTCGACAACTTCGGGGTAAAAATCATTCTGTACAGGGGTTTGGTCTTCATCATGGAATTTTTCTTTGGGAAATGTTGTTGGGAATGGTAAGAGGGCGAAACCCTCCTTGTCCACGGAAAATTGCGAGGCTCGATCCCAGCCGTTGTGGACGGTGACGGTACGGGGATCATCGCCGGGTTCATGAGCGGGCTTTTTTACGCCTTCTTTTTCGTAAAAGTATATCTCCGTCAGCTGGTCGGCGAGATCTTGAGAGTAGTTGAAATTTGCTCGYACCTCCGAGCCACCACCGCTGCCGGCTTTGTTGGGCAGTAGAGCTTTGTCGACCGCTCCTTGCGTCTTCTTCCAGCTTTCTAGAGCTTCTACATCGCGGATCCAGCGGGTGATGTTCTTGTGCTGGGCGAGGGGGAGTCGAGATGCCTCGTGGAGGTGGATGGATGAGGCGATTGCCATGTCAACGATGCTTGGGTTGGGACCGGGAAGAACCCACTTGCCAGTCTCACCCAGACGAGCATCGAGGACACCGGCGATCTTGGCGTACTTGGGAGCCTCTGCGTCGATGATGGATTGATCTGCTTCGGCTCCCAGCAGGGGCTTGACAACGTACTCCACAACGTAGACGTAGTTGGTCTGGAACCAGACGGAGGCTTCCCACAAGAGCCATCGGTTGGCATCAGCACGTGCTTTGAGGTCCTTGGGATAGGCTGAGTCGGCGTTGTTGATGTCGGCAGCATACATCAGAATGGCGTTGGACTCCGTGAGAACGAGGTCGCCATCAGTGGCGGCGGGAACGGTCGCCATGGGGTTGATCTTGGTGAAGGCATCGGACTTGTGCTCTCCCGTGAAGTAGTTGATGTAGTTGTAATCATACTACATAATATATTATTAGTTGGATGTTCCAGAATGGACTTGTTGCTCGACACATACCTTCGCACCAATGAGATCCAATCCAGCAAGGACTTTGCGCGAGTTTATCGTGCAGGGATCGAGGTAGATTGCCAAACCCATGATTGCGGTTATTCCCTATCGATGGGACGAAATATTTGGTCTGGAGTTCTAACCGAGAGTGATGCGGAGGTATATATCTTCTTGTACAGTAGTGTGAGGGTGACCTTGTTGGTGAGGGACCATGTCGATCAATATGCTACCCCGCCCCCGCCGACAACACTACGACCATGAGGAGCAGGCCCGGGGAGACACTTCCATGTTGCCGGAAATCAGCGATTGGGGATGTCCTGAAAGGTGTCGGTTGCACGGTCAAGGTCGAGTATGTGCTTCGGACGTGTTACTTGGGGTGAAGTGTTCAGACTCGCATTGTCACGTCTTCCTTCCCACGCAAAGAGCGTGCCACGATAGCGATTGTTAAGTCGACTGGACATTCAAAACCATTCGCCTTCTTTTCTTGTTGTGGATGATGTGCCTTTGGACTGTGCTGATGCCATAGAAGCCACCCTCATACCCTTCTCACTCACCACTTCTCCAGGCCTTGGACTTTTAGCAAGCTTTCCTTCTCGATCAACGCTCTGGTCTTCTGATGGAGGAGTGTTCTCACATCAGCAGCTCCGTATCGCCATTATGGTAGATCATAGTCAATCTCTTCATAGCCGTGGGTCGTCTGCGCCTGCTACAGGTCAGTTATCTTCAGCTCTTCGGGATGCACAAGTACACACCATCTTCAGATTTGATGAAAGCTTGTTCGACGATAACCTTCAGACCATGTGCTGGTTGAAGTTGAATCGGAGAAGGTTGCCTTCTGTTTGCTGCGGGCCATACGGACATCATCGAGCCGTCGCCGTTAGCATCCACGCATAACCCGGGAGTAAGGAGAAGGCTCGTTTGCAGATGTCTTGAGTTTTGCATCTTACGTCTCTCATGCAAGTGTAGAGAGTCACCACGAAGGTCTGGTGGAATCGAATTGGCATTCCCGACGTCTCCTTTGCATGCTCCTATCGTCAGTACGTGTAAACATAATCTTTGACTAGCATCATACAGGCTTCCTCCCTTTTCGAGACTCGGCATATAGACAAGCTCCACAACAGGGCTGAAAAATTCCTAAAGCCACGAGAGCGATTCCTGTTTATCGATCAGCAAGATGTAGGCGTTTGTACCGAAAGTAGAAGAAGAGAAGGAYATCTCCTCGAACGGAACCTCTCGCTCAATTGTCGGACTAGGCAAGTGTGTAAGTCTCAAGAATCCGAAGAACTCCTTCGATGAATGCTAGATCTTCCACGAGCGCTCTGAGATTTGCAATCTATCGGTTGACGAAGGATGAGCGCAGGTGGTAACATTGAGTTTCTTGCTCGCTTGACGGTCTTCATACTTCGATTTGCTGTCAAATTGTGTCAGTGACTAGAATGGTGCTCAGACTACAACGCTACTGACCTGACCAATTCGTTTGACATCATTGTCAATAGCCCGTATCGCAGCCTCTTCGTCCATTTGTGAAATGTCAATTATCCGGCCAAGATGTCTGAATGTTGAGCAGATACACACCTTCAGGTTCTGAGCGAGTTTGCAGAACGCCAAGTACGAGAATGGAAGACTACAAGTGCCACAAGACTCTGTTTGCGGACAGTACAGATATCACCGTGTCATCGCTTCCATGCCTCAAGCGAGACCTCCCAGACCAGTATCCGAGAGCCTTAAAACCTGTGCACCTCCTTCGCATTAATTCCCAATTCCATCAAAATACCACTCTTCCCCACCACAGCAGTCTCCATAGCCGGCGGTCCACAGATCCAAACCTTGGTCCCTTTCGCATCACCCCATCTCCCCTTTTCACACCTCGCAATCACCTCTTCCAGCACATCTCTACTAAAGTAACCCTTTTTGAACTTACTCTCATCTCCCATGCTCGGAGCCTCTGGTTTACCCTCCTCGCCAGAAACAGCGTACGTGACCTGAAGTCTTCCTGGAAACCTTCCTTCCATTTCCTCCAACTCCTTCCTCAGCACGATATCTCTCGTCCCATTGACCGCCCAAAGCAGCTGTATCCTTGTCTTRTCCTTTCGATCATCAAGGATAGCTTGTGCGAGACTGAAAAGAGGCGTGATGCCCGCTCCACCTGCTATGAAGAGCAGATCACGTCGGGTTTTACAAGGTGTGTATGCATAGCCCAGAAATGGACCTCGTGCGGAGATTGTATCTCCGGGTTGCATGGTGTGAATGTATGTTGAGGCTTTGCCTTCTGGGTATATTTTGACGAGGAGTTGGAGGGTACCGCGGTCTGAAGGGCAGGAGATTGGTGTGTAGGGTCTGAAGACTGGGAACCAGCCGTTGTAAGGGGTGTGCTGTGTGAGGATAATAGCTGTGAACGTGTTGTTGGTGGTCGCTTGTCTCGATGGGGAATGAAGGAGACTTACATCCCGCTGGTACACCGCTGATTTGGGAGTCTCCTTCAGGGAGATTGAAAGTGATCTTCTTGAGGTCATGGTTAATTTGCTCTGAGCTCTTGACTGTCAACTCCTTGCTGAAGAGCATGCCCATCGGCATGGAGAGCATCTTAGTGGGTGGATTCTGTGCGGGAGCGAGAAGTTGAGGCTTCGGAGTGGCCATGTTCACTCCAATTGTGAGGGACTACGGCGTCTCCGATGATGTGAGGTACTCGAGGATAGCGGGAAATGATCGACGCCATTTTTCTGTACTGAGAGGGGATGTTGTTTCCTGATGTGAACACTGGGGACAAAAGTTGTGTAATGATGAAAAMAGGAATCCTCGCAAAATGAAATCGCATCAGCTTCTCCTATAGGCGGCATGCACGTCGCACCTCTTCAACATCTTAACAATCTCGGACATTTCGAAAGTGCATGAGTGCGGATAACCGGAAATGACTACATTTCTGTACTCATGAAGCCGCTGATGCGAGCGTGTTCGGAAGCAACAATTCGCACGCGCTGCTTTCGGCGCTTCTGAGACTCCAATCTTGGGATTGCGAGTAACACAAACATGCAAGACGATGGAAGATGGAGAGGAAGAAGACGATGAAGAAAGTTGAAGCTCATGCCGTGCGCTCTCACCTGAGAGACCTCACCTCAGCCGGAACTTTGGATGCCGATTGGCTGACTAGCTCACCCCTGACACCTGACGCCAAGAATCTCCTTTTCCTTCTTCCCAACAACACCTCCATCACCTGCACAATGAACTCGGCCTGTGGTCGCGACTCGTCAACACGCTTGCTCAGTCGAACATGGAGACTGTTGACTGGAGCTGTCTACTTTCKTGCATGCCTTGCAACATGTCGTTTCCTACCCTGTCTCCTTCTCTTCCGCTACTTTGCTCGGATACCTCGCGTCAGCGGTCAAGAATGTGGCAGGAGCTGCCACAGACTGAATGTAGGTCAGCTAGCGATGACATGGAGCTGATAGTGTAGTACTACCACACAAAGAGTTGAACCGTACATGTAGCTACATTGATTAGAAGGCACTTGTTAGATCTTTGCTTTGTCACTGGCTGTGTCCCCATACTCAGCATCGCGAAGAAGCTGGACAACTTGGGTATTGCCATTCTCCTCCGCCACTTGAATCGCGGTCATACCCCGAGAGTCTATGAGAGAAATATCAGCCCCCTTGCGAAGCAACAGCTTCACCACCCCAGCATTTCCTCCTTGCGCCGCTGCGTGAAGCGATGTGCCCAATCCCATCACCTTCCAGTTTGCATATGTAAATGCATTATCCTCCCATTCAATGGAGTTGACATTGCATCCGCAGCGACGAAGGACGAGCTCGACGACTTGCACGCTAGAATGGTCGTTCCGCCGTGCAGCATTGTGGAGCAGTTGGCCTTTGAAGACGGTGCCTTGGACACAGCGATCTAGACATTTCTGTACGGTCCCCAGAGGTGCCTTAAGGACGGCGATAGAGAGCGGCGTGAGGCCGGCTTTGCAAGTCGCGTTTGGATCGGCTCCGTGGTCTAGAAACCACAATATCACCGAGTCGCTGGCTTCAGTGAGCATTGCATATCTAGAAGTATATAAGCATGTGAAAGGTGGCTTTTCGAGGACGGTGTGGCGGACGATAGGAGTGGTGGAGTACACCAATCACTCTCCTTGTTGATGTCCCAGCCTTTGGCAAGGAACAAGGAGAGCGTATCGAGTAGACATTTATCAATTCCGACCCGGAGAACGCATTCGTTGAATGGGATTCCGATGGCAAGGAGCTTGGCAACGAGAGACTCATTCCCCGACCTCGTAGCCATTTGTAGGCAATGTATCAGATTCGCAGCTCGACGTCCCGATTGGATCAGTTGTTGCACCTGATGAAGARCAGCATCGTTGCCGGCTTCACAACTTTCCCACGCTGCCACCTCGTCAGGATCCACGAGGGCTAGTTGTAGAGCTCGTTCCCGAGCCTCGGTGCGTGGTGTGAGTACGCGGAGCGGTTCGAGCTCCGGGAGTTCACCCATGCTATCCGGATTAGCCAGGATGTCCAATAACATGGTCTGAAGATCCATCGCTATGGCGGCAAGTAAGACGGCGGCAAGCAAGACGTGATGAGGAAAGCTGGTGTGTAAGCGGAGGGAGTCTTAGAAGTACAGACTACCGCGCTTCAGTAGCCAATCAAATGTCTCCGACTGGCACTGCCAAACGCGAGACGGCTCGAAGTGGAATAGTATGTCTTAGTAGTCTGTGCTTCTGAGACTGATTTCATATCTAACCTTTTATATTTCCTATGAACGAATTCTAGCCTTGTAGGGAGGGGAAGGTTAGGGATGCTAGTCAATAGTAGATGTTTTGTGACCATTCATTCTAATTCCTTGACATTTCGTATTTAATTTTCTCCTATATACGAATATTGTCATTAAGCGCCTGGTTCATGAAGTGCCATTCCACCCTACGAAACCCCCTAATCAAGTCGAGCTATATCCAACTATTTCTATAGAGAAAGATTCGCGTGGATCTGCAGCACCCTCTTCGTAACATAGGGGCATATCACTACTTGCCAGTTAGTCAAACAGCGACTCTAGGATAGATTTCGACAACAACTCTCACCTCGACATTGTCCTATCCGCGGCGGGCCAAGGGTGGAGCGGTGGTGGAGGGGGCGTCTGTTGGGATTGAAGATTTAGGAGTGCCGGAGGGGTTTGTTGGGTTCGATGGTTTRGAAGGGACGTGGAATTTTGGGGATATTACTTCCGGATCATAGTTGATGTGTGGGTCGAGTGTAAGGTCGTCCAAGAAGTCTGTTGGGGTTGATGCTGGAGGAGTGCCGGAGGGGTCTTTTGGGATTGAAGATTTAGGAGGGACAACAAAGTCCGTTGGGACTACTGGTGGAAAATCATCGATGTTGTCGTGATGGATATATCGATCGTGTGGTACGAAAGGATCACTAAAGAGGCCTTTTGGGGTTGATGCTGGAGGAGTGCCGGAGGGGTCTGTTGGGATTGATGATTTAGAAGGGACGGCAGAGTCCGTTGGGGCTCCTACTGGTGGAATATCGTCGATGATGTGGTCACCTGGTAACCGATCGTCTGGTCCGAATATAGGATCGTCGAAGGGGGATTTTGAGGGCGATGCTGGAGGAGTGGTGGTGGTGGGGTCTGTTGGGATTCGAGACGAGGAGGAGGAAGTCATCGTTGCTGCCGAAGAAGCAGAAGAGGAGGAAGGCATCGTTGCCATCGGAGCATCAGGGTGGGGAGTTGTTGTTGGGCTCGATTCAACATCAGGGTGGGGAGTTGTCGTGGCCACCATGGAAGAAGCATCAGAGGAGGAAGTCATCGTTGCCATCGGAGCAACATCAGAGGAGGAAGTCATCGTTGCCATCGGAGCAACATCAGGGGAGGAAGTCATCGTTGCCATCGGAGCAACATCAGAGGAGGAAGTAGTCATAGCCGCCGCCGACGAAGGAGAGGAAGAAGAAGTAGTCGTAGCCGCTGCTGGCGACGGAGCGATCGTACTCTTCTCAACAATATCATCCATGATGCTCGAGAGCTGCCGATGAATTAATACACATGGCTCTCTTACACAGTGAGGAGGGGGTGTGGGGTTCGCCTTACGAATCGCATTTCCTTCGTATTTTCCGGGGAGTCCACAGCGGCGGGCAACTGCGGGCCTCCGCCAATGTGAAAGCGAAAGCCGCCGGGAGTGGTTTTCATGGTACCCGTCGGCGCGCTCTGGGAGATCGTGAATGTCATGCCGTTGGTGGGGGTGAAAGTCACGTCAGCGATGGTATGGAACTGTACCAGTAAAGATCATGTTAGTCAAACAGTCGTATATACATACATAGCATACATTCCCATCTCTGGAGGTATATCATTTCAAGGRGGGGGGGGGGCTTACTTTGCGCATGAAATCGGACATTTCCGGGGTGTCAGGCTCCGGCATGAAATTCGCCTGGATGTTGACTTGACGCGGAGAGGCGCTGGTTGCGCTGGTGGTGGTTGGAGTCGCACTGGTTGGAGCTGCGTGCCCCTCCGAGGTAGCGGCGGAGTAGGGCATTGCCGTTGCGGCTGTTGCTGCCAGGGCAACGATGAGGGATGCGGGGAGGTGCCTGTAAGTGGGTCGGTTAGTTGAGGAGGGGGAGTGTAAAAGAGGGTGGATAGGGTGAGGGCGGACATTTTGGAAATCGAGTGTTATTGTTCCCGATGTTGTTGGGGGATGAAAGAAAGGTTTGAGGATTGATAGGTAGAGTGAAGGGGTTTTTATATGTCTTCAATCTGTCTGTTTCGAAGCTAGTGGGTGAGTTGTAATGAATGAAGGGGATGTCACGGAGGGCCATGGATCGAAAAGAGTGATGCTAAGCATTCTTGAAGAGGGAAAGTAATAGTTGCTTCTCCTATAAGACATATTATCCCATCATTGCCATTCTCACAAGCGATTCCGCTCCACTCAGCCATCGTAGAGATAACATAAGCAGGAAAAAGTAGTGCCGAACCATAGAAATTCATCCAGTTTAGCTGCATAACTACTTCCCTAGTAGTTTTGGTTGGCTCAAGGTGTCGAAAAGCAAGAGAGTAGAAAAGAAAAGTGTTTTTTCCAAGAGCTTGCGAGTTTGCAAGAAACAAGCTCGCATTCGAAGAATTCCAAGAAACTTGCCTGATTCCGGCTCTTTCCTCCAGCAATAGATGACATGAACATTACACGGAGCCATGGATCTCAAACCCCGAATCCGGTAATTCTTCTTTCTCGCGTGTTCCAAGTATACCTTAGAGGCCATTTTCATTCCCTGATGACAACTCGGGACATGCTATTAGTAGGTAGATTGTAACGTGTGCAAGGAGGTGTTGGCTTCTCGAGGAGTGGAGAAGCCAATACCTCCTTGTCCACGCTAGATGAGAATTCCATTATTTGTTCCCCGACCCACTCACTTAGCTCCAGCCCGAACCACCAACAACAATGTATTCCCATCGAAAAAGAATCAACAAATACCTTTCCCCACCCCTCCTTTTCTCTCCTCCACCCTTCATGTCGTAGTGGAGGGAGGAGTCGTTGCAGGAGGATCTTTAAAGCAGGACAGCATTTCTTCACACTAGAAGGAGGAGATGGATGGTATCAGTGGTCAATTCATTTCATTTCAGCCGTGTTGTGGAAGTGTATGCCTTGAGGGAATGTTCGGTACTGACTTCCTTCTTGTGTGTGGGGAGAATTGGTGATGCAATCACCGCAGCAACGCCGAAAAGGGCGGCGATGAGAGGTGATGAGGGTTTCCTGGATGGGTAGAGAGTGGTTAGTTGGGCGAATCATGCACGGGAGAACTTGGGTGATTGGAAGGGGAGGCGGACATGTTGATGACGATGGTGATTTCTTTGGTGGAGGGTGGAGGGTGGAGGGTGGAGGGTGGAGGGTAGACGGAAGAAGAAGCGGAGGAAGAGGAGCGACTTTTAAAGCAGAAGATGATGGTAATCATGCATGGATTGTGTGGAGAAAGATCGATTAGAGCGGAGAGTAGTGCGGAAGGAACGGTGGAAGAAACTCCGACTCTGAAACCGAGACTGTTGGGTAGAAACGAATTGCTTGTTCGACACAGCTTGTGTGTCGGGTCCGAGTGTAAGGTAAGCAGGGAGGGAAGAAATGGTGGGGCTTGACAATACTTTACAACACCAAGTGACAAGAAGGTGAGAAGCAAATCCATGGTTGAGGTGGGTGATGAGCCGTGGGATTGCCATCCGAAGAGGTGCGCCGCCGTGTTTCCTCCGTTGGGACCTAGCTTCTACTTCTTCTTGGAGTAATCTCTTCGGCATAAAGAGGGGAATGGAAGAGAAGTAGGAAGCTGATGATGGTGGTGATACCTATCGAGCATTGGCTGAGATATTGACAAGGAAGTCATCGGAAAGTGGAGATGAATCGTGGGTATCACGTGACATGGCCTCCTCCTCAACATTCCCCGCTCTGGTTCTGGTCAACATGGCGCTACTCTTCTGCGAGCATGGAGCATGGAATGGTGGAGTGCATGTCATGCAACGAGAGATTCGGGGGATGCTTTCACGGATGTTGGTGATTTGTACAAAGCAGAGTCTTTCCTAATTCATCTGCTTGCTCGCTCCTCGTCGGTCTATCCTTCCTTCATCCTCGCTCCACTCGCATCCTCTCCACTCATCCTCCCACGAATCTAGTGGTCCTTCTTGGGCGCCTTGTTGATGTTGGGGTTTCTGGGGTCGTTCTTGTACTCGTCGGCTGTGGACATGTTCGTGTCAGTCATCCCATCCTTCGAAGTTTCCCCAATATGTTCATCTCCGGGACATGCACGTACTGTTGGCCAGAACACCGGCAAAGGAGCTGATGCCGTATGCAATGATGATTCCTGTGGTGGAGAAATGGTGTCAGCGCTGCCAATTCCTGTCCTCTTTCCTCCAATATCCCAGTATCCCAACATCGCATACTGTCTTCCGCACTGCCCCCTCTTTTTTATAATCTCCCCGCTCTTCGTAGGTCATGATGGGATGATTCGGACAGGCATACCGGCGGTGTAGAATGGCCACATTGGCTTCGCTGTAGGAGATGAGCGTCAGTCTCGGCGCGGGGAGGTGGTCGGCATTAAATTGGAAGGAGTGCACTCACCAATGGGCGCGGGGAACTTCTTTCCGAGGAGACCAGACATTTTGGGTGATGTGATGGGGGATATGAAGGGAAAGGTAGCTTCAGTGTCTGTTCTGTCTTCCACTCAATAGCGCGGAGATGGATGTGAAGTGAGGTTCGCGCTTGATGCCGGCCGGACTACCGAGCGAGCGACGGGACGGAAATCTTTGCCCGACTCGCAGTAACCCTAGCCCTAACCCTAACTCACGCTAATTCTCCAGTCTTTCTCGTCGCAAAACCAGCTGGTGCACATCGCAAACCTGCATCTTCTGTGCCACGATGCTACATCTTCACCACCAGCAACCTAAGTATCCATCTTCAATATTCCGTCATGTCTTCCGTCTATCCCATCTATCTATCTCATTCTCATCTCCGCGGCGCAAAGTCATGCACGGCGTTCGTCGTTTGTCGCCAATTGATGCGAATTCCCAGCCATCCCCGCCATTTTGCGCCCGTCCCAGCCACAACTCCAACGCATCGCATCCCACGCGCTTGGTAGTGTACGGTACATGTAGACGTCGGTGAGACATTTTGCAACATCCACCATCCGTCCATCCATCCACATCCACCTTTCTTCATTCCTATCRTCTCGTCTGGAATACCCGACGCGTGGGAACAGTCCACGTGCGTTGGTTCGTTGGACGGGTAAATCGATTGCTACCGAACATCCCATCTTTGGTTGTTCACATGTCAATGCTTGATTGATATATTCATTGATTGATTGATACATCTTCCTTCAATGGCCAACAACATCCCCACACCGCATTCCGAAGCTTGGGTTCTCCGACAAACGAATGGTGAGTCTCTTTGGGGATATTCAATGATGAATGCATCGTTTCCATCCCAACGATGCATGTATATGCATGCATGACCCGTCGTCCCTGCAGTGTTCAAGCTGACACCCTTCCTTCCTCCAGTCTCCAATCCCTCGGTCGTCATTCGCACCCGACCCTCGCAACTCTCCATTTCCGCCTCGGAGTCGTACTACTCCCTCTCCTCCTCCAACAACTCCACCCGCAGCGCCGACTTGCTGGGTTCCGCTCTTCCTCCCCCCAACATCGTTCGATACTCGACTCCACCCTCACGATACCGAACTCCCCTCCAGTCGCGAGAACTTCTCCCCGCACCCCTTCAACCACAATCCCAGCATGCCGGTGTGCGTGTCGAAGAAGACGCACCCTYCCGAAAAACGCCCATGAGAGGTGAGGGCAAGCGTCGATCCAGCAACACCCAAGACCTCCCTCAAGAACCCCTCCCCTCACAACATCAACAACAACGACATAGCGGCATCCAACGAAAACCCGTGCCGGGCGTCATGGCAGACATGGACCGCATCTCTCCCACCCACGCCCAGAGTTCGGCCGCCAAAGACATGGACCGCGAATCCAACGCCCCAACTCCCGGCCTGGATGACACGCCCTACATTCACTTTGCCCTCGACCAACTCACGCGAGATGAGGAGGTGCGAGGGAGCCGACATTATCCCATCCAAGACCCTCCCACCATCTACCGACAAGAAGCCACCCCCATCAACATTCCCTGGCCGGCGGCTCTGCAACCCCAACACCGCTATGAGACGGTGTCGCAGGAGGAGCACTTCGATACCCCCCGACCACATTCCCTCTCCTTGACTCAGGTCGCTCCCGCACGGAATCCCCATCGTTTGTCCGCCGTCTTGCATCCACAGTCGGAGAGGGATCTGGCCGCTCAATCGGGGCCCAACCTGTTCATTCCCGCTGCACATTCGAGACACACCGACTTCATCCCGGGCACATTACGACCGCTGTACTTGTCCATGTTCCTCGCATCCCTCATCCTGTACATTGCCTGCCTCGTCTTGGCTGCGGTGTGGAGTCGCATCAACACGGGCCTCCTCCGCTACGGTGCCTTCGGGGATGGAAGATATGTCCTCTTCCAATACATTCCCGCTCTGCTGGGAATCCTCCTCTGGTTTGGCCTTGTGCAAATCATCACCGCCGTCTACAGGATCGCTCCTTTCATCGCCATGTCCAACGCTTCCTCCCCGGAGTTGAGAAGAGCGGGACAGACTCTCCCGCTGCAGCCGACGAGTTTCTTCCTGCCTTTTCTTGGCCATTTCCGGGCTGGTCAGCCCGTCATCGCAGTCTTCCTCCTCCTGGCATGGGCGCAGATCTTCACCATTCCTCTTCTGGGAAGCGCCTTCAACGTCTACCAAGATGGTCAAGGCCAATGGCAATGGATTGCAGTGCAAGGTGTCATTTGGACCGTCATTGCTCTCTACATCCTCCTTGCCATTGCTCTCATCGCCCTGACAATCAATCTTCGACACGCCACGACCGGATTGAAGTGGGATCCCCGCAATTTGGCAGACATGATTGTTTTGCTGGAACGCAGCAACGCTCTCGACGACGCACCAGGCGAGAATGTCCCGAAGCTCGGCCATTGGCAATCTGTCCACCGACCCACCGACATCTTCCACACCTGGGGGATCGAGAATAAGCCCGCACGTAGCTACGGTATCGAGGCGGGGAGAATCACCGAAAAGCGCTATTCCAACCCCGACGCCGATCTCGAAGCGGGAGGAGAGCGTCTCTCCAAGGAAGCCTTCCTCCCCAAAGGCACTCGACCTGCATCTTCCTCCACCACCCCTGCCCACCAATCCACCCCGATCCCCTGGTTCTTGACTCCCTTCTGGGCACTCTTGTGGCCTGTGGTTGCTCTGGTCCTCCTTCTCGCTTTCCTCATCGTCGCCTACCTCCCTACAACCTCCCTCCGCAACCCTTTTGCCCCTCTCGTCCCTTCAGCAGTCTCGACATTCGGCTTCAGCGGGACAAACTTCCTCTWTTCGTTCCTGCCGACCCTCTTGGCAATGATCTGCCTGCTCGGATGGATGGACTTGGACTTTGCCACACGTTTGTTGGCTCCGTATGCCTCCCTCACCAAGACCACCAAGACCACCCTCACCAGCAAAAGCGGCCGGACGGAAGAAGTCGGCGATATCGCGGAGCGAACCCTCTTGGTGTCCTACTCCGCAGACATGCCCATCCTCGTCACCATCTCTGCCATGGTGAATCAGCACTATCGCGCAGCAATCACAAGTTTCATCACCCTCGTCGCCGGCGCTCTTCCGATCCTCGCCAGCGGAATCTGGTGGGCGGAATTCTACATTGGAGTTCAACGAGTCGGTGTCTCCACCCACTTGCCAGGCTTCTACGCYCTGACCGTGTTCGTGGTAATCTTCGCTCTCGGGTGGATCTTTTGCAGCTGGCAACCTGCTTCTCTCCGACATTCCGCGCATCTCCTTCCAGAGCATGTGAATACCTTTGCGGGAATCCGAGAGTTGGTCATGGAGAGTCAGATTCTGGACGATGTTGCCTTTCGAGCGCCGATGGGAAGGACAGATCTCGTCACGAGATTACTTGCCGGCAGAGCGCCGAGGGTCGAGAGGGTTGATGGGGTGGAGAGTAAGAGAGGGAGTGGGGATGTGACTACTGCTCAGGGGGTGAGGTATGGAGTTGGGAGGTGGACTGGACGGGATGGGAGGAGCGGGTGGGTGGGATTGGATCGGTGGAGGGGGTGATATCATGATGAAGATGAAGAAGAGTCTGAGATTGTTTGGTTTTTCACTGCTGGGTCGAATTAGCGATGGCGCTTGGGGGTTCTGGGTTTTGGGTGCATCATGAGCGATTGGATGACACTGCATGCACATGCATTGTATTGTATGTATGATGAGCGGGATGGGATGTGAATATGAAGAAAGGAAGAACATGCATGGAAGATTCTGTGCATTGGGGATTTGAACGGAGCATGAGCATGAGCATGAACATGAATGAACAAGATGAAAGAAGTAAGAGAAGAAGGAGAGGAAGGATGCATATAAAGAACATCATGTTCGTAATAGATAATGCTATAGGTAGGAATGAGAAAGGGGTGGAATGAGGAGAAGATGATGATGGAAGCAAAGTAAATCAATGAATTATTTACTTCCAAGAGCAGCACTTCAGTTCAGTTCTCGAATCCACGTCTGGAAATAAATTGAAAGCACTATCATGACTTTGATATAAGTTATCCATCGCTGAACATTGTTGATGTGAACTCTCTTCCTCTCCCTCTCTCTCTTATACACACCGACATACACACAGATACATACACATATCCCCAATATCCTCCCCATTACTTGCAGTGATTTCTCCCATCTTCTTGTCCGAATCTAATTTCGTTGAGAAAACTTCCTTCCTGTAGACCTTTCCTTTCCTCTCCTTTCCTTCCCAAGCCCTATTGGAAAAAACTTCCTTCATCGATATTGGAAGTCAGTCATTCATCCGTCCAATGCCGATCAACATCAATCCTCTCATATAAACTCTCATCAACCGGTTCCCTTTTGAAGAGATCCTTGAAGGCGGATTTGAATCTTTTTCCCAGAGGAGGAGGAGGTCTTGTTTCGATGACTTTGTTCTTCTTCGGCCATTCCTCAGTTCCCTCTCGTTCCTCTCGCTGCTTCCATTTCTCTACTTTGATTGCAGGAACAACAGCAATGCTCTCCCTAGCAGACATCGTCCCCGGTAAAGAAGGAATCATGGATTGTCGTATTCGGGGGGAAGGGCCTGGAGAAGCAGAAGAAGAGATGGAGATGGACCTGGTGGTGCTTGTCCTCGTAGAAGAAGAAGATTTCGTGGATGAGCGGGAGAGATTGTTATTGGAGGTTTTCTCCGGTGGGGGAGTTGGCGGCATTGTGGTGAATGGTGGGGGATTTCGGGCGGGTGGAGGGACGGTATGTGATCGATGGGATCTTGCCCCTCCTCCTCTCCCTGGGATGGATGGTGGATCTCGCGGACAAGTGAAGAGAGGTGCCGTTTGGGGAGTCTGCGCTCTTGATTCTGCTTCTCTGTCTTGATAAACGTGTCGGTCTTGATGTGATAGAGGATAGCCCTGGTCAAAGGATCTGTGGCCATAAGGTCCAAGTCCAGGTCTTGTCGGATTTGAATGCCTTTCTTCATTTGTCGCCCATAGAGATTGCAAGGCCTGGCGTTCTGTAGGATTGAGTGGCTGAGAGTTGGCACTCATGTACGGTACCCTCGCCATATTCCTCCGTTCCCATGGTGGTATTGGGGTTAATGTATCTTCATAACCACGTGGAACATGTCTTTCATTAGATGAGTCAGAAGCAGAACGTTCCATGGCAGCTGTCAGATGGATGCAGTGGAAACGGTCTGATCCACACAGACCACAGGAAACGGTCGTCGGTCCGAAAGAAGTACCCTCTTATGATGAGGAGATGCAGAGGTATGCGGCGCAGTTTGATCGACAGAGATTTGGCTTTTGCAGCTGCCTGCAGCTCCACAAGCACGCTATCGAAAGTCTTGATGAACAAGTCCTGGGCCTGTAAGTGTTGGGTTTTTGCTGGCCAACGCAGATCCCTGGTCTGGCTATGCTTGTGGTAACATGTCCGCGAGAGCAATCCCAACGTCAACTGCAAAAGAGATATGGAAGAAATCAGCCGATGCGGCAAAGCAAAAGAGGCCGGTGGAGTTGGAGAACCCCACTTACTAGGCGAAGCACAAACGACAGAGGAGAAGAACAAGAAAACCGAACCGATATCTGCTGCTGCTCAGCCGAACGCCTTCCTTGGAGGGAATCCTCCCGAAGCGCACGCGACCTTTCATGGCACAGCACCCAAAAACCTTCTTACAGTATGTACTGGAGATAGCAGGGATGTAAGCAGAATGAAGCCAACACGCCACGCTAAGGTCATGGCCGTCAAGCAACAACAAGCTCAGCTCCTTCTTGTTCAAGGTGATCATCCCTGCATGTCGAAGAAGCATTTTATGCTTTCAGAAGGATGTCTGTTGGTGATCGCCGTCTGCTGAGTATACTATTGGACAATAYGGAAGTGCGTTGTGAGCAAGAAAGAGTTCACAGGTTGGATAGTTTGGCAAATCAGGCCAAAGGTAGAGACGCCGCAATCGTGACATCTGCGAGGCTTGAGTGAAAGTGGCAAGGGTGGGTGTTGGTGCCACGCGAGGAGGTGAGGTCGAGGTGAAATCTGACTGGTCCCAGCGCCTCGGGTTGAAGGCAGCGAAGCGCCCGGTCGGCGAAGATCTGCAAGGATTCAAAGGACAGCTCCCTCGCGCTCCTTTTGCTTCTGCTTCTTCCTCTGATCACCGGTACTTGAGTGTGGCTTCGGCAAGCTGCGTGGTAGAACTGCCTTGAAGGATGATGGTCAGTCATCTCGTTCATGGCGACGTACATATGTCGAGGATCAAAGGATGAAAGTCTCCGTCTTCACCTTCACCTTCCTTCCTTTCACTTCAAACTTGCCGACCCCGGAAGGCTTGGCGACTTTGACTTTTGACTTGGTGACCTCCCCTACCGCGCTCGTCGATCCCTAGCACTCATCACACATAACTATTTCCCGCACTCTCACAGCCAGCTTGCTGTGCCTCATCGCTTGCTATCAGTTTCCACTGTCTGTTACCCCTGCCCCGCTTGAACGGCCGGAGATACCTGGTATGCTGTGCCGCAAATCTCACTAGGTAGAGTTCATGATCGGGAAACTCCGCGACATATACACATCAGGCACGCACACGTTAGCCAAAGAACGCGGAAAAGATTCGAGGAGACCTAGAAGAAGAAGATGCATGCGGCCTCGTAAGGAGGAATCCGATAGACTCAGGATCTGCAATTTTTACGAGTCTTTCAACATGCCTCTTCCTTGGAAAACGACCTGATAGTGAGCGGGGATCCTAGAGATCCACTCCTTGTTGTCTCGGTGCGGAGCACTTCGCTACGACTTGATCTACGCTTGCCCCGTCATATTGCTCTAGGCAATTGAGCCCACTTTGCTGTGCCCTGAGCAAAGTCAGAGCCGACGCAGCGATCGTCATGAGCATGATGCTACACTACGACGCTGACCGTATCCAAGATATCGTCAGTGGGATTACAGGTTTGGGGAGCGTGATCGTTCGCCGGTCGCAGCCGTTCAAGTCTCCTTACCTAACGGGGGAACCCACAGTTCTGCCATAATCCTGTCGCTCTGATCATGTTGCGACGCTGAGGAAATGACTCAAAATTGCCGACTTGGATCATTCCACAAAACGGATGCTTTTACTGCGGACCCTCGAATCGGTACTGTGGCTCTCGCTCTGTGCCACCATCTCTTCTGCGATCCTTTATCAAGGTCGATGGTTGCGACTTGGTTCGATGCTGTAAAAATGAACTTCACATCCATTCAGATACACTTCAAGCACTTGCCACCAACACACACTCGGTGCTAGACTCATACAGATGCACCGACATCTACGACTGCATCGATGATCGAATCAAACACCAACCACAGACGCTGTTGTATGTGATTCAACATCATAGCGAGGACGCTGAAGAGCATCTCAATGTGCTGAAACCAAGGATCTGGGAATATTTCCACCAACAACAAAGTCCAAGCAAGCGATTCTCGCCTGTTATCTTGTTATTTGACTTCTGCGTTTTTGAGCTCAAGACCCTGGGTATCAAAAGCAGCATGAACAATTTCGTGACATGCTGTTGCGGCCTCGGGATTCTCGGGTATACGCAAACATCTACGATGACATTCAATACCGTCTTAGGCCGCCGGCCATCAAGGACCCTATTCAGCTTGTCTAGTCGGCTAACTCACAGAATTCATACTCAATGACCCATAACCGGACTCTTTACGCTGATACTAGATGCCACGCTGCCCAAAGTAAAGACTCGCATCTTCAGCTGCAGGATTACGCTCATGCAGGAGTGGGCCTGAGCCTATCGTATATGCAATTGGACGTCCGTGTTGCGGTAAGCTTGAATAAAGCGATTAAAGACATCTTCCTCCCTACGAGAGGGTTGAGTGCAAGTTGCAACCTGCAGGCTGGGAGGTAATTTGAAGAAGACTAAGGTGAAGGCGATTAAAAGTAAAGACAAGGCGCTCGGAAAAATTTCAACGGTCCAGATTCTGCCCCTGAGTGGCTCCCGACGGTAATGAAAGCTCTTCACCTTCGAGGTCTCAGCATTACTAGAAAAGCTGCATCGCCAAAGTCGAGAAGGAGCGAGAAAAGATGAAGGAAAAGGTAGAACGAAATCCCACGAAAAGGGGAAGTAAAGATGCCGATAAGGCTGAGCGTACCTTAAGCATGAAAGGGAGACGATTGGATTGGTGCGATAAGAGGGAAAAGTAGGAAACGGATTGGAGGGAGAGAGTAGGAAGCCTGGAAAGAAAGCCAAGGGTCGGAAAATTGATGCCACGAAGACTGATAATGCAGTCAAGTATGCGGCGAAAGCATTGTGGTTGCTTGTTGATAATCCCCGATAATATCAGACATATGCTGTGAGTCACACACGATGAGACAGTACTCCAAGGCTGTGAGAGGCTGAGGTCTTGCTGAGCGGATGCTCTCATACGGAGTGGCCGGAGGCCGAGGCCAAAAACAGATCTCCTTCACGGCCTAGGAATACAACGTTCAGGGAATCCGATCCGCATGTGCCATATGAAAGACTTCAATGGATTGATTGCATTTATTGCACTCATTGCATTGATTGCATTGAATATTTGAATGTTTTACAGGCATCGAGACAAGGCATGTATGAGAGAAGAGTAGGAAGCATACGAAAGGGGAGCAAACCACCACAACCGCCCTCAAGCCAGCCGCTACACGTCGGCCTCAGCGATGACGGTGCAGAAGGGTCGCAAGTCATAGGTTGCTTGGTCTTAAAGTCTTGATGATGGTTTGAAAGCGAAAGGGGTCGCCTCGCTTCACTGCCTTTTCAATGGGGACTTCCAATCACKAATTCGTCCCAATACGAGGTGTTGCTGTCCATCATGTCAGCTCGTCGAGTATTTCTGTTATATGGGCTTAGGCGAGCATGCCGCTGCAGGTTCGTACACGAGGCTGTGTGAGAAAGAATGGTGTGCTGACGCTGACGTTGTCCGCTCAGCTCCAATTCGCTGTCAGGGGCTGAGAATATTGTACCGCTGACCTCACCTCTCATCCATCACATCACCATACACCAGAACTTACACCCATCGAATGGACCTGTCGGCACATGGGGATTGATATCTTGATGGACGTCAAAGACTGGAGAGGACCGGGAGAGTTGATGCTCATCACCCTCTTCTGATTGGCGGAACGGACATCCCGCCGGCCCGCGAGAAAAGAGTTTCGTGTCACAGCGTCCCACTCCACTCTTGCACCTCGACCCGGGCGCTTACAATCCCCCTCGCACAAATCACAGGCCGCAGTCGCTATTTTGCCATCATGCACTCTGCACCATCATCCCACATGTGTCCAGACTTCGCCCGGTCAGCTCCAGTCACAGCGCATCTCGGTGCCAAGTCACGTCAACAAGCAGGGACTACTTCCTGCAGCACATGGTTAGGAACATGAGCGCTAAGCTTCCTTTTAAGTGCTGTGGTGTCCACCATCTTAGGCGAGTTTGCCCAGGAAGTTCCATCTCGTCGCGCAGCTTTCGTAGCGTGTCACTGCATCTCTTGAGACTTGTTCTGCTACATCTGTCTGTCTCATCATTGTCCTCGTTTCTTCATAGCCTTGCTGCTTGCCAAGAAGAATCATACCGAAGGCCGGGCCATTGCCACTATACCAGAAATCTTCGCTTGTCGTGCTTGAGCATTGCAGAGTGACCCACGCTGTCGCGTAACGCGATACAGCTGCAGCAGGATGTACGGGTTCCTCAGATTATACGCCGTCGCGACGGCATGTATGAGCGCATCGGCTCACTTGGTTCTAACATATCCGGTATGGCTATATCCGCAAAACCAAATTCCTCCGGCATGGGCTGACATGAATCTCCAAGGGATGGCGAGGAGATAACCTACACACCAACGGAACGCTACCACAAGATGACCCAGAAGCAATGGGCATCAATGTAATGGAGAATGGGACGGTCACATATCCATACGGCATGCAATGGATGTACCCCTGTGGAGGAATGGCACAAGGCGCAAACGTGAATCGGACAAAATGGCCACTAGGAGGTGGAGCGCTCAGCTTCCAGCCTGGATGGTTTCCTGGTCACTCAAAGGCGTTGATATATGTCAACATTGGAATACAAGAGCAAGGAATGAAAGCCCCACCAAACTACAGCCACCCGGTCGTACCCCCATTCCAACTTCTGGGTCCAAGCAACTCATATTACCCTGGACAAGTGTGTCTACCGCAAGTGCGCATGCCGGCCAACATGTCGCTCGGTGCTGGCGACTTGATCACCATTCAGGTCATTGAGACAGCACAGCACGGTGCGGCATTATACAGCGTACGTTCTTTCCAATCAGGCGAGGTGCGATGGCTACTGACTATGCCTTGTAGTGTGTGGATGTTGAACTTGTAGAGCCCGAAGACATGCCCGAAAACCTGACAGTAACTCCACAAAACTGGTATGTACCATCCTGCAACCTTCTCAGCCTCTTCATCAGCTAATCATCATCGTGGATAGCTACAACAGCACAGACATCACCTTCCAAAGTATTTTCACTAGCGAGGCATTGACTGCATCAACCGGTGCAKCGATAACATACGGAGCATCAACAGTTCTCATCACAGCGATGATGGCTTTCTGGATGGTTCTTCTACTATAACGACACTGGCCAGTATGGACTTTGGCCGTTTTCTTTTGATGATTTTTCTTTTTGCCTCGCACATTAGCGGTTCGAGAGGCCGGTGACCAGGGCCGTGGAGAGGAGGATATCCCAGTGTTCAGTCACTATTCGCGTGTTGACAGAAGCTACATACGGAATCGAGATGATGAATGATTCTAGACTCTTCAGTCTCGTAGTGTTTCTGTGCATCTCGTCCGCACGCGAGATCTTTGGCTATACAGCAAATGCTTCCGTGCTGCTCTGCGATCAGATACAACCTGTGCTGATAACAAACCAGCGTCGATGGCGATGGTTTTTGCTCTCGMGGCATCGGAATGATTAGCTCTCAAGAATTATCAGCAGTTCTACCTGCASAAGGTCWATGAGTTGTAGGACAACGTTCGAGCCAGGACGACATGGCAAGGCAGATCACTCATAACGGAGACTAATTTGACGAGAACCATCTCAACAGCCCTTCCGCATTCTTCCGTATATCATCACCAGGACCTAGGAAGCTTTTGGCTCTAGCTCGCAAAGCAATGGATGACTTCATCCTGCCGCCGCTTAGGCTAGTATCAAGCGTACATAAGGAACTGCACTTCAGCAACATTCGATCTTGTACATTGCTCCAATATCATTCACGATGCCATACTTCCAAATACACACGATCCGAGGCGTTCGAAGCAAAGAAGAGACGCGAAAACTGGCAGACGTGGTTCAAGAATGMAGCCTGAAACATTTCAACGCTCCTCCGAAAGATCGATATCAGGTATGTAACGGTTCATCGCCATATCCTATTTACTTGACCAAGCTGACTGTTTGCTCTAAAGATCATCACCCAACACGAGCCGGGCGAACTCATTTGTGAAGATACCAATCTTGGATTCGAAAGGACCGACAAGCTGGTTTTCATCCAAGTGTTCCAGCAAGGTAGAGATGCAAAGACCAAACAAGCACTCTACGCAGCGTTGGCAGAGCAGCTCAAAGCCCAGTGCGGTGTAAATGGCAATGACTTGATCATCACCATCAGCAGGAACGAGAAAGAAGACTGGAGTTTCGGCAACGGTCAAGCGCAGTTCCTCACAGGAGACCTATAGAAACCACAACAGATTCTTACCAGCGATAGTACAACCTCAGAAGCCAATTCAAACCTCTCAAGTACCATTATGCGCCCTCGGATCCGGATTCCACTCCTCATCCTCAACACTAACCCTCAAAGCCTCCATCAAAGGCATCATCTGCTGAAAATACGTCTCCTCATCCACCAACGGCCTCGCAGCACGAGCTTCCAAACATAAACTCTGAGCAACATCATCAAACCTCCATTCCCACCAAGTCATCTCCAAACACGGCACAGATTTCATATATCGTTCCTGATGATCAATCTTCATAATCAACCCCACCAATCGATTACACCAAGTCTTGAAACTCCCCTTGACGCGAGCACCATTTCTCACAAACACAAACTTTCGTATCCCCTTGAGATTTCGCAATAATTTGACGACATCGGCCGTGAAATCAAAGAGGTAATGCCAGAAACTCGAACGATGGAGAATAATCGTAAGCGTCTCGAGTTGTAAACCCGGCATCCCAAATGGAGAACCATTCCAGGCAATCAACTCGCGGAAATGTCTCGCATCTGCAACAAAGGCAATCGAACGGAGGGCCTCGATTTGCTTGACATGTAACCTGGCCAGTCTCTCGGGGACTCGGAAGAATAAGTTGGAAACCACAAAGTTCGTCCGGCTCATTGCCAACAGACTGGCATCTTGATACATTTGTCGACAGGTCAACAGCGGTTGAAGATGGTGGTGAGCCATGTACTTGTCGTCCAACAAGAGTCCGGTTGACATTCCATGGCCATTGAACTGTATCAGTGGCAGCATGTCAGGTCCTGCTTCCCTCTTGAAAACACAATCTACTTACCACACTGTGATCTAGGTTGTCCGCAAAGACATGCTCGAGGATCTGCAATCGAAGCTCACACGGCAACGTCTCGAAGCCATTCGTTCGCGCTTGAACGGTCTGCATGATGATCGTGGGCCCTCAAGACACACTGCAAGCTACCAACTCTGCATTTGAACGAAGAAAAAAAAAAGGGAGATTGTGATAACGATGGCAACCTTAGAAGAGGCACATGTGATGTTATCAGATCATCTAATCTGCCCCTCACTCATGAAGCTCCTCCCCGATGTCGGTCACTCACATGCAGGTCGGCTGCCGAGGATGGGCCTTGCAATCAATGGTGACTTCCAAGGTTGATATCACGAAGTGGAGTGAACCGTGACAGCGACAGAGAGCGTCGCGAAGCAGAGCATCTTGCAATCAAAATTCCATACAATTCTACCTGTGTTCACCATAGTCTGATATTTTCCATGAAAGCTGGCAACATGCAGCAGCATAAAACAAACAGAAAGCATAAAAGCATCCTCCACTACACATCTTCCATCGCCCACTCTTCGGTGAAGCTTGTAAGATACTCAATAATCCATCATGCCCATGTAACTCCAGTCCAGTCCATATGGAGCGCAGACACCGAAAGCCTCCCGGTTATCTCAAATGTGTATGACAAGCGCCGTGGTGTATTGATATTGTTGGTAATCGTTGAAGGTCTTTCGACTGGGAAGAAATGTTCGGAATCCAAGGACGTTATCGATGCTAGTACTGCACTTGTGTTCGAGATGAGCTGTTTGTCGACATTCTCCCGGGCAAGGGTGCGTGTGTGGAAAGCCAAAGATGATGAAAAGGTTTCACCTTCCATAACCAAGCAGGCAGTGATATTTGCGATGTATCCTGGTCCTTCGTTCAATCTGGTGGGCCTGCGCTGTAGTATGTATCCAGTGTATGCGGGTCTTCAGATGTTGCGGATCAGGTACCACCGTCTTCTTTGCCGCCTTTGCGCCAAACGTCTCGCCATCGACGCTTTCCAGGCGGACTGCCGGGCTCACCACCACCCTCATTGACCTTCTAGGTCGAAGAGGTGGCCGCAACTTTGATGCCAACCTTTTCGGCGATGTGTTCAAACTTCGCCTTGGCCGGCGATGTGCCTTTCACTGGGCTCGAATCCTTCTTCCTGCCGCGCGGCGTCTGATCCGGTGATGTCTCTGGAGGCGAGCCTGAGGGAGACAACAGTGGAAGTGCATCCTCATCAGTGGATCCTTCGCGGAACCGACCGGTACGTGGACGTGGAACCCCGGCACTGACGATGGAGGTCGCACGCTGAAGTTGAGGGGCGCCTGTGGCCACCATCAGCTGTGAGTGCGCGGGAGTACATTGATCATTCGTACCATCGAATTGAGCGCTGGCGAAATATCCAGTCGCGAAGCCAGCGGCCTGGGCGACTGAGCTGCCAATGGGTGTGATCATACGTGAAGATGGCCACTGGCGAGTGAGATTGGAGTCAATGCCGGACAAGCTCATGACACGGTGGGAGTTGTTCGATTCGCTACCAGAAGTCACGCTCATGGTACTCAGAGCCGGTGATGCGGGCTGATTGCTGAAGCGATCCAATGTAGTGGGTCCCAAGTATGATCCAGACAAATCAGTCACACGTCGAGGGTCTTGGAACTTGCCCATCTCCTGAGGCGTGCTGCCTTCTGACAAGATGCGATGTTGCTTGATGACGGACGAGGTACGCTTCGGGAAGGGGAACCCGGAAAGGATGTTGGCCTGCGCAGCGGAGCTGTGATGATGGCTGGGCGCCGTCTCCGTAATGTGGGGTCCATCGGGAGTAGGCATCAGAATTGCATTTTCATTCCGAGGTGCCGACACGGCTTGCTTCAGGCAGTCCATGCTGTGCATAGCAGTCTCGAATGGAGGGCGAGTGGTAGGAGGTGCCTGCTCGACCAGCTGCAGATGGCTCGACGAACGAGACACCAGGGCTGGGCTTGGACGGCGAGATATCGTCTTCATGGGGCTGCCAGTCGATGGAGCAACAGAAGCTGGCCCAGCGCCTTTTGGTTTCGATCGTAGCAGACCAGAACAGTATCCATCAATGAACTTACCATTGCAATCGGAACCGATAGATCGGCGGTGAAGACCAGCTTGAAAGCCTTCAATCCACTCGCGAGGCTTCTGAGAAAAGTCGAGTGTGTTGTTGGAAGGAATTCGCTTGACCGCTTCCAACGAAGGCTGACCCTTCATTGGCGACGACGATGGAAGAGCCTTGTTCGTAGGRTCGCTAGGATCCTCTGCAACAAAGAGCCACTCACGCTTGTTCTTTGGGCTGACGTTGTGTTCCTCGCGATAACCATCGACCTTCACTGGCATGGATGGGCGACCCTGGGTGTCGAGTACGGGTGTCCCCGGAGGTGCAGCTGTCGCTCTGAACCTGCCTTGATCGGTGTTCTGATCCTGCTCAGGAGTGATGGGAAGATCCTCGTTGGAATCCGAAGTCTGAGTTTGTTGACGGCTAGTCTTGTCCTCTGACATACTACCTCTGATTGGGTAGTCATGCTGGCGAGTCGAGTACTCGCGAGGGTTGGTCGGAAAGAAATCCGCTGTCTCAAAGCTGGATATGCTTGAACTGCGAAGGTGACCGCTCGTCTTCGAAGGACTGATGTTGAAGGTAGTCTCCGGAGAAGCTGTTGCTACGAGGTTGTTGTCGTTGGAACCGCCCGATGGCTGTTGTGGTGCCGATTGGGTGGGGCCAACAGAAGTTTGCCCACTTTGCGCCGTTCTATCCTCGGTGGCGATCACGTTTCGAGAAGGTCCGAAGCCAGGTTTGTAGACAGGACTCATGGGATTGAGGTTCGACTTCACGTTGGTCGGAGGCTTGACCTCCGGCACTTTGATGGACACGGCGCGAGAGCGGTGGGGTGAAGCGACCGGTAAGTCGCTGAGAGATCTTGCACCGTCGCTCTGCGGTACGATGCTCTCCGTGACAGGTGGCGCTATTGGCGGCTGGAGGCTCAGTCCTGCGGTATTCGGCTGCGGATACACCGAGAACGAGCCATCAAAGGATCGCGGTGCGAAGACACCAGGAGGTGGAACGGCCCAGGAGTGGCCGGCATATGACTCGTCGGTTGGTGCAGGAATACCATACTGGCTGCCGAAAGAGGCCGGTGGTGGTAGGGTCTGGTAGTTGATACTCTGATGTACGTGATGTGCGACCATGCCGCTCGCCTGCTGCATCTGCAAGAACGATGGTAGGCGGTTCCGAGACGGCGACATCTGATGGCGACCAATCATGGCACGCGGTGACGTGGGAGCGTTTGGTGGAGGCTGGTTCTTGAGCGCCTTGATTCCCTTGCGCAGTTTGTCCAGACCGGCCACCAAACTGCGTCGCTGAGCAAATAAGGCTTCTTTGGCTGCCCTACTCATCGCGCGGCCGTGAATGACTTCGGCCTTGTTAAGTTCCTTGAGTTCACGCTCGAGCTTCGAGTACTCGACATCGAGCGCCTGAATTTGAGCATCGACAGAGATCTCCGGCACCGGCACAGCATTGCTCTGTGAAGCATCCTGTTGTTTGCCAGCATGGTGTTCCAGGGCAGTACTGGTTGGAGGCTTGGAAGTGTTKCGCTGCGGACCGTTGATCGAAATTTTGAGATTTGGTGCTGGCATGTACAAACGCAGAGCGCCGTCGACTTCATGTAGTGGCAGAATAGCGCCATTGACGATCTGGGAGAGGTTCCCGTGCTCATCTTGGGCCACGAAACCATTTTCGGTGGCCTTGGTCCACTGTGGCTGCCCAGCCTGAACGTTGGGAGCGAATTTGATGAGCCCGCCGTTGAGATTGATCGCACTGTACCCGTAACGTGGGTAGCACAGAGGAGACTGTTCCGATGGGACAATCCGTCCGCCTGCGGTGACACGAATATGGGTGGGCGAGCCATGAGCTTTGACGATGGCCTCTGCCTTCTTCCGCTTCAGAGATGGAGTGGGTGAAGGACGCAATTTGTCGAGGAGTGGGCCTGTGCGAAGCATCTGATTGTTGGGTGCGATCTCTCCAAGAACTTGGAGGGTGTTGGTAGCGAGTGGGACAATTCGAGTGTATCCCGGTTGCGGCAGTGTCTCTGAAGCGTTGGTATCGATCGACAGATTCTCGTTGTTGGATCGACTGGAAGGAACCCGCAGACTGTGAGCGGAAGGACGCGATCGAAATGAGCGTGCTGTGAACGACTTTGAACCACGGAGGACATGCTCTGCACGCACGTCAGCACCGCCAAGATGTTCAACGCGGGCTCTCTCGCGGTCTGCGGCCCACGGGTCTGGTCGAAGAAATGGGTGTGTTGTATCGGTCATGATGTGGGAGATTTGCGGACGCCATGGTTCCGCGGTCATGTTGAGTGATGCCAGAGTGAATACGTCAAACAGTGTAGTCGGATGAATGGAGGCAGGACTGGTGGGATTTATGTGTGGGGTGGATGATGTGATGGCCGCCAAGGACGGTGACGGCAGGGCGGGACAAACGGCAGACGTACCCTTTACAATCTCCGCATCTTCACTGTCATGCTTTTCAATCGCTTCTCGGAGCTTCGGCTGAGATTGAGCGCTCCGAAGCCGCTGGAGTTCTTCGGCGGAGTAGACTCGTCTGGACGTCTTGTGTCTTGTGGTATTGGCGGCAAGGTCGACGGCCGGTGCCATGTCTKACAATCGAAATCGACAGCGCGCTGAGGTTGGGAGACGCTCATATCAGTAACATTCAAAGTTTAACCTGGGACCCGAAGGAGCGGGTGGAACTCACCAGTGGTATCCACCAAAGGCCTTCCGCCAGATCGCAGCGGTTGGGTGTTGGGAATCTCAGTCAGAGGCACCGTTGGATGGCAATTGACTTTTATGAAGACGTTGGCAATGGCGGTATTGCGAATGGGTTTGAAGCGCGAAGACAAAAGCCAAGTGAGTGCGTAGTTGAGTGTTGATTGGAACGAGACTGGACGATGGAGAGCGCAGGAGATCTCGAGGCACAGGTCCCAACTAACAAGAAAGGAACGCCTGAGAGCTGGAGGGGGAAAGAGAGGCTCTGAGTGCTAGGCGGAAAGCCGCTGGCGTTCCTACTGGCAAAGACTGGACATACCACGTGGAGAAACTTCTCCAGGAGACTGACTATACAAGGAAATGATGGAAGCTTCGCTCACCAGAATGACCAAATTTGCGGCTGTGCTTGTGGGCTTTGCTGCAGGTTGCTATAGCCTGTTGCGCAGTGTCCGCGGTTCTACATGGGAAATCGCAACGGATCATTCCCTCAGAAAATCAGAGCGTCCACCGACCGCCGCTGGGGCCAAAAAGCACCATATCGACGCACCCGTGCCATCGATCCCTAGCAACTGGATCCATCGCTGAAAGTTCAGGTAAGCCGCAGAACTTGCGTGTCTTCTCCCAGGGTTCGGTATTCTGCCAGCTGACTGACTGTATATTGTTGCGACAATCCTCGATCTGCCCGCTCATTTGTTCTTCGTCTGCTTGTACGTGAACCGCTTCCGTGTCCTGCAAAGCCTGTCAGGTATATTTCGACGCACCAATCTACTACCAATCACTCACGCTGAAAACTCTCCCAACTTGTGTCCGACCATATCCTCTGTTATCTGCAGGCTGTTATACACCTTGCCATTGTATATTTGAAAGACAAGCCCGACGAAATTTGGWAGGATGGTGGCACTCCGCGCCTGCGTCTTGATCGGAGGTGTTCTCTCGCCAGCCTTGGGTCGTACTATCGGGAGCCTTCATAGATCGTCAGTGGTCGTCGAGTGGTGAAAACGCATTGGGCGGGACGAACGGGACGATGTGTGGGCCTATAGTAAAGTCAGCATAGGCCTCATCATCATATTTGAGGGCGGGCCATCACCTTTCCACACCGAACGTGCGAACAGCGCGTTTGAAACTCTCATCGCATCGCACTGTGCTGATAATTCGCCTTCTCGATGCGCCGGTGATGTCGTTCACGGAGGAAGGCGCGAGACGGGAGCTGCCGCTGACAATCTGTCTTAGCGTACAAATGTCGTGGGACACTGATCGTCCGGCGCGTCTTCAGAACGTCTCGCGTCCTTCGTGCGTGCAACTCGGAAGTTTGCCAGCGGTTGCCTGAAATCATCATTTATCGAGGTGCTCAAACGTAAGCACCTTGCTTTCTTTTGCCTCATGTACGCATCGATACGTCCGATCACCCCACTCTTCCATCGTTGACAAGTCTCAATCGACATCATGCCTGCCCCTCCAGGTGAGTCTCAACATGTACGCCACATTCATGTCAAATGGACTAACATATCAGAAGCTGAAGATACAATACGTATCTTGATCGCAACAGACAACCACGTCGGCTATGGCGAGCGCGATCCAATCCGTGGAGACGACAGTTGGAAGGCATTTGACGAGATCATGACCACTGCCAAAGAGCGTGATGTGGACATGGTCCTCCTAGCCGGCGATCTCTTCCATGAGAATAAGCCGTCCCGAAAGTCCATGTACCAGGTCATGCGAAGTCTTCGTGCCAATTGCTTAGGGGATAAGCCTTGCGAGCTGCAGATGCTGAGTGATGGGAGCGAGCACTTCGCTGGGTGAGCTCCACTGCTTGACTCGTCGACTTTATCAACTAACGTGCCGCAGCGCCTTCAATCATGTCAACTACGACGATCTAGACATCAATGTGGCAATCCCAGTGTTCTCGATCCATGGCAACCACGATGATCCTTCAGGGGTATATAACATATCACATTCAACGCTATCACACTACTGACATCTTACAGGAGGGCCACTTGGCTGCACTCGATCTACTGGCCATGTCTGGTCTGCTCAACTACTACGGTCGTACTCCAGAATCCGACAACATCCACATCAAGCCGGTGTTGCTCCAGAAGGGACAGACGAAGCTCGCGCTTTACGGCATGAGCAATGTGCGCGACGAGCGTTTGTTTCGAACATTTCGCGACGGCAATGTCAAGTTCTTCCAGCCGAGCGTCCAATCCGGCGAGTTCTTCAACCTCATGAGCGTCCACCAGAATCACCATGCCTACACGGAGACCAACTACTTGCCCGAGCACTTCCTCCCGAGCTTCATGGATCTCATCGTCTGGGGGCACGAGCACGAATGTAAAATCGATCCTGTGACTAATGCGGAGTTGGGATTCAAGGTGATGCAGCCCGGGTCTTCTGTGGCCACCTCGCTTGTCAAGGGAGAGGCCGAGCCAAAACACATTTCGATCATCAGTGTTACCGGCAAAGAGTTTACAAGCGAACCCATTCGCTTGAAGTCTGTGCGACCTTTTGTCACAAGAGAAATTACCTTGAGGGAGTTCCGAGAGCTGAAAGATCTTGCCCATGAGAGTGAAAACAAAAGCAGAATCACGCAATTCCTCATGAATGTCGTGGATGAGCTCATCGCGGAGGCGAATCAGAGCTGGCAGGAACTGCATGAGGACGCTGACGAGGAAATGGACGAAGACGACGGACCACCACTACCGCTTGTGCGTCTACGTGTGGAAACCACCCCACCAGAAGGTGGCAGATATGAAATTGAGAATCCTCAGCGATTCTCCAATCGATTCCAAGGCAGAGTAGCCAACTCCACAGACGTCGTCCAGTTCCACAAGAAGCGTGTTGTGCATAGTACAACCAAAATCCAGCCAGATATGCCCGACATACAGGATCTATCCCTTGACAGCTTCAAGGTCGACAAGCTTGTCAAGGAATTCCTCGCGGCTCAGTCGCTTGTCATATTACCACAGAACAGCTTCAGCGACGCCGTTGGCCAATTCGTGGACAAAGACGACAAGCACGCCATGGAAGAGTTCCTCTACGAGAGTCTGAACAATCAACAAGCCAACTTGATGGTGGACGCCGACGATGGAGGTGATGGGGGCGATGAGAGTGTGATCGACGAGGACAAAATGTTGGAAATCATCGAGAACCACCGCCTTCGGATGGAGGAACAACACGCTAGTGGCGAGTTTAGAATCCGGCGGAAGAGAGGCAACGTGAAGCCCAAGCCTGACGATTGGGACAGTGACATTGAAGGTATGGCTTGGGAGGACAGCCTCCGTTCCGTTTTGGTCGTGGAAGACGGCGAGAAAGATGACGACGGTGATGATATGAGCGTCGCTTCAGGCACTAGACCCGCTAGAGGTCGCGGCAGTCGTGGTGGCCGTGGTGGGAAAGCGGCGGCTGGGACTTCTCGCAAAGCTCCTGCTACGAAGAAAGCTCCTGCAGCAAAGAAGACCGCTGCTAAGCCTGCCGMACGTGGCAAGAAAAAGACACAAAACTACGACGACGAGGATGATGAGGAAGATGAGGATGACGACCAAGATGTCATCATGCTGGATGATGACGACGACGACGACAGTCAGGCATTGTTTGTGAAGCCCGCCAGAAAACCTCCTGCAAAGGCACCTGCCAAGACAGCTGCCAAGTCAACTCGCGGCAGAGGCGGTGCAGCATCTGGACGTAGCGCCACTCAGGGCACTCTTTCCTTCGCGAGTCAAAGTCAAGCAAATAGCAGCACTGCGAGGTCAACCGCCAGAACCAAGGCCGCGCCTCCGAGCCGAATGCAAGAGCCTGAAGATGATGAGATCAGCGACGATGATGCTTTCGAGCCTCCACCGGCTGCGCAACGTAGGACGGGGAGGCGCTGAAGCGATTGTGAAAGACTTCAAGAGTGTACATGAACGAATGAGCTTGCTTTACTTTAGYGTGGGATAGCGTAGGCGCTGCATGGGTCGCTTTGCTGATGAGCGTGGGCCACATGGGTATTGGCGGCGAGCGGATAAACACGAATGGGTAAGATGCGATGGAACGGCGAGTTTGTGGCCGATTCTATATGAATTCCAGACTGGCAGATATTTCCGACCTATACATCGTGTCCATCGCCTTCCCTCCGCGTTGATAGGCGTGGGTGTGTCCCTGTCGTTCAACATGCAGCCTTTGACTCCCAAACTCACTATTGGGGAAGTGAATGACTTGAAGCACTAGACCGCCTTGGCAAGAACGTGGACTCTGCAACCACCTTTGTCTGGACTGGCGACATGGCGACGGCAATTTCTGTCGGGTCTCAAGCTCATGGAAACAAACTGCACACAACGGTCTCCGCATTGAAGACTCCCTATTGAACACCACTCTGGGATGTCTTTGTTCAAATATCGCCTTGGCGAAGGATTTTTAAAAGCCTCAACTCCCCTGCCTTAGAAACTCCCTCTATTCCACTGAGTCACATCGACGATACAACAACTACAACCGCAAAGAAAAATGTTCTCATCATTCAGGACCCTTCTCTTCGCCCTCGTGGCAGCCTGCCTGATGCTTTCCGCCTTCGCCACGCCCGAAGCTCTAGCCTTCCCAGACGCCGTCGCCTCCCCGGATCACAACATCGAGAAGCGTGCCGTCACCATCCCTCTCAACCAGCAGCGTTGCATCTCCCACAAGCACGGTCTTCATGCCACCTACGACATCCGCGTGGGTCGTACATTCACACAGGGTCATTGTGATGCTCTTTGGCGGGAACTGAAGAACACCAGAAATGAAATCACGGTCTGGAGTTGCCGACGCTTACGAGGCGGCCACATGCGTATCATCTTCAACAATACCGTTGGTTGGGGTGACAGTATGAACAGAGCGCTGGCCAAGACTTTCCCGCATATTGGTCGGGTTATGCCTTTCAGATGCAATGGACGCGCTTGAATGTGATTGAAATGCTTTTGGGACTTGCTTTTGCTTCTTTTATTGGGTGTCCGAGTTGTTGGAGGACGATCAAATCAAAGTGTCTTCTTACCTGTAGCCTTTCCAAATTTGTTGATTGTGATCTCAATGCTCTCTTGCTACACATCTCTTTGTTCTTTTGTGTAGGCTAGTCAGTATATGGGTCTCAATTGAAACAGACAGCGAGTTTACAGCGTACTGTAGACCAATACTCTCCCAAGCCGGTACAGTGCAATTGCATTCAAGTATTGTGAGTGCTTCCAAATCTCATGCTCCGGCATAACTCAAGCTGTCGGTGGTGTCTCTGTTCGTAATAATCACTTCACCTCGCAAAGCTCACACATGAATTCCCTAAAGTCGCCCTTTGTCGCGTCTTCGATCGCATCTTCCATCACAACCCGGTACTTCTCATAGTACTCTTTCTTGACCCGCATCAAATGCAGCTTGTCCCAATGTAAGCGTACCAAACGAGAGATGAGCAGTTCATAGCGCAGCTCATCGTCCTTGTTCTTCTCCGCGATGTCTTTGATGGCGTGCTGCAGTAACAGGGCGTCCCTTGCTGGTTTGTTGATCACCCCATTCAAGATATGCGCAATGACTTCTCCCTACCAAATGTCAGCTCGCTTTCCAATCCGATGTGCCGGTCCAACTTACCACTAGGTTGTTACTCTTCTTCAACGCCACCCTTGCAAAGTTCTCGCCATACATTCTCTCGTACGTCCTTAGCACGTCCCTCAGATGCGCATCGCTTCGCCTCACGATGATCTCCAACATACCGCTCTCACCACCCCTCTCTGCATGAACCGAACGATACAGAAGATCCACGTCTCTGTGCACATACTCCACAGGATAAACGTCCTGTTCCTCCTGCCTTCTCTCTTCCAGAACCATCAAGACGGCACTCCGGAACTTGTCCATCTTCAACTCCTTCTCCATACATCTGGTCAAAGAGTCTCCGTATCTCTTATCCTTGAAGTCATCCTTGATCATGCGAATCTCGCTATTGGATCTTCCCATCAAGCTTTCGATCAAGAGCTCTCTTCGACTKCCATGCGACTGATACCAGAAGTTTGCCCAGTAGCCCTCGCTCTCCCATCTACCAAGCGCAGTCACGTACACTGCTTTGCCAAAGTTTCCAGTGATCTTCGTCTTGAAATGTTTGGAGAGATTGACACCCTTGCCTTGCACCTGATGATGAAGAAGAACGTTAGCAATCTCCCGGACAGAGTAGCACATCACAGTGGAATCGTGCTTCCCTAAGTCTCTAGCTCTTTCCCCGCAGAATGTCTTACCTTGACTTGTTTCTTGTACTCTTTGCGGACGTCCAAGATCTGATCGTGGGAAAGGTGAGGAAGGATATCGCATATTGCAGCAGCATCGATGCTATGATGATTGAGCGCCTTAGCGATCGTCTTCGCATCGTCTTCTGCGTCATAGACTACTGCACGCTTCTTCTCGCGGGTGCCATGTCCCTTGCTTCCGTGGCGTTCGACGCCTTTGGCTGACTTTTTCGGAGCGGGCGCATTCAGTGGTGTAAGATCGTCCAGATCCGAGTCATCATCAAGTCTCAAAGCCAAAGGCATCGGCGACAGCGATTGATATGTTCCCTGATATGGTTCTAACATAGGTGAAGGTGGCGGTAGGCCACCTCCAACAGCATACATATCGGGTCTATTGCCACTGACGGACAGTCTGTTCATTCGCGGTCCAAGTCCAGGAGAACGAGGAGCTGCTAGACCAGACTGCTCCATGTTAGTGGACAGACGATGAGTCTTGGCAGAGCTGGAGCCATGTCGGTCCTGCCGTCCAGACCCAGGCGTCATCTCAACTATCTGAGCATTTCCTAGACTGGGATTATATGACGAGTTCGCATACGTCCTGGGTAATGGATCATAGGGCTGTCCCTGTGTGTTCGAAGAGTGGCTGACCTGACGAGGAGGAGGTGGGCCCTGACTGATCGAAGAGTGGTTGATGGCCTGCGGTCCAGATACTGAATGCGGTCTTGCATTGTATGTCACGTTCTCTGGCGTCTGAGCATACTGATACTTCTGCACGGTATTTCTGTTATCAGTAGCAGAGGTAGGGGCATATCGGTAGTTTGAAGAATAAGAGCTATGTCGTGACAATTGCTCCCGGGAAGCCTTTGAAGAATCCGATCCATATGCCAAGTCATCGTCGGCCTGTTTCATGGCCTGCGGTAGGGGAGGAGCATAATACCCTTGGGACTGATGGGAATCATATCCTGGACGCTCGTGAAGCGGAAAGTCCGAGTATCCGCCCTCTATGGGATACGGCAGTCCAGAAGTTGGCGGTGGATATTGCGATTGTGGAGCAGCCGTCGCCGGTGGATAATATGCACTTCCAGCTTGGCTTGGCGTTCTCTCATCATACCTGGGCTCTGGGCCTCCATGCGAGAAACTTCCTGGCATTCCGAACGACGACGAGGAAGGCTGTTGATAGGTATACTGGCTTCTCGGAACCTCAGGCGCTTCCGGGGCACGAACATYGCTCCTAGATCTTGATCTCTCCCTTCCAGATCTTGAAGATGATCTCGCCCGACCTGAGCGGTCATCCGGCCGAAGAGACATTCTGAAGGCAGACCGTACGAGGACACACGACAGCACGCGGTGAGGGAGATAGAGGTGAGCGAGCAGAAGACACACAGACTTCTAGAGGGTTTCCCATGCAGTGGAACGCTTCGTGCCTACTTGTACGATTTGTGCGACACCGGTTCAGCCGCACGCACGCACATTGTTGAGGTGGGGCTACATGTAGCTTTCGGGAGGAGCAATTGGGCGCCTTGAATTGATCCGAGGCCTCGAACCCGCCCATGGCTTCGTCTAAAATGAAGTATTGCAAAATGTAAAGTGAGCGGAGGCGGCTCATTGCAAGGCATGTGATGTTTGAAGCTCGTGACAGAGGCAAAAGCAATGAAAGAACGACGAGCATACTGGTCTGCCTGAGACATTGCAGCGGAAAGCGGAAAGACACCGCGTTGGTCTCTTCCAAGCGACTCATTCCATTCCATATTCTGCACACGTATCGCCAGCGAAGATTAAACATTGCGAATCAAACATCTGCACGCGTTGGGGGTATATCTACAAATCATGTCTTCGCACCACGACGATCGGCCAGTAGTCCTCGCTACTGCCGTCAATCTCTGCTAATGTCAAAGTACTCATCTCTCCAATTGTCCTCAATCTGTCTCGCTAAGCGTTTGTCGCTATCGTAATGTCTTTTGGATGCTCAATGTTGAGAAGAAAAAGAGCGCTTCGAAGGGACACTGGCGGCCGTTCTGCCGGAGTGGCTTTTTGTAGCCTGGCATTCCGTTTCTCGCTGGTCCGGGATGCCCAGGCATTCATCGTAAAATTCTTCGACTGGCTTCCTTGCTTCCAATCGTCTGATCACCGTCGGCCGCTCTCAAACTTCCGCCTCGCTCACGCCAGAGACTTCTCTGCGTATATTTGGGGCACTGCCAGCAAGATTTTGCGTGCTTGCGCCTGGATTCGCACCTCCATTGCTGACACTCCTAGGGACACTCGTTGCAGCGACTGCCTGGCTGGCAATCCGGCCTTCCCGAGGTACAGCTGCAACCGGTGTGACTCCGCCTCGAATACGCTGTTTGGTGCCCGGGAAATTCTTGAGCCTCGACGTACGCCAGTTCTCATACCATTTGCTGCGACTGAGCTCTCGCAATTCGCTGCGCCACTCCAGGAACACGCTGTCACGTAAGCGTCCAAAATCGCAATGGTCTGCGTCGTGCGGATCTGCAAAACCCCATGGAAAGCGACGGCCGATCTTGGTGCCTCTGTTGATTGGTGCATAAGGCGGGAGGTCGTAGACATCGGGTGAGAGGATGGACATCGGGAGGTATGGCGTGTCGTCTTCGGTCATGTTCTGGTTCTGCATGGAATGCACGGAGGACAGGCGCTTGTGCATTTTTGGCTTGGGTRCAGGCACTTCTTCTTCTGCTTCTGCAAGAACGCTGTCCTTCTCCTCGTCGGAATCCAGGTCAGAAGACCCGGCATCATCTTCCAGATCCAGGGCTTCGAGCGGATCGAGCTTTGCGGTTTTGAGCGAGTCCCACATTGCGCGTTTGAGGTAATTCATGTGTCCAACAGTAAGCGTATCAGCTTTGGATATAACAGGTATGACGGTGGTCTTGCCCCACAGCGCACGCATAACTTGCAGATCGAGATTATCGTCGGGGCTCCCGGCATGTGAGCCACGCTGCTTGAATGCGGCAGATTTGCCGAGGGTGCCATMGAGATTCACCGGATCCAGAATGAGGAGGACGCAATGGATGTGTGTGTCCTTGACACCTGGACTTCGCATGACTTTTTGCTCCTCCATGAAAGTGTCCTCGAACTTGGACTCAACAAATGCCGTCATCTCCCGCAGCTGCAGATCGACGACACCCTTCTCTAGTCCGGCAGAGTCCCACAGCRTGAGACCAACACGCTCTCCATCCATTTCAGTTTCGATGTAGTGCGACGTGAACGACTTTCCGCTGGAAGCCTGGGCTTCTGGCACCTCACCGGGGAATGACTTGCTTGACTTGGCCAAGAGCGAGTGTCGGAGAAAGGTGACAAACGACGTCTTGCCGCTGTTTTTTGCTCCCATTACTAGCACGCTTCAAATGGTTAGCTAATTAGGTTGGCAGTCAACGCAGATGAGAGGTATGGAGCGTACTTGAACGGTGTGGGATCTTTGCGTCTGCGCACTCTTCGGGGGCTGTTCACCGCGTTAAYTTGAGAGGAAGAAGCATAGGAGAAACGACCGCGATTGGTCATGCTCTGGGTCCGGTCGGCATACGGGTCAACCACGTACTCGCCGCTGGCAGTATTCATGCCAGGTTTGTAGAGCGGAGACGAAGACAGGCCGGATCCCAACCCGCCGGAGCGAGTCGCATAGTCGGGCGAAGACGAGCTGTTGTTGCTGGCGGGCGTGGGTGCCATGGCTTGAGGACGTGAGAAGTTGGCGGCGGGCCGCTGTTGCTGTTGCCGCTGGACTGGGCTGCTGGTAATCGTGTAGGCGTGCTCAAAGATGGCGACACTGTCGGGTCGAGAGTCGTCGAAGCTTGCAATGCCAGCGGGTAGTGGTGAAAGCGAGGGAGCTGGTAGACGCGGGCTTGTGGGCTCTGCGGCGGCTGACGCCTTTGACCGGCTGAACTTCCTCAACATGGTTGGAGATGACAGTTCGGGAGCAGGAGCAGGTCTGAAGAAAGGAAGGTCTGGTACTGGGGGAGCAACGTCCCGGGTCGAATTCAAAGTCTTGGTGGAAGAGGTCCTCCGCAGGAAAGAGAAGCTGTTCCCGCGCGATCGAAATCCTTCCTTCTCACTTGGTCTGTCACCTCGCGACACACTCGCGCTCGCGCTTTGCGACGCGGATCTCCTTGCGCGATTGAAGGTTGCTTTTATTGGACTGTAAGAGGTTTTGAATTGTTGCGCACCGCTAGAGAAGATGCCGACGTCGTCATATGATGAGGGGATCGGTGGCAGAGGGATGGCCGTTGAAGGTCGGCGCGAGAAGGAATAGTTCACGCCGTCGGGCAAGCGATACGCGTGGTTGAAAGAGGTCGCCATGCTGCTAGTGTTTCGAACCCTGCTCGTTTTAAGTTGCACGGCAGCAAACTGCCAGTTTAGCCCCGCCGCAGAGTGATCCGCGCGCGTTTGGAAGATGTGTGACTCGCTTCTCTCTCACGCTTGTTGTGTGACGAGATAAAACTACTAGAGAGGGGCCTGAGCGAGGTGAAGACTGAGTCGTTGGAGATGTATGTGTTTGAATGAGGCGAARCTCCTACCAACCGTTACTGCGCCCTCAGACTCGTACATTGCAGCAACCTGCTCCGGTAGCAACTCCACGTACCATCGAAGCAGCGCGCAGCCTGCTGTCGCATGGATCACGCTGCTGACCGGTACAACGGAGTAGGGAGGAACGACCAAGGGACGGAAGATCGGAGATGAATTGTACACATGCGAGACGAGCTAGGACCGGGACAAGCTTTCGAGATAAAGGGGTTGCCGCTTGACGCTTCCAAGGTTGATAGAGCCGAACCACAGAACGCAATGCGTGACTCGTGTGGGGCCACGACACATGGCCAATCGATCAACACAACCACCTCATGCAAGGTGCGGAGTGAGATCGACATGACAGAAGTGCATGAATTCAATCATACACCGTTGTGCAAGGTCTGGCGACGACGTTTCCATGCTGTAACTAAGTTGAAGGCCGCCGGTAGAACCCAGAAGGTGACCATTGTTTCCACGTGAAGATGGATCTGCAGCAGGCATTATCGGATGCCGCAGCTGGGAATTACATATACCTTGCATATCTCTCATTGGGTTAATGCCATGTGGAATTACATCTGAAGTCCGGATGGAGAAGACAGTATGAGTGACAAAATTATAGTCACACATTGTCAATGCAGGCCCGAGAAGAATGCATAATAATCCCCATTCATCGACTATCTTTACATACTGATACGCCCAGAACTCCTTTCGGCATCGCATTGGGCCGTCGAATAAAGTACATCAAGGTCGTCGACCATACCTACTGCTCGGACTTCATTCGTTTGTTTCCCTGTTGGGCACCATAGCTTCCCGAGCCATAGCCGCCCTGCTGTTGCTGCTGCATGCCACCACCTTGTTGATAGCCACCGCCTCCTTGCCCCCATCCTCCTCTTCCTCCCATACCCATCATCCCGTTCATACCATTCATTGCCATGTTGTTGAACCCTCCCATACCACCCGCGAACCCTCCGCCTCCAAAGCCAGCGCCTCCTCGTCCCATTGCCATGCCGCCGCGCATATTGCCTGCAAAATTACCGAAGCCGCCCATTGCACCCATAGCCATCATAGGGTTGTTTGCCATCGGCATTCCGCCGTTCATTCCTCCATTCATGCCGCCATAGCCACCTGCAGGACCGCTCTGCTGGGCCATGCCACCACCGCCCTGCTGATAGCCGCCACGGTTGTATCCACCTCCTCTCTGGAAGCCACCACCTCTTTGGAAACCGCCCCTACCTCCGCGATTCGCACCAAAACTGTTGTAAGCTCCTCCAGGGCCGGAACTGTATTCTTTCTTAGTCACAATGGCACCAGAATCTCGTCCCTTGTATGGATTGTTTCCGGGCGTGCCGTAGCCAACTTGGAATTTGTTGACTCTGACGCTCTTAGTCCCGCCGTTGCCGTCATCTACCTCGTCGGCACGCTCTATTGCTCTTTTGGTGGCGCTGGCAGCCGCTGGTGTTGTAAATTCGAGAAAGGCCTCCCCTTTGGACTTGCCGTTGATCTTGTGCTCGCCAAAAGAGATTTCCTTCAATGACGACTCAACGCCGGCGCTTGCAACGAAGGCTCGGACGTGTTCTTCTGTGGTCCACCAGTGTAGCTCAGCGAGCTTGATGGCAGAAGTCGCGTGTGGATCAACCAACGAGGCAGACGGGGAGCCTTCTTCCGTTGAGTTGGACTGTTGCTGGTCTGGCTGGTATTTGTCCTGCCGTTCTTCCTCGTCGAATGAAGCCTTACGTTTGGTTCCTTGTTGCACATTGGGTGTGCTGTCGTCCCCTTTGTCCGCTCCACCCTCAACATTCTGCGTTTCGTGCTGTGGCTCATCGTCATCAAAGTCGATCCGATCCTCTGGATATTCTTCGCCGTTGGCACCATTGGCGGCGGGCTTCAATTCTTGTGGTACATCATCTCCGTAGATGTCAATGTCGAAGGTGTCGTCATCCGCGGACATGCTGAACTGTTTCGGACGTGGTTGGTCGGATTCGCGACGGAAGTGGGCTGATCTGAAGTGAGTTCTGTTCACGTCCCAACTGCGCTTGAAAAGCTGCGCTTGGAGGAAGTGTGCTGGTACAATGGGTTATGTACACGCCTGACAGATAGCTCTGGCCACGGCAAGTCAGGTCTGGGTACAGTACATCAATCAGCTCATAGTTCCAAAGATTTCTGCCTCCCATGGTCTCCATTATGATTCTTCCAATTCTTCTCTTTCACGCCATGATCCTGTGATTACGCGCTCGCAAGGCCGATACGTACAGAATCGTTCGCAATAACACGAAGCCGAGCGGAATGGATATAAGTACAAGGTGTCCTTTTTCTGCCCTTTCTCTTCAGTAGTCCACAGACGCTCCTCCAGCGATCGCCTGATATGGTTGGTAGCGTTTGATTGTCGTCAGGRGTCGCGGGTTGTCGCAAGGCCGCAAAACCCTCCCTCGTTACCGATTGTTCTCGTCTGGAAATGTCAGCGGCATCGGTCGTTCTGCAATTTCCTGCACTGCTCACCGGCACTGATGGATGACTGCTGATCTATTGGCACAGACCAAAGTGAGCGAAGTGATGGAAGCAGCTGCAGCTGCAGGCAACGAAAGCTCGTGGGCGGCAAAACCTCGGCCGGCAACTGCGAGCCTACCTCAATATCAGACATCACCGGCTGTGAGCAAGACAACAACGTATCATGAATAGGGTCACCTTAGCTTTTCGCCATCCAGTCTGTCCCTAGCACCCTCCATAACCATGGCCGAAGAGAGTTCCCGCCGGTTTGTAGGCGAGCAATCCCTCACAGAAGATAACATCCATGTTTCCCTCACCTATGACCCGCTCGACGCTACTACCCACATGGCCAGAGTGAAAAGTCCCAAAGCAGGCGCCGTGGTCTTATTTGCAGGTAAGTAAGCTTTGCGTGCTTTGGAGATGTTATTTGATACTGCTATACCCATGCCTTCACGATAGTGCCATGCTCAATACTAGTGTGTATATCCATGACTTTTGCTCACCATGTCCTACTCAATCCAGGCTGTACCCGCGATTCCTTCGCCTCCAAGACAGTCACTCACCTATCCTACTCCACATATCCTCCGCTTGCGCTCAAGACGCTTCRAAGAATATGCCGCGTGATCTGCGATACCCACTCTCTTACGGGAATCTCGGTGAGCCATCGTCTCGGACGTGTGGACATTGGTGATGAGAGCATCATCATCGCCATTGCTGCTCCACACCGCAAAGCTGCATGGCTCGCAGGAGAGGAATGTCTCGAGCAGATCAAATCGAAGGCTGAGATCTGGAAGGAGGAATGGTTCGAGGATGGTGGAGTCTGGAGGAGTAATCGGGATGGCCAAGCCGGTGTACCTGTGAGGAAGGTATCAAAAGCCAGCAATGCTCCACCGAAGAGAGGTATTCTGAAATCCAGAACTCAAAGCAGTGGAGAGTGGACTGAGGGTGGCTTGGAAATTTGACTCCGATTGCAGGGTTAGGGTTGGGGTAGTGATATTTGACCTCAAATGGCTCCAGAGTCTCTAGCTTATTGTATGTTGCGCTTCAAGTTCGTCTGTGATGTTCAGATCTGCCGAAAGTAGAGCTGTTACGATCCTGTCTGTGTACCAACGTCGTGAATGTCATTTCTCCGCCTGCAACACACGTTTGGGGGAATTCTAGTGTGAAGTCAAAGAACCTTACCACAGGACGTAACGAATCAAGTCCTTGACTGCTCATTCATAGCCGATGCCAATGCACCTACTGCTGTTATCGGGCACCTCCCACGCGTTCATTTGAGGAGACATGGTTGCTCAACTACCCTGCCGAAAGAAATGTTTGGAGGTCGCGTTGTATATGGTTATCCGTATACGCTCCTACATAGCGAGATCTACATGATATGAACGACAGGTTGAAGCGTCGCTCAAAGTTACCGTCATTAATTTCAATCCCAATGCCAGAATCATCATCGAGGAAAGCCTCCGCTCGAACGCAGCTGAAATGTAAACCCAAGCAAAATGCAACATTTCCAAAACGCCTCAAGCCTGATCGCGACTGCCCTTCCGTGGGCGACGGATCTCGTCTCTCATAATAATATCGATTGCGCTTTACACCTTTCTCGCACCGAACAAGCCCAAACTCAAGCTCGTGTCGTTGTCACCAATCATTGGTGTGGCGTCAGAAATGATCTCCCATCGGCGAAGCGGGAAAGGCACCATCTTTACATCAATGACTGGCCTACCGTCCGCTCTGACCGGTGGCCTCTGGAAGCCATGCTGTTGTACTGGTGACTGCTGCGGCGGCTGTCTACCGGGAACCTKCTGCTGGCTCCCTGATTGCTTCATCAAAGTACGCTGCTGCTGCGTACCTTGAGGTTGAGGATGAGATGCGATGGCAAGCCAAGCATCAGGCGATGGATATGTGCCAAGCAACGAGGACAACCTGTTGTCTCTGCCAGCAAAGCTTCTTGCCAACATTGATAAGTTCGCTTCCGACAGGTTGTCGACCATGGCCGAGGCGATATCGTAGATGTACTCTAGCAACTCTTGCTGGCCTTGCAAGTGGGAGTGCACAAGGAGATTGCAAAGTGAGCCAAGCAGCTGGCAATGACTCTGTTCCGACAATTCGTTGCGCGTGCTCGAAGTGCCCGAATAGAGAATGCTCAAGTGCAGCAGAATACGAAGTGAGCGCACAGTTGGCTGACTGTGTTCTTCTTCCAGGTCAACGATGCCAAGCGTTGTCAGCCGTGTATCCAGCGCCTTCAGCTGCTCGACGATCATGGGAACTACAGTGCCCCGGTCGTCTTGCTTCGCTGCATGAACAGTGACATCCAGGATCTCAAGCGAGCGAAGTATCTTTGACAGTTCGAAAGGGTTAAGGCGTTCGGAATCAAAGGCCTTTTCCATCACCTGATCACGGGCCCATCGATAGATCTCTTGCACGATGCTTTCATCGACGCTCGACAGCAGCTGAGGCCATACTTCGGAGCCATCGGCTATAGCGTTCAGCACGGCTTGTTGCACCTCGTCGCTTGTTTCAGGCGTGAGCTTGGCGTGCAATTTCAGAGCACCTGCACAGTACGCAATGGACAAAGCGTCGGCATTGGCAACAATAGATTGAGTGTCGAGAGTCCCGAAGTCACGTCCGAGACCCATTAACGTTGCCGCCAAGCGTGAACAGTTTGCAAGAGAAGCTTGCGACCAAGAACGACCAGCTAGAGCTTCCGTGACTTCTTTGAGGTGGGTGATGGGATAGTTCAATATTAGATCGACCAGTCCTGGGTCTTCGAGCAACAGGTCCGGATGGTCCAATGCGGTGACGAACAGTCGTATCACGGCGTCCGCATGGTCGAAGCAGTATCGCTGTTGCTGAACTCGGAAATGATAGGTTTCTGCAGCGTGCAAGCCCTCGTATGCCACGGCTTTTGATGTCAACAGCCGWACCATTACGGACGCCGCCACAGGCGATTTAGCCTCGTTGACCATGGCAGCGAACGATGTACAGCCGCTGGCAACAAGAGCAGTGATAACGTTACATGGTGAGACGACCTGGGCGGGGTCTTTCAAACAAGCTTGGATGTGGTTGATGGCCATCTGGTCAAAACTGCAAGGATCAACCGCAACAGCACGCAGCTGCTCAAGCCATCCGCAAATTTTGCTCGGGAATTGAATGTCTGGCAATGTAGTCTTCCGAGCGCGCTGCACAACTCGCGAGAAGATCCTTTGCATGAGCTGCTCGTCCATGTTGTTGCCACTAGCAAAGACGGCATCGATGTCGCTGTCCGAAGCCAAGTTGGATGCTTGCATGCTTACAATGCTGTCAGAAGCCGGGGAACAAACATTCGCCGAATTCTGCTGCTCGCAGAGCACCAAGTCCTGCTCGAGATGCCCGAATAGATGTCCATTCTCGGGGAAGCGTTTGGCGAGGCTTTTCAGCGCGATGATAAATCTTCGGTCGAGCGGCTGCTGAGATCGCAGAACGTTGTAGCGCTCCAGAAGCTGCCACAGCAAGGCTTGAAAGCAGCCTAGCGCCCCAAAGGAGACCGAATGAATGTTTACGGTATCTGCCATGGTTGCAAGCAGTGCCGGATCCTCGGTAAGGCTGGTAGATTGTAACACATCGGCCAAAGCTCGAAGATCACCGCAAGCTTCCAAAACAACTCTGACTCTGCAGAAATATCGTAATGTAGTCGTCCCTGCTTTCGCTCTCATCGCTGCTCTCATGGAAACTTGTCGGGCGACTGCCAGCTTGGCAGTATCGCTCACGATGTTCATGTCAACCTCAAGCTCCGGACCTTCATCTGCAGCGGATTCCACTCTCGCCAACACAGCTTCCACAAGAGCACTCTCATCCTCAACGTTTCCGAGACGTCTTTGGAGCATATTCCTGGAGTTCAACAGGTGCGGCTGAAGCGCATCAAGCGGCAGCGCCGAGAGAAGCCCGTTGGAGAACAGCGAGCGGTTAGCCTGCGTGAGTGAGCCGCTTGTCATTAGCCATTGCAAGTAACGACCGGCAGAAAAGCTGTTTGCACGGATCAACTCAGCAATGACTCTGTAGACATTTCCAGCTATGATGGGACTTGTGCTTCCAGTTTTGACAAAATCCATAACGATTTCATCTGTATAGTAGCCAAGACTGTTGAGCTGCGACAGTACGCCGGTTGCCAGATAAATACGAGCCGTACCCGCACGGTAGACCGACGCGGACCAACTCAACAATGCTGGCACGAGCTTCGTCACATCAGACACTGAAGCAAGGCATCTCGCCGTCAGCGCTTCGAAGTCGACATTGAGCGTTGCGGCATCGAGAATAGAGTACAAGTTCAGAGAGGCCGATCGTGTGCTTTCTGAAGTCTTGCGAAGAGGTAGAGTAAGCCGCGAATTGCGCCTCTTGAGGTTTTGTGCATGTGCCAGGAATCTGGAGTAATCCAATCCAAAGGTATGTGGAACCAGGAGATAGCTGTATTTCTCCCAGGTTTTGGGAATGATCAAGCAACCGCGACTGGCGACCGCCATGACCACTATCAACTTTTTCAAGCGGGCTTCGAGCATGTCGCCAATGGAGATGCTTCCACAAGCGCTCCGGTGAAGTATCCCAAGCATAGCTTGAGCCAGCTTTCTGCCTCGTCGCACGAATGCTATGATATCATGCCAGTACAGCTGCACAACGATGATCCAAACAGGCAGCGTTTCAGGACCAGCTCCGGCAAAGGACGACACAATCCAATCCAGATAATGATCGCGTTCCAGGAGACGCTCTGTGTAAAAGCTCGTGGCCAACTTCACGGCGTAATTCATCTTCGCCTGCCACTCGGGCTGCCCGCAGGATGTAATGGCACCTTCCAAGAATTGTTCCACGTGTATTGTCCATTCTCTCACCCATTTGCTCTCCCCGCTGGCTGCTATGGCTCCGCTGACGCCCTTTCGACGAAATGCACGCAGCTCATTCGCCCCGACACATTTGGCCAGCCACACAGCGCGTGGCAGGGGAATGTCTTTGCCCAGACATTGCTCCATCAACAACTTGCCCCTGATGCCGTGCGGGATCGTTCTGCTTTGCTTCCGCAAAGGCACCTCGGGGTTCGACAGGTCCCGCAGCCATGCCTCGCGTTTCGTATCCGTGACGGTCACACGTGGTGGAGGCTTGAACGTAGACGGTGCTGTACACCTACCCATCATTTGACGCTTTTCCATGACCTGAGTGAAGAGGTAGGATAGCGTCTGAAGACCCATGTTGTTCTTCTGACTGAGGTTGGGCCATATCGTAGGTTTGGCGGAGTTCGACTCCGTGGAATTTGGACCAGGTGCTTTGTCGAAATAGCCCGACTTGACTGCATACTCACTCAACACATCTTCAGGATGGGTTCCCTTCCATGGTCCGAAGTCGGCGGCGTATTTGGGAGCTGGTAGTCGCGTTGCAATGCTGGGCGGTTCTATTCCGTTCGCCTGGCGCGCTGTCCGGTCTATCTTTGCTCGACGTTGGTTGGTGTTGGTGGATGGTTTGTGTGCAACCCGCGTGGGCTTTGGAATGGCAGGAAGTGGTGATCCTGGTATCACTAGGTGGGCGATGTCGTTCCTGGTAGCCAAAGTCTCGTTGTCCGCTCCTCGCGATGCCTCAGTTTCGATCTTTGCCCTTTTCGCCGGACGTGACATCTCCCCATCACTATCCTGCCCTCCACCAGGCGATGAGACTATGCCATGATTGCTCAGAAACGCCGCCGTATTTCTTACACCGACTGTTGCTCCATCGCGCGTGTTATCCACCTGCAGACCAGGTTGCGATACCGATCGCACATTTTGAAGGCGAGACGGTAGAGGGGCTCTTCTGGGGCCCTGCTGGAGGGCGTATGAGCCGCTCACCGCGCGTTGAGGGGGTAAAGGACGCTGGGAGTCCGGCGGCGGTCGATAGTCCATCGCTCGGTTGCACACCACTCGTTGCTTCGAAGCATCTTCATCAATACCCGTACGCGCTGGGTCAACTTCCCATCGTCTTTAGCTAGCCGGGCCGCTGGCAAYTGTACAAAAATGCAATATCCCAAGAGTAGCGGGCTGGCAGGAAAAGAATCAAGGCGGATGGGTAAGGGCGAAGGAGAAGGCTCACAAGGTACAACATAGGTTCAAAGGTCTCACTAAAGGGCCCGCTCGCAGGGTTACCCGCTGGGATAAGCACAGGGAAACGAGTGCGAAAGAGGCGTCGGTGCGCGCAGATCGTGGAGTCCGACCGATATTCTCCGGCTATCTTATCCTTTTGCAAGATGAAAGGAATGGCGATTAGGAGTCCATCCCGAACCAAGTGACCGAGCTTCATATGGAGCGGTCATGGCGAAGAATGTGTCCCCGAACGAGCAATACAATACCATGTACTCGGAGCGGAAGGAAAGCCGTAGCTACGACATGTGCGTCTTCGTTTCATCTGTAGGTACTCTCTCACACCATCTCACCGCGGCTTGCGGAAGACATCTGATGGACTGGATTGGGTTAAAGTGACACACGTGGTGCTAGTGCTGGTTTTAGTGCCCGCCCTCGCCGCCGCGCCCTCGCCCGCGTCGCGAGAGCCAAACGGCCCGGGCTCTCCAGGAACACGTCTTCTACGCCGTGACCTTCCTATCGCAGATTCACCGAAGTAATAACCCTCTCAACACCAATAAGCTGCCATCTCATTACACCATGGCGACAAAGAAGGATATGAGGCGGGAGGATCTGAGTAGGGCAATCTCCGTGGCGCAATGACAGATTGAGTGCATGGCTGACTGTTTGGTGCAGTCGTGCCCTATACGGAGGCGGCAGCAGACAAGGAGGGCTCGTCGGACTTCAACAGTGAGTCTGCTGACCAGCAAGACATCAACATGATCTGGGTTTAGTTACTAACATTGCGAGCTCAGGCACAATGACCAGCACTCTGCCAATGGCCGCGGTAAGTGTCAATGCATCACGCAAAATTGTGTCTCACCACTCTGACCTCGTCTAGATTTTCACAAGAAACAAGTAAGGCCGTCCACTAGAGGTTTCCAATGGAAGTGATCACACATTGACCATGCATAGATTGCTGGGTTGGACCGCCGTCCTTTTCGCCGTCCAGGGCTGGCTATCAGAGACCGAGGCGCAGCGAGCTGCTGCATCACAGCCCGGATACTTCTCTGTTGGCATGTCCTTGCTCTCTTTGTGCGTAGGCTACATGCCTCTTTTCATGCCACCAGTGGCGGGCAAGGTCGGCGGAGCAAGTGGAACGGAGGCGCCCGCAGCAGCTCCCCAATAGTGACAGACCAGCGTCCAAGACTGTATTATCAATTGATTGAGGCAAGGGCCTCTTTGCAGAAGCCGAACGATTCAGGAGTATTCAAGAAGTCCCAAGGCCCCTCTTCCATCATGGCAAGACCAATAGGGGGAATCCGACCAGTTTGGTGGCCGCGTGTGGGCGCACAGAAGTGTCAAGTTCGCAGAAATGGTCTTGAGCTGCAGGAGCCTACTCGAAATGGTCGAATATGTATGAATAGGCACATTCGAAGTATCCATCCGAGCCATGCGTTCTACACCGAACAAATTCCATTCACTCAGGTATACAGCTGGCATCACTACTCGCCATCCGGCGCAGAATAACGAAGGGTCGCAGGGGCATCAATAAGTTGCAAAGGTAGCATTCGCAGACTTCTTCTGATTCGACACATCACCTCGTATATACGTATATACTTGATACAGATCGAGCGGAGATTTTGCGGTCGTCGTGGAGTGGCGATCAAAATTTGAGATGGCACAGATGCACCCAATGGACGCTCAAGTGTGGAAATCGTTCAAGACCTCCGAGCCGAGGGACGAAATCAATGTGGTATTCCCATGCATCTATTCTCCAACCATGCTATCCTTTCCTCCATCGTCCGTCCTCCCAAGCATCACCCAGCCTCTAGTACTGGCTGGACGCCTGCTGACATGCCTTCAACTGATCCAAATACCATCCACAGATCGTCAAGTTGCCCTGGTTCTGATCCATACATGACCGGAAGTTGTTGATGTCGTTCGCGCAAGCGCCAGTTGCAGAGTTGTTGGTCGCGCTGGTCTGTACAAAACCATTGTCCTGAGCAGCGACTGGAGCAGCCTCCTGTGCTGCGGGCTGTGAGCTGCCGCCCCCAAACCAGCCACCAACTGCGTGGCCGATGGAAGATCCGACTGCTACACCACTGTTTCGAGACTTGTGATTAGTGATTGTTCATCGCATGCGGTGATGTCAGTTTAAGCTTACGYAGCAGTGCTGGCCATCTGGCCAAACAGTCCGGAGCCACCGCTGCTCTGCTGTGCTGGAGGAGCTTGGGCGGGTGGTGCTGCGCTGGTGGAGGCCTGTCGAGCCTGTGTTGGAGGTGCTGGCCGCTGAGGAGCGACAGTTGGTCGCTTAGGCGCAGGAGCTGGACCACGAGATTGACGAGGCATCTTCGATTAAGTTGTGTGTGGTGAGAGTCGTTGTGTAGGTGAAGTGGCAAGCGGATGAGAGGAGATGGCAAAGGATAGATCTAGAAAGTAAACGAACTCGGCAGACAAGCTAAGTTTGGGAAGGAATGTGGCACATGATTCGTTCGGAGTTCGGTATTAAGGAATGGCCTTCATCGTGCACCTATAAGGCAGTGTGAAGTCGCTGGTTAACATGTGCAGGCTGTATAACAAGACGAGAGCAGGTTTCTTCGTGGGCGTTCTTCGTGTTATGGCAAAAGACATCTGCAGCTCTACGGGCTCCAAAACTCTGCGCCCATGGAATCATTTTCGGTGAGAAATGCTTGTCACGCAGCTAATAAGTTTCATGGCATCGTGCACAATTTAATGTCAACTGCTGCACTGGGACTACCCTATTTCACCAGTCTGCGGTCTGCTGAACAGCTCGCCAAACAATCAAGAGCAAGAAAAACACCTCCTCTTCGCTCCCCCATCTGGTGACGCCATTGTCAAAGTCAAGAAGAGACCATCGGAGGAAAGGAAAAGGAAGCAGACTGATAATGCCATCCATGATTCTATAATGCCCATGCTCCCTCCATTTCATTAGTATCTTGCCTTCTGTGCTGCGGACTGACTGCTCTGATGATGCAATGGCAAGTTACAATTGAAATTGAGAAGTGGTATGGGTATCGGTACTGAGAAAACTGATGCGTGGTGGTCGTGATGATGAATGTGCATGACCGCGGCCGTGAAACGTAGTAGAGGGGATGTGTCCGTGACCGTCCAGGACGTACTGGCCATTCCGAGGTGATAATTCTCGCGCTCGTCGCGCTCATAGAATGGAGCACTTGGACTTCTTGGCCTTCACCATTGGTCGAGGACTGATAACGGCTCTGGACAGCGATTGTCAGCATGTGGCAGTCGTATCCCAGCACGCAAAACTCACTTGATCGCCTCATCAAACACACTCTTAAGATTTCGCTGCGTAAGCGCGGAGCATTCCAGGTATTTCACCGCCTTGATATCCTTGGCGACCTGCACGGCCTGTTCGTACTGAATGGGCGCCATCTTTCTTTGCCGCAACTGCTCGCGAACCTCGGGGTCGTCTCTCAGATCAAGTTTTGTGCCTACAAGAATAATCGGTACGCCAGGTGCGTGGTGCTCTATTTCAGGGTACCACTACGAGCACCGAAAAGGTTAGTGGACAACCTCAGCACCATGGCGGACATGTGCATACCTTTGCCTTGACGTTGTCAAAGGATGAAGGGCTGACAATGGAGAAGCAGATCAGGAACACATCTGTCTGCGGGTAGGAGAGCGGTCGAAGCCGGTCGTAATCCTCCTGACCAGCCGTATCCCAAAGACCCRGACTTATAGGCTTGTTGTCCACCATGACACTCGCAGAGTAGTTATCGAAGCTGTTACAAGGTCAGGCCATGGATTTGCGATCTGCATCTTGGGAGCACCGAGGCTTACACTGTAGGAATGTATTCGCCGGGGAAAGCGTTCGTCGTATAGGATATAAGGAGACATGTCTAGCACTGGAATCAGCAAGCGGCCCTCAGGAAGCATTTGTCCGTGTCCATACTTTACCAACGGCACCATCACCAGTCACAACACACTATGGCGCGCGATTAGCATTGTTCCATGGCCGCATCTCCGTGTATTCCGCCCACCTTCAAGGATTGGGTCGCCGGTGTCGCCATATTTGCCGTGTCTGCGTCTGTGCAATGGAATCGCTATCGCAACAATGATGGGCAAGCGTGCGTGGCGAGGCTCGGTCCACGCGTGATGGTGACTAGAGCAAACAAAAGCTTCCCCTCGCGGGCGTGTCTGGGTGGATATCGGTCGTGTTCCGGTCGTGGCGATCGCTCATTCACGTGGCGATTCCTCCTCTTTGCCTGTGCCTGGGAATGAAGCAGCTGACTTGAATACCGCAGCGTACAGAGAGGAGGCGTGGATGAGCAGCGCGGAAAAGCGTGTCTCTCTGGGTCCGCGAGTAGTAGTCTTCTCCCACACGATGGTGCTCCCAGAAACGCAGCAAGCGGAAGCCGTGCGCCGAATGGGACAAAAGACGGCCCGGAGCGCGGTGAGCCCGAGGGTCGTGGGGTGTGCCTCAACTGCTGTGTCTTTCTTGCAATGGATTTTGCACAAAGGAATCCACGATGGCTGTAGTGAGGGCAAGTGATTGATGAGGTCGGCCGTGATGTGGGCTACGACAGCTTTGCGGTGCAAAAGTCTGCAATCTATAGGAGCTTCCCTGCCGCTGCGACCTGCAGCAGGCCAGGCCAAGCCGCCCCCGGGAACGAATAGATCGTGGAGGCGGAGGCTGAAGGGAATCACAACGAACGAAAGCACTCTTGAGACACTGTCATGTGCAGCATACACATCATATCGTACGGCGAAGTTACTGCGATCCCGTCCAATCACTTGCGTATTGGAGTATGATTTGTCGATACCCCAGTTGCCAAATACGCAGCCTCTCATCGTTGGGACTGGGATCTCGCGAATAGCCGCTGGTCGTCTGCCGCGCTTATCCAACTCTATTCGCGTGAGCTACGCGACCGCAAGAGAGATGCTGCGATTTGCCAGCGAGAATTCATGATTGCGGGCGTCAAAAGGAAATGGTCGATGCCATGTTGGACGAGCTGCATTCGAGGTATTCGCAGCGACCTCTGTACATATCTCCCAGGGTGGAGTAGTCCCTACACGAGAGCTGTCACAGGCTACTCTCCCTTTTCCAACAGCTCCCTCTTCTTTTGTATGCTCTGCAACAGATCAGCCTCTTTGGACTCCAACTTTCGTCGCTTTTCAATCTCTGCCAGCTCAGCCATCTTCTCCATAATGGTGGTTTTGATATCACCTGTCCCGTCCTTCCTGCTCAGCACCTCTGCAAACCAGTCCTCAATCTCCTTGTCCGCTTCACTGTCCCCAGAGTAGACATCATAGCCGATGCCTTTGCGCACAGCCTCCCTGAGATCCTCGATGTCGGCAACATCAAAGTACTTCATAGCCCCTCCCGTAGCTGCCATGAAAATGGCTGCCACATTGAGCGTTGCGAGAAAAAGCGCCTCTGCTGCATCCAATCCACCATCTGCCTTTGGTGCAGCATTTGAAGGCGTGAATTGTGGGAGTTCAATCTTTGCGTTTGGATTTTTGAGCTTTGTCTGCTTGAGATGTGGGWAGACCGCCAGCTGCTTCTTGTACAGTGCTCGTCTTGTTACAAATGCAGTAAGGAATGTGAATGCAAGTCCACCGAAGAACATGGCATCCTGGCGACGACGCCGATGCGCAGCGTCTATCCGAGTCGGGACGGTGGGAGCAATGGGAGCATCGAGGTTTGGCGGAGGCGAAGATACAGCGGGCTGACTTTCCCGGCGAAGGTCACCGGGCGCGAGGAATCGGTCCCAGAACGACATCCATGCAGTTCCAACTAGCCAGCTGGAGTTCCCGGCTGCACTATTCCCAAGGCGAAAGGTGAATGAATGGTGGAGGTTTGCACGGGAAGAATGTTGCGGGTATAGACGGGCTTCTGGACCCTGAGGTGCCCGTGAATGCTGACCGCAGATCTTCAATCTTCAGATGCAACAATTGCACACTCCCTCAACATCTCTTTGACCATCGCCACCAAACATTTCCCACAGTACCTCGCCATGGCAGCTTTTCGCAACCCCTCCCGCCGTATCTTCTCGTCTGCTATGCTGGAGAGCAAGCACTCTTTGCTCGTTCCTCAGAAACGGTCCTTTGCCACCACCGTCTCCGATGCGCCTCCGCCGACAACCACGCAATCACAACCTCGACCCGCCACCTCTTTCTCCGACCGCCTCAACTCTGGACCAGCGTTCGGTGACTTTGTAGCGGCCAAGAATGACGAGCCAATGTCACAAGATGATCTCTACGAACTCCGAACTGTCCAGGTAGGCCCCGAGGGCCGTAAAAAGACTCACACACGCCTGCCAGAGTGGTTGAAGACACCGATACCTTCCAACGACAACTTCAAGCGTATAAAGAACGACCTTCGAGGTCTGAACCTGCACACTGTCTGCGAAGAAGCCCGGTGTCCCAACATCAGCGATTGTTGGGGAGGCTCCGATAAATCAGCAGCGACGGCGACGATCATGTTGATGGGCGACACTTGTACAAGAGGGTGTCGTTTCTGCAGTGTTAAAACCTCGAACAAACCACCTCCGCTAGATCCACACGAGCCAGAGAACACCGCAGAGGCACTGAAACGATGGGGACTTGGCTATGTCGTGCTCACGAGCGTAGACCGAGACGATCTGGCAGATGGCGGTAGCAGACATTTCGCAGAGACGATTATCAAGATCAAGCAGAAGGCCTCCCATATCCTTGTCGAGGCACTCACTGGAGACTATGCTGGAGATTTAGAACAGGTCGCGCTTGTAGCTCGCAGCGGACTGGACGTCTACGCACACAACATGGAAACAACAGAGGAGCTCACCCCTTCTGTGCGTGATCGCAGAGCGAAATACCGGCAATCATTGCAGGTCTTGAAGGCTGCAAAGGAGGCGAAACCAGATCTCATCACCAAAACTTCCATCATGCTGGGCTTGGGCGAGACGGAGGATCAGCTTTGGAGGACACTGAAGGATTTACGTGCTGTAGATGTTGATGTTGTGACTTTCGGACAATACATGCGACCCACCAAGCGTCACATGAAGGTGCACGAGTACGTCACGCCCGATACCTTTGAGCTTTGGAGGCAGAGAGCACTGGATTTGGGGTTCCTGTATTGTGCCTCTGGACCGTTGGTTCGAAGCAGTTATAAGGCTGGCGAGGCTTTCATTGAGAACGTTCTCAAGAAGAGAGCCAGACACAGTAGTTTGCTGAGTGCGGAGGCTGCTGGCGCTTTCAAGGAGCTCGGAGGTGCCTAGGTGTGTGCTGTATAGACCGGGAGGATTCATCATTTGCAGCGTTTCAAGCGGCACTCAACTGCCTTTCATTCGAAATTACCTATGTGWACAGTGACAGAAAGGGATGAGCAGGAGGAGACACTGCGAATCCTGCGGAGGATCTCAACCATTATTCATAATCTTCGTATAAACCCCCGAGACTGGTAGCACGAGCAGTCTAGCCAGAGTCCGATCCATAAACCATGCTGCTAGCTAGGACAGCGCAAACAACMCTTCCACATGGCCTGCACCCATTGCAAGAGTGCCATTGGGAGCCCTCCTTCAACAATTCGATCGAGTCAGGATAGTCATCGACACTCATAGCTGAGTGCTACGCAGCCGCCTCTCCAGGCTGGCAGGTACTGCAACGCCAGCAAACCTCGAGTCACTCCCCATGGAGGAATATCTTGAGTCGCGGCCGCTCCGAGCTTCTATCTCCCGATGGTCGTCGTAAAAGGACTTGTTCCCGTTTGGGCCACGATCAATGCACCATTCTGGTGCCTGAGACCAATGCGACCAGTAGTCACGACGACTCTCCAATGGACCTTCGACGTACGAGGCGAGATTCGMATACACGGGAATGAGCACGCGCGTGAGAATATCGCCATTCGTAGAGGCGGTCCCGGTTGGGCGTCGCGCATTGGCGACGGCGGACACGCGAGCCGCGGCGATTTCCATTGAATGACGTGGCTTGGAAATAGCTTGAATGCTCTGGTACAACTCCTCTTGCCGGCCGAAGTTGCTGCCAGAGGTCCACCAATCATCAAGCCGTTTTTCCGGGCTCACGCCCACCTTCTTGGCCGAGCTGTGCATGGAGGATGAGGTGCGTGGGTGTTCGATGGAGCCATGCGGATTGGCGTAAATAGCCAGCGATTGGTATTCGTCGTCCACGATATCTGGTTCACTGTTCGTCAGATGGCTGTCTAGGAGTAAAGGTTTGTTCCTCATGGGCTGTGAGTCTTTCCAACAGGGTGGCATACCAGTTTTTTGAGAGAWCACGGAACGAGCAGCCGTCTGCATAATAGTGCTGTGGTCCTCACTTTCGCTGCGGCGAGATGCCGATGACGAAGTGCACTCGGTCTTTAGATCGCCCTTGAAAGGATCGTGTAGCACACTGCGTCGAGGCAGCTGGCTGTGCTCATGCTCGACATCAACAGAGCTGAAAGACCCAAGATTCTCTCGGCTGAGGGAGCGCTCAACTGCATGACCGCGAATCTTGAATATATTTTCCCGTGCAGCCTCGCGCGGAGTGACGGGCTTACCGCGCAGCGACTCCATAGAAGCAACGGACAAGTGCCTGCGATCCATGTCCGGACCAGTGCCGGCCACCCGTGCCGGCAAGAACGCTGATACGCCCGGTATGCTGGGTCGGGATAAAAAGTTGCTGCCAAAACTGCGGCCGACATCTTCGAAGGTGGTGCGAGACGCCGGAAGAGGCTTGCATGGCATCCTGACATCTGGTACCGCTGGCAATGGGATTGATTTATACGTACCATACGAAGGTTTTCGGGCATCGAAGGGCTGCGGTGGTCCCATGGGCGCGGCTTGTCTGGCTGGACCAGCCACGGTACCGCCACTGTACTCGGGCCCCAGTTGAGTAAAGGCAGACGGGAATACGCTCGCGGCGAACGGATCATCAGCGGTGTGCACGTGTTTGGGACTGAAGGGAGCTTGGAAGTGGTTGTCAACGACGCGCGAGCCCTGAGGCACAGCGTAGAATGAGTGAGGTTCGACCAGCTCGATTGATTGAGGGATGGTACGCTGCTGCTGAGTGGTTTGGAGTCTCGCGTCCTGTCGTTCAGCCAAACCGGAGTCTTGAGCGATTTGTGAAAATGCCGGAGTGGCAGCATTGWGTTTCTTGCTGGAAGCAGAGAGCTTGGCTTGGGCAGGGTCCGGTAGGAGCTGTTGAATTTCTGTCTGCCCAAAATCTAGTCCTGCAGTTGCTGCTTCGCGTTGCTTCGCGATGGTGCGAAAGTATGCCAGCGAGTTCTGCTGCAACTTTTGGTAGGCGGTCTCCCCTTTCAGATGATCGCCTGCGAGCTGTCCTTCGATCTTTTTACGGATGTTGGAGAATTGACCGATATTGTCCCACTGATAGCTTCTCAGTGACCACATGTGTGCAGAAACATCCCCGTTAGGGTGTTGGATGAACTGCACCTGACCATTACGCCAGCCAGCCTGACTCGCGAGGAACTCCAATCCTGGAAGTGGGTTGGCGAAGACGGCAAGAATTTCGCGTTGGTCCACAGTAGCCTCAACAGTGGCCTGCTTCACTTCCGGCTTATCCTCGTAGGCACCCAGCTCGCCCCTTCGACTGTTGCGGCGACCCGTATATGTCTGAAAGCCCGTATCGTCCAGTGCAGAATCTTGTCGCTCCATTCCAACAGCTTCCGTGTTCGTTGTGCGAGGATCATCCTGCGAGGATCTGCTGTATGGGCGACCCAAGTGAGGACCTTCGGTGCGGTAACTGTTGACTCTCGTCTCAATGGCAACACCCCCGGAGCTGACGCTGGTCGCTCTTGATCTTCCTGAGTATACGGAATTGTCTAGAGATTTCATTGTTGGCTTCGATTTTGCGCGTGACTGGGGACGGCTTCGCTCCAGCTGCGGCGGGTTGGCGAGCGCTGCCTCCGCCAGATGGATGCGCTCATTCTGGCGCTGTAGCTTAGCCTCGGCGAGTGACATGATGGGTGGTGAAGAGTCGGCCATGTTGCTTGCGTCACCTTCGATCACTCCGGATGCGTTGTCGGATGTAGTATTGGTGGTGTGGGACGAACCAGCGCTGCCGCTTCGGTTGGTGGCGCGAGACGTTGTCTGAGATCGATTGGGCGGCTGTGGAGTACCGAGTGGAAGACGACTGCCCGGGAGTCGCGCAACAGCGCCGCTTTGTTTTGGGCGGCGGCTATGTGCCGGCATCTGGTCCGTAGTAGATTGGCCGCCAAAGCATGAACTTACATCGGCGCTCCCCGAATACGTCGCAGTGTTGAATAGCAGTGATGAGTGATTGTCTGGTTGCGGTACCTTGAAGCGATTGTTCACAAATGGAGACGCGGTGCTGATGTGGGTGGAGGTGAGGAGTGGTGGAGGCGTGGCGTGGGGATGCGAAGTCGAAGTCGAAGTGGGAAGTCGGGATGACGAGATGGACAAGAAGAGAGAAGACAAGAGCGACGAGATGGTGACCTGCAACTTCCCGCGAGGGCGAGAGCTGAACTTACATGTACCTTCCAGGTTGGTGCCTATATTGAAGATGCTCGCCTCCCCACCGCTCTTCGTCCATTTCTGCCACCATCCGCAGCTAGTCTATCGTCCTGCACGGTCCCGAGACCTGCAGCGTTTGAGCCTGTGAACATCCAAGCGACCATGCCATATCCGCTACTAACAAACACAGAGGCCGTGTCTATAACATGACCAACACTCTCTCCAGCTCGCAATGGTCGCGAGATATGCCACTGTCCCGTCTGTATCATTCTGCTATCAAACTATCGCCATGCACCTCTTGCAGACCTCAAGCTTTCCTCGACCTTTCAAACTTCGCGCGCGATCCACCTTCTCTCATCTTTTTTGCACGAATCCTATTTCTGCGTAGAGGAGGATGTGTGGCCGGACCATTCCCGTTTTGCACGCTCTTTCAGGTCTTTCAGGTGTAAGATTCAGGGTGTAACTCGGCCATGATATCAACAGCTTCGTCCATATGCGATGCGGTTCTGCAAAGTATCCACAAAGYTCAAACCTTCTCTTCCTGGCACTGTGGGAACGACGCGTGAGGTGAGAAAGAGAAACACAAAAAGCACAGAAGACGCAACGCAAACGAATCGGCGGCGGCAGTGATTAGAAATGCCCCGTGGTGTGACCTCCTCTTCACGCAAAAGCATGCTTCGGCATTCGCCCGGATCTACGAATGCGGAGAAACCTGGAGACAAATGCATTGGGATCGTGTCCTGTTCCTCACCTGTCTCGCCCAGAAAGACAACAACCACTGCCGTCCGTTGCCTCATCTGAAGAACTCGTCAATCGAGCGCATTACCGGGTAGCTTGACTGACATCTTGTCATCTTTGTACGTCACGACAAAACCATGGAGTCGGCAGCCAAAGTGCCGGTGGCGGAAGTTGTCAAGCATGCATCAGCGGAAGACTGCTGGGTTGTCGTGAACGGGAAAGTGTACGACTTGTCAAGATTCGCATCAGAGCATCCGGGTGGTCCACAAGGTATCTTGACCCATGGTTTCTAGTTTTGAAGCCCAGCTCAACCTTGTCAATAGTCATCTGGAAATGGGCCGGTAAAGATGGCACTGAGACATATAACATGTACCACGCTGCCGATTTGATCGATAAAGATTTGCCTGCTGCTGACAAGAAGGGAGCCCTGGATCAGTCAACCATCACAGAAACCTGGACCAAAGCCCAGAAGCAAGAAACGTCGGCGGCCAAGGCAGATCCCAATGAGAAGCCTCCTCTGTCCTCTCTCATCAACCTTGACGACTTTCTAGTTGCGTTCGAAAAAAGCGGCTCTCCGAAAGGCTGGGTCTACATTCATGGAGCTAGCAACGATCTCCTTTCTCTCAATGCCAACAGATCCTGGTGGGGCAAGATCTGGTTCCATCCTCGCATCATGAGAGACGTTTCTGTCATCAATACCAAGATGACTATGATGGGAGCAAAAGTTAACATGCCGGTATYCATTTCCCCCATGGGAATCGCAAAGACTGCAGGTCCGGAGGGCGAGGCTGCTCTTGGAGCTGGCGCGGCAGCTAGTGGAATCGTGCATTGCATGTCAACTGCGGCTTCGATGAGCGTCGAGGACATTCTTGCAAGCGTGCCAACAACCTATCCGTACTTCTTCCAGTTATACGTCGATAAAGCTCGACACAAGACCGAAGCACTGTTGAGGAAGTTGGAGGCCATGAAGCAAATAAAAGCACTGTTCGTAACCGTCGATTTGCCCGTCGTCAGTAAACGAGAGGCCGATGAAAGGTTGTTGGTTGAGGAAACCACCTCGGTGTATGCCAACGGACAAAAGTCTGGCAACGACAAGAAAGGAGGTGGCCTGGCTAGATCGACAGGAAGCTTTATTGATTCATCTCTGAGCTGGAAGGATATTGCATGGATCAAGAAACATTCAAGCAAGCCAATCGTACTAAAAGGTGTTCAGTCGGCAATGGATGCGAAGAAGGCACTGGCGATGGGATGTGCTGGTATCGTCGTCTCAAAGTAAGTCGTCGAAGCAAGAAAGGAGGATCATCGTGATGGCAGGAGTCCATCTAACTTGTGGTTCCGGCTTGCTTTTGCTGCCCTTCTAGTGAAGCTCACTGCTAACGTTGAACAGCCACGGTGGTAGGGCATTAGACAACTCGCCCGGAACGATTTTAATCCTGCTGGAATTAAGAAGGGACTGTCCAGAGGTGTTCAGCCAGATGGAGGTGTACATTGACGGTGGCATCAGACGAGGCTCGGATGTGCTGAAAGCCATCTGCATTGGCGCCAGAGGGGTGGGTATTGGTAGACCATTTCAGTGCGCTGTCGCATATGGCCATGAAGGTGTTGCGCATGCAGCAGCAGGTGAGTTTCTATTCCGTACATGCAGAGCGTGGGCTAACGGAAGGGGATAGTGCTTCAAGACGAAGTCGAGACGGCGATGCGTTTGTGTGGCATCACTGACCTGAACGCCGTTCGCGGAGACATGTCGTATCTCAATACCTCTGAGTTGCAGCAGCTGCTACCACCTCCGCCGAGCACTGGCGGATGGCTGTTTGGCAGAAGKAGTGCGAAGCTTTGAGCAACATAGAGCACGATTTACTCGAGTGTCCCGTGCAAGAGTTTGCCACAACTCCTAGATTGTCAAGTATGTTTGGTCACAAAGAGAATCTCACAGCGGCAAACAGGACGCAGAGTGGGTGTTTGCGGTTCGAGCAAGCCCCGAATCCTTATACCAGTCTACCTATATCAGGCTCATCTTGTCGTTCGATCGTCAACTCTTACGCATAGAATTTGCTTCCCATTTCTGGCTGCGTGCAATGAGGACTTTTCTATAGTCTATCTTTTCACAAGCGTATGTGCCGCGCGTGAAGCGTCCTTCCAATGATGTCACGTGACGTACACATGCCTTTTTTCTCTTTTGCTGGTGTCACAAGCACCAAGTGAATAGTCCATGCCAAGTGAATATGCAAGCTCGAACTCTGGTTTCGAACAACATCTTGCAAGTATAAATACACAGATCCAAACTCGAGACAACCAAAACTTTTCATCAAACTTTTCCCCACCTTTCCATCATCCATCAACCAGTCATTCCAAACCAATCAACCAATCAACTCAACAAACACCTCACAATGGCTGCAATCACCAGCATCGAAGTCGAGGGCTTGAAGAAGATCGCCAGCGGCAAGGTTCGCGAGATCTTTGAAATCGACGAGAACACTCTGCTCTTCGTGGCGACTGACCGGATCTCAGCCTACGATGTCATCTTGCAGAACGTACGTGAATGCAACCTGACTTTTGCATGTGACAGTGACAACTAACATACTTACAGGGCGTCCCCGWCAAGGGCGCATTACTCACTCAGCTCTCTGGACACTGGTTCGATCTGATTAACAAGCACCTGCCATCCCTCAAGACACATATCGTGTCCACCACTCTCCCCGCTGGCCTGCCCCAGAGTCTTGATCGTCGGAGCATGCAGGTCCGCCGAGTGCCTGTAGTCCCACTCGAGTCAATCGTGCGCGGCTACATCACTGGGTCTGCATGGGCCGAATATAAGAAGTCTGGCACTGTTCACGGCATGCCGATGCCCGCCGGGCYCAAGGAGAGCCAGAAGCTGGAGGAGCCGATTTGGACTCCAAGCACCAAGGCCGAGCAAGGAGAGCATGACGAGAACATCTCGCGCGCAAAGGCAGTCGRGATTGTGGGCGAGGAACTGGCGTCGAAGATCGAGAAGGCAAGCTTGGAGATTTACAAGCTGGTATGTGAAGACTTTCGTCTTGATTGCACTTCGGATGCTAACTGCACTGTTAGGCTCGAGATTACGCTGAGAAGCGCGGCATCATCATTGCCGATACCAAATTCGAGTTCGGTCTGGATGCCTCCACGAAGGAGATCATGCTGATCGACGAAGTGCTTACCCCAGACAGCTCGCGCTTCTGGCCACTGGACAAGTACGAGGTTGGCAAAGGCCAAGAATCGTACGACAAGCAGTATTTGCGCGACTGGCTGACCAGCTCCGGTCTCAAGGGTAAGGACGGGGTTGCGATGCCGGCAGAAGTTGWCCAGGGGACAGCGAGCAAGTATCGCGAGGCATACGAGAAGTTGACGGGCAAGGCGTGGCAGTGATCGATTACGGCAATGGGGCGAGAGCGGTTGATAAATAAATATCAACAATGTGAGGTCATGCATCAAGTTCTGAAAGTCGTGAAAGTACTGCGTGGTTCAGCGTCGCAGCCAGCATGCATTATACCGGTCCAGAGCCACTGTGGTCTGCCAGAAGCTGTTTGTACATCTCATCCGCTTGTAAAGCGGAGTCATCGTCGCCGCACCAAGCGGAGAGGCGAGATTTCATTAGCAGACAATCGGATTGACCATCAAAGTCTTCGGTTCGTTGRTAAGCTGCCGGCTGTCAGATGCGAATGCTTTCCATATCGAGCTGTACAAAGGAAGGATGCACATACCTGATCGTCCACGCTCAATCATTTCCAGCGCCGTTCGCATGCTTCTAGTTTGCTCGCTTGAGTTTGGCGGACAGCTATGCCCTGCAAAACCAACGCATGCTTCTCCCATGGAGACAAATAATTGCGCAACGAGATGGACATTGTTACACTCCWGGGCCTGAGAAGCTTGCGTAAGTAGAGGAAACGGTACCATAGAGGACAGGAAACTTACTCGTGGCAGAGCTGACTCCAGAACGTTCTTTGCCATTGCAAACTCCGAGAGATCGATCAGGATTCTGCCTAGGACGCCGAGACCTTCCAAAAAGACCGGGATGATCAAGTGGCGTTCTGCTGCCGATGTAGCACGTAGCGCGATTGCAAAGCCTTTACTAGCCTGGCCGCCGTGGCCAAAGATGCGACTCTTGAGGATTAGWAGATGCAGGCGCTGGGCGATGTCCACTGTGATGTGTCAACTCGGTTGCCATCAGGAATGTCAAGACGCGATACGAACCCGTTCCTCTTCCCTTGAACTCAGCTAGTCGTGCATTGGTTTTGCTGAGAGCACGCTCCAATTGCTTCTGCTTGATGAGCAACTCGATCTCCAGGATATTGACTTCGAAGACGATCTCTGGGTCGCTGGTGGTCCTGAGGGGTCGGAGCTGCCCGATGTAATAATCTGCTGCATCGTTGTCGCCGCTGTCAGAGGTCAATGTTTATTCAAAATACCCATCCTCGCGTTCACGTACTGATGCATCCTTCTCCGCGACTGCACTATAGCAGCATACGCTTTGACTTTCTGATCCAACTTGAGGACCCCGCTTACTTCTGAGGCAATGCTTTCTAGGACGCTTATGGCCTTGGAGAATAGACCAGCTTGACTTTGCGTGTAAGCGCGGCGGCAAGCTGAACGAACTTTATCGTTGAGAGGACAATGAGCCATATGTACCGTGGTTGCAAGCTCGTAACCGCGATTTGCAAGATGTGACTGGCCTTGCGAGGTCCAGTGTCAGCAGAAAATCTTGCAATGTGAGAAGACCTTGTGCGTACCCAATCTGTCCAAACTAGAGCTCTGGAAAATCACAGCGGCCGGTGCTAGCGAACGAAGATCGTGTTGGATGTTCAGATACATTGCCTGCACAATGTGTTCGTGGGCACGACCTAGGCTACCGTCCTGACATGATCTCAGCAGATACACAATTGACGGTAAGGTGGTGAATACTTACGCTGAACATCTCGAGTCGAGCCTCCTCGAGTAGGGTGCTACTCAGCAACATCCAGTGCCTACCTTCTCGTGCTTTCGTCTTCAAGAACTGKACCTCATCGCGCTCGCCTGCATTACTGCCTACAACGCCCGAGACTGTGGAGTAGGAGGAGTGATTCTTGTCTGGATGAGCGTGGCGGAGGTATAAGAGCCAGGACAATGCAAAGTTCAGGCACGCTGCGTCCTGGTTTTCGCGGGCTGGAAACGTCAGTACTAGAACCAACGGCATTGGAGGTATCTAACAAAAGAAATGACCGGATTTCACTTACCTGTGGCAATGCATTCGTTCATTGCGTCTATACTTTCGTCCCAGCACTCAAAGTCTGAGTGAAGTACGCTTAGATGGAGCAGAGCATACTGATAGTAAACTCTCATATTGTCTGTTCCACTTCTTGACGCCAGAGAGTAGTCGAAGTAGCGATGCAAGCTTTCCAATGCCATCGTGTATTGCCCAGCACGCCAATGCTCGAAGAAAGCCATGAAGAAGTGCAAAGATTGAGTGCCAGAGTCCAGCTGGTCGCCAACCCAAGCCTCAAGTCTCGATTTCACGTCGTCTGGGACTCGTGTGCCGACTTTTTGCAGCTGGTGGATCGCGAAACCCAGCAGCATATCAGTATCGACGGCACTGGTGTTCAAGGTGACCGGTATCGAATCCGAGACAGCCAGTGATTTGGAGGAGGATACCATGGTCGCGGACGGGTCGTTTTCTATGAGATCTTTCGCGGCATCGGGATTTTGCCGGGCCCAATCGTCTCTTGTGGAAGCTCTATATGAGGCAAAGGCAGTCCACAACGTTTGAGAGTCTGCAAACTGCAGCCTTGTGAATTCTACATAGCAGCGTCGTACAAATTGGCCGAGCGGCGAAGAGGGAGTGATTCGCTGGCAGTCTGACAAGCTCTCCTCGATTTCATCCTCTTCCTCGGGTACTGGCTCAGTGATACGACGCAGTTGGCTGATTAGGGTGTTGAGAGAATCGAGACCACGTAGACTCCAGATTCCCTGAAGCAATACGTCGTACACACTTCTTCCCGGTATTCTCGACGTCCATTGCTGCRGCTTCTGCGCCAGCTCTGATATTTCGGGAGAGCACAGCGCGTCCTGATTGTCTACCTCATGTCGATCGTACTGAGAGACACCTGACGTGCGTCGAGCMATAAACTCCAGCACCTGCAGACTGGCAGCTGTTGAAGCCTGACCTGACTGGTAGAGGCGAACCAGCACCAGCAAGCATATGCGTGCCGGTGTCAGATAGCGAGGCATTGCGGTGAAGTCGGCATTGTCCAATGCTTGTGGGAGGAATTGTCGTGTCAACATTTGATGAGGGAAGTCGCGATTTGACGCGTGGCGGGAGCAGCCGGGCCGAATTGAGCTTGCACTTCCACTTCACATTAGTTTCGTCGCGTCATGATCAAGCGAATCGCGTGAACATGCAAACAGTCGCTCTCAGATCCCCCGGAAGTACAGCAAGACACGATACAGAGTGGCCATTTTGATGAGGATGCTGGCTATAAACAAACCTCAGGCCCAACTTGAGAGGATCCGGTGGCCAAGATGAGGCTCACGACGTGGTATGTCCTTCTCACGCCCACGCTAGACAGACCGCAATGCTGACTTTCTAGGAATGTCAACGGCATTCGCAATCCATTTTCATACCCTCCCTGGAATACCTCCCGCAGCTTCCAGGCCATGTTCGACACCCTTGAGAGCGACATTGTGGTTATGCAAGAGTTGAAGATACAGAGAAAGGACTTGAGGGACGATATGGTGCTTGTGAACGGTTGGGACTGCTACTTTAGTTTGCCAAAGCACAAGAAAGGCTACTCCGGCGTCGGTATTTACACACGCAATGCAGTCTGCGCTCCAACGCGGGCAGAAGAGGGCATCTTAGGAGTGCTGCCTTCTTCATCTGGCACAGCATATCGAGACCTCCCAGACAACGAGAGCATTGGAGGCTACCCCAGTGAACTTCAAATCGCAGAGCTCGAGATTGATCCTGCTGTTCTGGATGCCGAAGGAAGGTGTGTTGTCGTTGAGTTCCCAGCTTTCGTGCTCTTCGGCGTTTACTCTCCAGCCAACAGCAACGGACAACGTGATGACTTTCGATATGGCTTCGTCTCCGCTTTGGACTGCCGGATCCGCAATCTTGTGCGTGATGGCAAGCGGGTCGTTCTTGTGGGCGATCTTAATGTTTCACGACATGAAATTGACTCCGCTCCGACACTTGAGGACATGCGGAAAGGCAACACAAGCCACGAAGACTTCATCTCATCACCCAACCGCCGTGTGTTCAACCAGCTTCTCATCGATGGCGAAGTAATAGGCGGTCGAGACGAAGGGCGGGAGACAGGCGTGCTTTGGGATACTACTCGGCTTTTCCATCCTGATCGAAAAGGCATGTTTACGTGCTGGGAAACGAAGGTCAACGCTCGACCCGGAAACTATGGTGCTCGAATCGACTTTGTCCTTGTTGCCGAAACGATGCGATCCTGGGTGCAAGGTGCCGACATTCAAGAAGGTCTGCTTGGGTCTGACCATTGTCCTGTGTACGCCGATTTCAAAGATGTCGTTACCTTGGAAGGGAACGACGTCCCTCTGGTGGACATTATGAACCCTCCGGGTGTTTTTCAACATGGAGTGCGGAAGCTTGAGTGGAAACTCCTTTCTGCGCCATCATTTTCAGCCAAGCGAATGCCTGAATTCGACAAGCGACAAAATATCATGACCATGTTTGCAGCATCCTCGCAAAAAGCCCGGGCACCCCAGTCTCAGCCCGTGTCTCAGCCTGGCTCTGCTAAAGATATCACCGGCGATGAAAACTCTACTACCGCTGATTCGGAAAGCGTCCCGCTGGCTCATGTTTCGGAAGCGCCCCTGAAATATGTGGATGGTTCTGTGAAGTCAGAGATGGGTGGAAATGAGAAGAAGCCATCAACAAAGCGCAAAGCTTCAACCGCGACAGCCAAAGACTCTCCAGCCAAGCGGGCGAAGAGCAGCATGCCGTCCTCGTCGAGCGGGCAGCAGAGTCTGAAAGGCTTCTTCCAGGCTAGGGCCTCCCAAGCGAACGGCAAGGCGCAGAAGGCTGAAGAATCTACCGTGCCTGCTACAACTTCACCCGTAGGTGCCAACCTAGGCAGAGACCAGTCGTCCAATGGTGTCATAGTCGCCAAAGATGCGCTGTCTGACGCTCGAAACCCGACTAACGCTACCGACGATGCGGATCCTTCACCGCCGGGAACACCTACCAGCAAGGATGTCTTTGCCAGTCCCAGGGCAAGTCCATCGCCTACCAACGTTGCCTTACAGATTGCATCTGCTGAAGAATCGCAACGCTCCTGGGGTGCACTATTTGCCAAGCCCGCCGCGCCGATGTGCGAAGGTCACGAGGAACCTTGCAAGACCATGCAGACGAAGAAGAAGGGCCCGAACCAGGGCCGGAGCTTCTGGATGTGCAATCGACCGCTCGGTCCGAGTGGAGAAAAGGAGAAAGGTACCCAGTGGCGTTGTGGGACCTTCATCTGGTGTTCGGACTGGTCGAGCAGGAAGGAGAGCGGCAAGACTGCGTCGCCTGCCAAAGCTGCCCAGCCTTGAGCATCGCCTCGGGTGTTACCCGTCCTTGCTTTTAGCATGACGCAGACTAAGCTACTCGAAGCCTGCCTGTCCTATCTGCAGGCCATCGCATAACTCACTCGCGCATCGGGATTATGTATATACTTTACCCATATTCATTACAAWGCTGATCATCCTTGGCGCACAGGTCTACCCTCTCGACTTTCATGCTGCGAATGCCAGATCTGCACCTCCTGAACAGTGAAACTCGCTAGCCAGGGCGATCTACTCTTTAGGCCCAAGCCCCAATTCCCTGCAACTCGCATTGTCAAACACCGTCATCACAAGACATGTGTATCTCTAGCATCGCCTTGAAGTTGTATCGGGGGAACGCTGTCCCAGTGGCTTCGAAGTCAATGCTGTTCGACATTGACCCGTGCTCACTTCCAACCATGCTCAAGCGCTACGGGCTGCTATGTGCCTTCGTTCCACCGACGCTTGCACGGTAAACGCCATCGGTTGAGATGTATTCCCTTCCTCTGGCTGGGCTCCATCTCTGCAACAGCCAATACTGGCGTAAGCGGGAGAAAACGAAGCTTCCCCCAACTCGTCCCCAACGGTTTCATGGGCCCTCTACGTCTGCGGCAAGCTTCCAATCCTGTTTTGTGCCTTCAAGGTAATCTGGATAGTCGTCGAGAAGGCTGAGATGGCGTAGCTGACAAAGCACTGCATCAAACTGCATTTTCTGCTATCCCCCTTCCACTGTCACACAATTTCTTTGCATCTTGGAGCAATGCCATATAGCACAATGTGTTTCCATTGGCTGTTAAAGAGACCGCTTGACAGAATCTGCCACCCATGTCATCGAGGTCGGTGGCGCTGGCCATGTCCGCTCTTGGCACTTTTCTCGAACCCAGAACTTGATGGCAATACTGGCCGAACCGCTACCTAACACTCACGGGGCTTGCTGATTGAATGTATCTTTACAGCATCTCTCCGTTTGCTAAGAACGAGGCGGTCGATGCCGACGGCGCTGGCCATGTCCGCTCTTGACACCTTTCCCGGACCCAACACTTGACGCCGATACTGGCCGAACCGTTACCTGATACTAAYGGGGCATGCTGATTGAATGTATCTCTACAGGCTCTATTTGTTTGCTAAGAACGAGGCGGTCGATGCCGACGGCGCTGGCCATGTTCGCTCTTGGCACCTTTCCCGGACCCAGCACTTGACGCCAATACTAGCCGACCCGCTACCTGGCACTCACGAATCCTGGTAACTGAGTGTATCTCTACGATCTCCCCATGTTTGATAAGAACGAGGCTGGCTTCTACAGATGTCGCTGCGATATGAAGCTGAAGCCACTTCCACCAGCCATGGCGTCTGCTACGGCCATGCACTCCGAGGACACTTTGACTACGGATCCTAACCATTTAAAGCCTGCTCTACAACCTCCCGTTGTTTGCTAAGAATGAGGCCGTCGATTGCACATGGCGCCGCGACATGAAGCCGAAGCCACTTCCAACCGCCATGGTATATGCTCCGACCCTGGACTCCATGAACGGTTYGGGTACTGTTATTAACTCCTTCAAGCGTACTTTGCATCCTTCTTTACTTCTATACAAGGTGCACTGTACGGTGCTGCCGCGCGCAAGGTTGACAGCATCAGTCTTTCCCCTCGATCCCTGCTATGGGTGGCGCATACCTCCTCAGTCTTCACCCGCGATGGAGAACATGACTATCGATCACACTCTACAAGCTCATGTACTTTTCTAGTAACGAGTAGCTTGCGCTCGTTGTTGAATGACTGCAGAAAGCAATTGTCAGGGTGCTCTTGCTCTTGGGACAATCTGTTCAATACATCGAATTTCCGAACAATACATATATGAGCTCGGTCATACAGACCATCTAACTAAATCCTACTACTTCTAGGCGTCCATCTCATCGCGTTGTATTGTGATCATGTTGTCGAGGAAGCCAGAATCCAGCTCTCCCTCCTGAAATCTTTGCCAAGACTTTCGTAAGCCGAGCCCTGATTGGCTTCAAAACCTCACCTGTTTGATCCGGCCTCGCTCGACTGCGCCACAGTGAAAAGTCGTTCTCTTGACAACCATTGGCTAGGCGATGACTCTTCCAGCCATCCTACGCGGCGTGGGCCCACTCAACTGCGGCTGCGCTTGGGCCCCCTTCAGGCATCAATTTCAGTGAGCTTGGAGCAAGTGCTCGGGAGCAGATGTCGAGTCAAGGGACCTGATTGAAGTCACGATGATACGGGGACTGAATGCTCCGTAACTTTGATTTTCGATTGATTTTATGTAGAGCCTTTTGAGCTTCACAGGCTTTTGGTATCAAGTGCAAGTTCAAGTGCCCTTTTCACCAACGATCCCTATCCCATGTTCCCTTCTGCGCGTTGAGCAAGGACGTTGCGCCACCGAGCGATCATTTCTGCATCTGCAGTGACTGCTTGGTCAGATGTGGGTAGTTCTTGGCCTCCTCGCGATTCACGAAGATTCCCATCATCACCGCACGAGGGAAGCCCAAGTTCGTGATGCTGGGATTGGGCTGCTGGACTGCCAGTAGTCGGGCAAGCTTTGCGACTCTATCCTGAGGCCCAAATGCGAAGATGTGCCCTGATTTCAGAGCGCTCGGTTGAGGAACGGTGAACTTCAGAAGAGCCATCTTGTTCTCGCTCGTGACCGTGGTTCCGGACAACATTCTCTCCACCTTGGGGAACTGCTCGTCGATTTCGGGATAGTTCTACACACTGTCAGCTTGATCTTATGTAGTTGTGGCTCTTTGAATTTTACCTGAGCAATGTCGGTCACGATGCCCTCAACCTGACGTCTCCAATGCTCGGCGATCAGTACACCCATGTGCGGAATGAGCTGCATCCCGACCAGGATCATTTCAGGGTGTGCGGCCATGAAGTCCTTGAGAACAGGATAAGTCTCGGGATTTGGTGTGCCAATCAAACCGCACCAGGTCATCCATGGCTCACGCTTAGCCACCGTGACTGCTGTCTTCGCAGAAGCGCTTCTTGGCGCTGTCGCTGATGTGAGTCTTACGATCTCAAAGACATCGTCCATATGTCCGTCGAGTACTCTGGTAGTCTGCTTCGACAGGTCGCTTGACTTCTGAAGGAATTCCTTGCGCGTAAGATCATCGCTGAAGAGCTCTGGATGCGACTTGAGGCGCTGAACCTCCTCCTTGAGCTCGTTGAGACTGTCACAGACCTCAAGCAGAACCGGCGCAGCCTCAGGGTCGATGGGCTCCTCTGCGTCGTCGATGGTCTCCTCATCACATAGTCAGAAGGCGTCTGGATTCTCAATAATGGTGGTCTTGACAAGCATTTGCTCGAGCAACAGTCCATCCAGGTACGTTTGCTCGCACTGCATCTGATTTCCGGGGTTGATCACCTCATCTGATTCGATTAGCACAGAATCAATATCAGTATGGAGCTCGAAACTCACCGTTGGCGAAACCACGGTGGCCATACCGCCTGAAAAGGGGAACGATCTCCTGCAAAGACGGAGTCTTAGGGAACCACTGCGGGAAGTTCGCCTCGAGACTATCCATCTTGTCGCTGCCCGTCGGAGAAGGAGCAGTTGCAAAGACACGATCACTCTGCGACTTCGTTCGCTTAACGGTGAGTCACGTTGTGAAAACGATCGGCAGTGATTCTCAGGCACACACGCGCGTCTGTTCAAACCTTATTTGCTAGCGCCTCAGCCACAGTTCAGTTTCCCATGTCCTTTCGAAACTTCGCACTCGACACATTCCTTTCATCACACACATTCCGCATTTTGCGAATCCCTTTGTCCTCAACCTTTCACCACACTCGAACAGACACAGTCACCGCCAGTTCATCGACAACATGGCCGTTCAAGTGTCTCACCCGCAGCAGCAGGTGCCTGGCCCACCCGCCGGCTGGACCAACACTATGCTGGCCGCCATGTGCAGCAATGTGTACACTCAGCTGTCGGCCGGCACCAAGCTGCCGGTGATCCCTCTCGACTACAGCATGCCACGCGGCGATCAAGCCCGCGATCAGCTCAGCGCCGCTTTAGGGTACGCCGCACCCAACTTGAAATGTCAAGTCAACAGCTAACAAGATCTCAGCAACATCTTCACCGTCACAATCAACACGGTCGCCAACTACATCTACTTCGTGCCAGTCATTTCTGACCGCGTGGAGAACCAACTCTCCATGGCCAAGACCCCACGCCCAATGAACTGCTGGGTGATCTACCGCCTCGAGAAGCACCCAGAGATCAAGGCCGCGAACCCTGACTGTAAWAACAATGACATCTGTAAGTGTCCCATCACCTTTCCTCGTAGCATCTACTGACATCCTCATAGCCAAGATCTGCGGTCAGCGCTGGGCCTCTGAGCCTGACAGTGTCAAGGAGGAGTATCGGAGAAGAGCAGCTGAGGCGAAGATCAAGCACGCCATGATCTATCCCAACTATCAGTACCAACCCCGCAAGCCATCCGAGAAGAAGAAGCGCATGACCAAGAACAAGGCGGCGAAGCTCGCAGCTTCGAGACGCGCCGCCTCGGCCAACATCAACGCCGCCTCGGCCAACACTCAGGTCCCTCAGACCCAGCCGCAGCCCCAGACCCAGCCGCAGCAGCCTCTGCCACCTGGACACCTTCTTGCAGGTCCCCTCTTCGACCGCCTGGTCATCATGACCACTGGCATGGACATCGGTCAGATTCCCCCAATGCCAAAGTACGAGTTTCCTGCCGACTACATGACCAAGAAGTACCAGGATCCGTCTCTCGAGCAGGACCGCCAGGAGAAGCTCGAGGTTGAGAACGAAATGAACAGCTTCTTCTCCTTCGAAGCCGCTGACGGTCCAATCCCCGTCAGCTTCGTGACGGCAACCTGGTCATCCAATGGACAGTGAGCTTTTGCTCGCCCATCGCAGCATTGCCATCGGCATTGACCAACCCTACACAGAAGATCGCCGTCACCACCATGACGCTTTGAATGAACAGGAAGGAAGCTGCTCATCACCGCCGCAAGAGCGAGTCAAGCATCCCACCACCATCTGGGACAATAAGACTTCTCGCGGCTGCTGACCTCGGGATCAGTATGTGATGCCTACGACGCAGAAAGAGATGCGACGTACACACAGTAAATAGCGCTCGAGTAAATAGCAATCAACGTGGCATCAGCATGACTCTCATCCTATTTGTATCTTCTCGTCACGACCTGAACATTCCAGTGCCTAGCCTTTGTGCCACATTGCGACGGTGCACCATCACCACCCCTTGCATGCCGCACGTCGTCTTGCGACATAGCTTCACCTCCATKCCAACAGTCTTACACTCAGTTCTCACCTCACTGTCGCCTATGTAGTTGCTGCCCTCCACTACCTCCACCCACGCCCTTGCTGGCGGCCGCGCGCAGACCCCAATTCCAAGCCGCATTGCCACGAGTATCAAACTGACACGACTCCAGAATACTCTGAGCTAGTCGCTGAGACCGGCGAAATACACTCGCCTTACGAAGCGCCACTCGCAACTTGTCACAGATTCCGACAGAGTTGCTCGGGCCTCAAAACACCATTCATTTCCACCCGCATGCCTGCCACAACTCCAGCGACACCGTCCAGCCTTTCTCGACATCATCCATCACCAAGCAAAGAGAAGTTGAGAACACATCGCATCAGAATTTGGGATAACAGGACGGGACTCGAGCCTCTACAACTGCTGCGGAAGATGTTGGGTATTGCTATCTGTCCCATCTATGYAACCTCATTCCACTGAATGAGCACGACGGCTCGAGAGGCGCTCTGAATTGCATGCGCCATACATGCATGGGAGGCTGAAGAGACGGGAAGCTACACTTCTCGCGATCAAAAGAAGACGTTTGCAAAGTCAAAGCTGGCACTTTCAGCGTAGTCAACGACAAGAGGAGGAGAAGAAGTCAGCCTAGCACTGGCAACTGATCGGTTGGGAGAAAATGCACACCGTGAGCGTTCCCTTGCCAGCGGCAAAGCGCTCCAAGCTACGCTTTCCTTTTGCAACAAGAGTCACCTGAGAGCGGAGACCTTTGTCCCGGTTGACCCCGATCAGGAAAGTATTCTACGAGGTGAACTCGCTGTGCTGCGGCTCCTCAAGCAACTGGTATCCTGCAGAAACCTCAGCTTCTCGTCAAGACACAAGCGCTTCTACTCCGCCCTTTACAATCTCCTCCAAGTCGGCGGGGCACAAACAGTAAGCGGGCCAGACAAGAGGACACGAAGAGAAGAACGCGGATGTTGAGGTTGACTTGCCAGACTACCAGTGATTCGTTGAACTTGAGAACAATGGACTTTGAAAAAGAGACTGGATGGCGTGCTGTTCCGTCGTGATGAGAGCTGAGAGCGAAGCTGTGCTTACAATGGCTATGGATATACTGCTGCAGCATGACATCCAACTCTCCCGAGCGTCTTCCTCTTCAAACAGCAGTCTCGCGCACTGGTGCAACTGCGATCACCGAGACTCAGTCAGTCGCTATAACCGCTTCTCTATCCCTTCACTTTCAGCACTCGGYGCTTCTAGACTTGATGAGAGGTGATGCGACCATTGCCATGATCTGCCCTCATCAGGCTCGTCTTAGCGACAAGTCAGTTGCGAGTGGTCTTGCATGAGCAGAAGGCCATAAACAAGTTGCAATACGAGTTCGTGATTTCGATACTCAGTATAATCAGTCATATCTACTGATAAMGCTGTGTCCCTCTCCAAGTCCTCAAGCCGATTCAAGCTTACTCCGGCATCGATCAGCAACGAACGCCGCCCTCGCTGGATGTCCTGTTCTAACCAATCTCCAGTTCCAAGAAAGGTTCATGAATAATACAAGCGACCTGCAACTCTTCGACTTGATCTTCAGCGTCTTGCATTTCCGTTCTCCTCCACGACTGACTGCTCAAATGTCACAGCACCTTGGCTTCGAGCTACCTTCGAAGCACTTCTGGCAGACCAAAGCGACTGTCGAACTCGGTAGCAGCAAATTGAAGTATCCAAGAACAAGCGGCGGGATTTGACAGAGCTTCTAAGCCCAGGGAACGGCTCTCTCTTCAGACGCTTCTCATTGAAAGTTGTCATCGCTGACTTTGAGAGGGGAGGATATGTGCAATGCAATCTTCTTCTCCTGCATTCTCGTCTTCCACTTCAATCAGCTCTTCGAAATGTTCTTGTATGCGTACAAGGAATGGTGAGGTCTCATTTCTACACCATGGTAATGAATCTGGTGATTCAATGACCAGATCACTCTGAACAAAGACAAGCCCACAAAAGCCCTCCACAATTTCAGAGAAGAGGATTCCCAACCCCAACTACCACGGAGCTCCCCAGCTGTGCAATACACCCTCTCTAAAACAAACCCAATAGAATCGTACCCCAGAATCCAAAACCCCGCCTCGGTTTCAGAGCTTGGGGGAATACATCGCCAATTTCCCAATAGCAAGCAAAAACCATTTTCAACCGATAACTATCGCTGAGCACATCTCGAAAATCTTGACAGTTTTTCAGCAGCTGCACAAGCGGATGGTGTCCGTTGTGCCTACTCAGTGACGCTAGCGTAAACTATATTTCAGAGATGAATCCTGCGGGCTCCTTCCTATTTAGGAAAAGTGGCTTGCACACAGCCCTACTCGACATGTTGGGGTCATGTTTCGCGGTGCTTGATGCAAATGCTGAGAAGAAACATAGTGAACTGTGTGCGGTTTATGCATACCGACGCATGCAATATGCTTATTACTCTTCTGCTCATCAGAGATCTTTATGTTGGGGGCGAGTCATTCGGGGACCGTGCTGTGAGGATAGACGCCTCTCTGAAAGCTGATGACGGATTGAAGACAATTGTAGGAGCAGCAGGGAGGTGGAAAGCGTTGAAGTTCGAGTCAGAGACTKTGCTGCGGGAGTATCGCTTTGGGCTTGCGAAGGTCTGGTCGGGCTGTGAAGACAAGTGGCTGGTCTTTGCATTCTTCCGCTGGCTAGGGAAAATCGGCGCTTTTGATAACCTTTAATGTGTCCGTTCTACTCAAGCAGACAGCCAGAAACAGCCTACAAGCGTACGTTGACCTCACCAGAAACAGGCTCATTGCTCCATCATCGACTCATTGGTATTCTTTATTCATCATTGCGTATAGTCCAGCACTACACTGACCTGTATCACGGCCTGACTTCAACAGCAGACTTGAGTCCGACTCAGGTCAGCCTACCAATCCAATCCGCCTTGCCTTCTTCGCCCTTGCCACGATCCCACTCCCTCACACCTTCACCCTTCTTCAGCCATCGCACGTCCCGCACATCCTTCTCCCTCGCGGCCTCCTCCCCACTACCCGCGGGACCACTCTCCCAATTCTTCACCTCTTGCTCCGTAAACCCAGCAGCCCGCAGCCTCTCCGCACCATTCTCCCTCCATTTTGCTCGATCTTTCACAGCTTCCAAGCCCCGATCCCAATCATCAGTGGCATCATCCTCTTCTTCTTCACGAGCGTCTTTCTTCGGATCATAGCCCTCTCGAAAGCGAGTCTCGATGCTAGAATTCTGTGGTTTGAAAGCTCCACGTCCTCGTGGAAGGGACTGGCTGGGTGGGAGAGGTTGTGGACCGAGAAGCTCTTCGAGCGGATCTGAATTGGATGGGGATGCTGAAGGAGATCTTGTTCGTCGACGTTTATGCCGTACCGGCGGGGAGTCTTTCCGCTGTGAACGTTCCGATCGACTGTGATGATGTCGGTGTGAGCTACGACGTGGAGATCGCGACCTTGATCTTGACTGCGTTCTATGCTTCCGGCTCCGCTCTCCTTCCCCATCCTTCCGCCTTTTCGGTGATCGGGAACGAGATCTCTCCCTTCCATCCCTGTGCCTACCGCTCCGCGCTTTTCCACCATCACTTCTCTCCGCATCCTCTTTTCTCCTTCGCCGCCTCCTGCGCTCCTCCTCCTCCTCATCTTCCTCCCGATTCCTCCCCGTCTGCTCTTCACGCCTCAGTCTCCGCTGCCGCGCACGCGCATCTGCTTCTTCTCTAGCTTTCRGCGCTGAATTATGGGAGTCGACATCGCGAACAAGGTGCCGCAGGAAGCGAGTATTGGGTTTGGGCGCGTCGCTGCGGCGTGTGGGTTTCCGCTGCGCATCGCGTTGGAGAAGTTCGATTAGATATGCATCTGTTAGTAATTCGCTGCTGGACATTGTCTGCCAGGGATGTTGTCGGTAGGAGCGGAGATGTCGTTGCGAATGATGGAGGTGGGAGGATTTACCCCGCCGTCGACATTCGCCCGACTTTGTCCTGTCACGAGCATCAACATTTTCATCAACAACACACTCCCAAATACATCGATCTATTCTTGCGTGGCTGCTTACTTGGCTCGAAATCACTAATCACAGGAATGAAGTGAAAAACTGCTCGTCTGCTGCGATGTGAGGAGCGTCAATCGACGGAAGTTCAACTTCGGATCCCGTCGTCAAAAGTCCATATCGAACAAGACGACAGCAGGCATTTGTTGGAAATCAACGGCGGTTTTGTGCGCTTTGTATGGACTGTGTACTGGAATCATGACCTTTTGACTATCGGACAGGGATCGATACAAGTCAGAAGACTTTGCACCCAAACTGGCCAGCCTGTCAGCCGGCAAAGTCGCAAGACTGTAGCATCTCAGCAACGGCCATTCATACTGGGATAGAAGGTATCTTGGTGATACGCCGTCTCTTCGGACAGAAGCCCGACAAAAATTCCACTTACTGCATGGTGCCAGTGGTAGAAAAGTCAATACATGTATGCTGGGGCGTTGCTGAATCTACTGCCGCGTGTACTACATCATGGAAGCAGCCTATGAAGACCACATCGCGGAGGGAAATCTAATGTCAGCGACCGAGAAGAACCGTATCGCTACCTTTCTCTCTCTGCAGATGGAGTTCAAAGACCGCGGATACTAATGTTCCATGGAACTTTGCTAAGCGCAGGCACTGAATATACACCTCACGTCTATCTCTAGGTCCTGGATCTTGTTCCACTGCCCGCATAGTTCATAAGGTCTGGCGCTCGACTCCGAATCTGATCTCTCTTTTTCCGTCTCCCTCCCAGGACTTCCATTGCTTCTCTTCAGTCGTCTGCTCCGCCCTCAAATGGCTTCCAATCTTCAGAGAGACGAACCTGACGTAAAGAATGTTGAGGAGAGACTTTTGGGAGATATTGCTGTTTTGGGCTTCCGCTATGTCTGCCAGCGCCGCACAACCGCAGTATTCCATGTACTTCAATATTTCATACCTCAGCATGGCTTGGCTGATGTTGCCTTTGCAACCCTCTTCCGCCCTTTTCCATTGCAATGTGTCAACAGCGTCCTCAAAAAGCGTCCTCAAAAGCGTCCTCAAAACCCAAACCCAACACTCCCATCCGTCAGTCCCGATGGCTTCCATATAGTCAGCTTTTCCGCACGCCCATCCTCTTCTTCCCTTCTCGTTTTACCACTCAACTTCACAGGCCAAGTTATCCAATATTTTTTGCCAACACACCACACTATACCACACACTCAACAACATACACCCACAACCCAACCAACCCACAGTATACACCATGTTGCCGCCATACTCATCCACCCCGAATCGTTTCGGATTCTTCCAGACGAAGCCGTATGCCGCTCTCAAGGCTACCGCAATGAGCCAACGCCCTGCCACCGCTCCCCTCACGCTTGCAATCCTCAAACAAGCTCTCCCATCCGAAGAAAAGGATGAATGGTACCGAGCAGAAAGTCCGGCTACTGGAGACTGGAACAACATCGGAGACGATGTCAACGCCAAATATTTCACGCACCCAAGTGTGAAATCCCAAACCGGTCCGCCAAGTGAGCAAACCKGCCCATTCCCAGAGTTTGAATTTTGCTTCCTCCCCACCAAGCAAAACAAAGAGGCGCTCCTCTTTGCCGATGGCGTCATCAAACAAAGTATACGGGACTACTGTCGAAAGAACCACTTGGCGAAATGCCACAACCTCTGGGACGACGTCTGCGATATCACGCTAGACATCCACCCAATGCGCCTGATTTTCCTCCCGCAAGGATGGGCCGGGCAGCACATGCCGCCCTCACGCGCTGTGTTGTTCGACAAGGCTCTGGACAACCTCTACCAGTTCAGAAACTTGCTCGCTCACCCGGGAAACTCGAGCGAAAATGGCGCCACGCTGGAAGTCGTATGCCAGAAGATCTCCCACGTGAGAACCATGGCCAAGCTACTTGAAGACTGGCCAGCGGTTTCAAAAATAGATGATCTTTTGGAGAGGTTGTTCGTGGAGGGAAGACAGGTGATGGCGTATGTGGAACAGTATAGGACGCTTGCTGGCCTTCCGCAAGGTATGCAGGACTGGCCACGACACTGCGAGAGACTGTTGAATCGTGTGGTTTCCGCCCAGGTTGCGTATGTGGAGAACCCTTCTTCGGAGGATGAGTGGCAGTGCCACTACAGGGGAAAGAGAATTCCGCCCTTGATTGGTGCTGCTGCTGAGGATTGGGCTGCCAAGTACGATTTCGTGGGAGTCCTTAAGCCGGACTATGCCGTTGGGAAGTAGATTGGATGTTTGGATTGCAGGTCTTTGTTGGAGAGCAGCCGATTTGCGGCTGATGTATTGAAGAGGCGGGGTGTCTTGCGAGAGAGTGCAGGTAGATTAGTAGTAGTAGGGCAGCCATTTTCAATTGCAAAATTATACTAATGCTCGGATATCCCAACTTCTCCTGTTACGACGTGGCGACACCAAGCAAATACAATCTCGTAGTTTCACCTGTATCGCCCACAGCGAGAGCATCGCTCACGTAAATGCAATAGCTAGCGAAAATTCGGAATGATCAATCCTTGGAACACCGGTGCCCAAGCTGGAATAGCAGTCGAGAAGGACACGAGGAGACAAGTCATCGTACAACAATCAGTCATCATGTCCAACACATGATCGGCCTGGCCAAATCTACGAGCAAAAAGTCCATTTGAAGCATGAGAAATACAGTCCATCATTTAGATCGGACCACACTGACGAGGGTGTACAGGTAAGAAGTATAGAGAACATGTGGATGGGAGAACAGGCAGATGCTCTCTATGCATGTATCGACCAAGTGCGTGGGATTAGTTACCAAAGTACAGCAGTGCGGAGATGATAGAGCTCCAAAAGGAAGGAAGAGCCGCATTCTGATATTTTCTGYTTACCGACGAATTTGGGCAAGTTGAGAAATGTGTTATTGTACTTCCCGCATGGGGATTTGTTAGCGTCGCTCACGGGATCCCCTAGCCTCGTCGTGTCGCTCTTGTGCTGCGGCTTGATTGATGGAATAACATCTATTTCCCCAGAAAGACATCTCTTCCACTCTCGGACACGAGAATCGGCCAGTTTCTGCATCTGTGTCGAAATGGCAAAGGCATTATAGGAAAACGCAGGCGGGAGAATGATCGTATACATCTCTGCTTGTCAAAAGCCAAATAAGCCACGAGAGGTATGGTAAAGCTTCCTATACTCAGTACGAGCGGCTGAGGTATGCATGGCTGCATGTTCCTGATCACCGTAAAAGCCGCGAGAGAACTGCGCCGAAAGAATGCAGAGGAAGCCATAGCGGCACAAGAACGCAGAGTCCGCTCCATCAACGACCTACCTGTCCAAGAWGTGGACTTAGCAGGTACCGCGTCGAGCACGTATGATTCAAAACGTTCGTCGGTGATGGTGCATACCCTTGGAGTCTGTTCATTGTCAAAAGGTTTCTCTTTGAACCTTTCGTCTTATCTGCTACTTTCGTATGCATCTCAGCTGATCCAATGCGGCAAGGACATGTTTCGGTGGGTCCCGCTGTACATTGTAGGCCAGAATGATGATTTGCTGGCCGTCGAACAAGGACCACCGTTCCAGTAAKCCCGCTCGCAGAGTAGCGATGTGGACAAGAAGATAGTACGTTCGCAGGTTTAGCCAAATCCCTGCCCAATCGGGACCAGTCCATTATACTGATCGTTAACAAGGAACCCGAGATCTCCGTAAGTCGGTAACATGGAAAAGTCCAGATCCGCCGATCCAACGTCCGCTGCCGTAAAGTCTTGAAGCATATTGGATTCGATAAGAGATGCCAATAAAGCTTCGGGGTCTTGTCCTGGATCTGTGTTTTGGAAGTACTCCCGCGAGAATAGCTCGTCCATATCAGGATGTCCTTGATGCGACTGTTGGTGGCCTTGCTGCTCGTTATTGTACGATCCGGTCTCAACCATTTCGGGCTCTGTGCTCCGCTCCCTTTGACTGTAAGCTCTCGCCATGTCTAGAACCTCACTCATCAAATCAGCGCTCCGACGAGCAACGCTTGCTTCTTCCATTGATCGGAGGATGTCTCGACTTTTCTTCACGTCTTCAACGAGATTGTTGCTGGGAACTGAGGTATGGCCAAGCATAATAGCGTAGAGGATGATCATGCCTGCGTACAACGAGTATGTCGAATTGTACCACCTGATGACGGAAATCAGTCAGCGATGTGTCCAAAGCTTCGACTCGATCTTGTTGTGCCTTTGAACCTTGGACTTACCATGTCCGGAAGTAGGGAAGCGAGGCATACGCGCTGTAGAGTACTCGTATTGTCTCACGAGCCGCATCAACACATAGATCGACGTGCTTCTTCCTGATTGCTGCATCGCCGCCATGGAAGTCTGCCAAGAAGGGCCGATGAAGGATGATGCGGGCGTTCAGATAGCGAAGATGAAGCACGAGCTTTTGTTTTGCGGCCATTTCCGTCCCGCAGAAGGTAACGACTTCGAAGTTCAGCCACTCTGGTAGATTGGATTTCCATTCCAAGAGAAGGGCATCCAGCTGATTTGCGACGTTGGACTTTTGCAGCATCGTTAGACCTTTGGTATTGTGGTATATCTCTTTTGAGATCCTTCGAAGCACCACCGCGAAGTGGACCATTTCATTGATCATTGCCACACCATGATCTTCGTCCTCGAGAGTCGCTTGTTCGGGACTACGACCCTATCATGTTCGTCAGCGTTGTAATCGCAAGCTAATTTGAAGCCGGCTTTGGCAGAGCAACCGATAGGAGTATTCGGAAGTGCACCACCTCGGAAGATTAAATCGAACATAGCGTCCTGTCTGCTTCGAGGGATCAGTAAGAAGACGAGAGCTCTTACCTTGATACGAGGAAACGGAACAGGGTAATTGCGTGGCTTTGCAAGACTGTCTCGACGTCCAGAGGAGCAGCTCATATCACTGTAGCCATGACCAGTCAGCTCGTTCAGTGCAGATTTCTTTTGTCGACAAACCTTTCGTGAGAGTATATGCACCTTTGATACACGTTRGCAATGGATAGAGGTCTAGAAGCTGTGCGGATATACCACCAAGTCCTGCGTGCAGCTTTGCGCGCTTCGACTGAAGACGAAATAGACTCTGTTGGCAACCCAATTGCCAATGCCGTACGGACCGCCATACCACTGTACATGTAGCATGCATGCGGTTTCAGGAAATTCTGACAATAAAGAGACTTTTCTGAGTTAGCTCTAGGAGATGAAACATAATGTGCATAGCGCAGCGTACCATCAAGAGAAGTGTCTGCGCACTCTCCAACGAACATGCTTCGAATACGTCACCGAGAGCAGCTCTCGATTTCTGAAAGTACTTCCTGGAGAGATTGCGCAGTAGACTGTGCTGAGCCGTCTCGGAACTTCCGGGCACAGTCTGTTGGAAGAGCCTAATGTCAAGGCCTAGATCATCCATGGTATCACGGCTGGAGACCAGTGCTCCAACAGCCACTACGATGTTGTACAACGCAATGAAGTGCCGATCGTCTCTAGACCTTGTACTTTTGGGACCAGCCGCCCACATCACTTCCTCGCACTGTGCTGAGAATACTCGGCTGTCCAGCATGGGATGTAGATAATGCAAGTTGTGCAGATAACTCCGGACAAGTTCCCGCTCCAGACGCTGTTCTGCGAGCTCAAAGGGCATGGCAGGCACAGCGTTTGAAGAGTAGAGCTGATTGCGTTTCCCTGCATGCCGAGACTGCTGGGCTGCGTTCGACAGACGGGTCGGTACAGACGACGGGTCCAGCTCCGAGGTAGGAGTCCTGGCCCGAGAGGGTGGAACTAGAGCATCGTCGGTCGATAGTAGATTGACGACAGAGGTTGTACCGGTTAGATTATCGCTGGCCATGACTGGAGTTTGTACAGTCGAATTGCTTTGAACTGTTGGTGATGGATGTGTGAGAAAGGAAGCATGTCCACGACCCTCATGGCTGGACTGTCCCGGACGAAGATGCTGCCGAGCATAAGAAAAGAGCTGATTGAGGAGGACATAGTTGGACGAAGTGCCATAGAACTCGGTACCGTTTGTGTGCGGGTTCACATCACCAAGCCCATCGTGATTCTGGGTCTGACCGACACCCTGACCGGCGTCTTGAGGGGTCTGTGAGTGTGCATTGTGCCGCTCGGCTGCAAGCGTTGACGCACCACTACTTGGCGTGCATGTGAAAGGGGAAGCATCCACGGGCGGACGTGCTGACGTGAGGGCCGTGTCTTTAACAGACGTTACATGCCGCCCATTCGATGCCCCGTCCGGTTCAATTGATGCAGGAAGTCGGCCATGTCGACGAGTGTCCTTGGCGTTGCTTCTCCTGACGCCGTAGATGCAAGCAGTCGCATGTCGGACACAGTTCGAGCACGGCTTCTCCTGGTCACATCGCGCCTTCTTGGCTCTGCACCGCTGGCAAGCATGGGAGGCTCTTGGAAGATTGCGGCGACTGATTCCGGTTCCGGAGCCGTCATTGGAAGGAGGGTCCGCGCTGCCTTCGCCATGAACATCTCGCATGGTAGCAACAGCTCAATTGCTACACTTTTCCGAGTCTCGAGCGGCCATCCGGAAAGATGCACGGAAGAACATGTCAAGGAGCCGATCGGGCGGTCCGGGGGCGGAAGAAGAAGGTCGGAAATTTCGAGCGATGTCCGGATAGCCCATGGTTCAAATTTCAGTGAAGTCTTGTTCAAATCTTGTTCAAATCTTAGGTTCAAGCTTCAAAGTTAGAGCCCGGATCACCCACCGGAAAACCGGAAGCTCAAATCAGGTGTTCTGGCGGAAAAATGGCAAAATCATTGACTGACCATTATGATTATTAAAAGCGAGGAGACTCGCTATATWGTACAACATCTTTTCGTACAACATTGTTGATGACCGTACCTAGAAACCAAAGCAAAACATTGATCGTTCTTGCCCCCAAGCCTTCCTTACACCATCCTTCGCCTGAAATGCCCGTTTTCCAGGAGTCATCAACGGCAGCCAGAGATTCCAGAATTCTTCCATCTCGTGCACTACCTCTTCCTCGTCTCAGTCCAAAGCCGGCTCAGTCTTCAGAGTCACAAGAGCAGCGTGAAGTTGTTGTCATTGGGGTATGTATGTCTTGTCAGTCCCTAAAACCGCTTCGATGATTGCTGACGCCTCTGATACAGGCTGGACCAAGTGGTCTTTTCCTGACCCTCCTACTTGCTCGATACGGAATCACCGAGTCCTCCCTACTCTGTCTAGACTCCAAGCCGAGCACTCTCAAGGCGGGTCAGGCCGATGGTCTCCAACCCCGTACTCTGGAAGTTCTGCAAAGCTTGGGCATAGCGTCCGAGATTCTCGATGAAGGTTGTCACATGGAAGAGGTTTCCTTCTGGAACCCTTCGAGCGACTCCAAAGGTATCGAGCGTACAGCATTTGCGCCTGACGTCAATGTTCCTGCCCGTTTCCCCTTCGAGGTCACGATCCATCAAGGCCGAATTGAGAGAATCTTGCAGGAAAATCTAAGTCTCTACGCTCCAACAGAAGTTTTGAGGAGGTCACATCGATTCGTCGACTACGAAATCGACACGGATGAGCACGCTGAGTATCCGGTCCTTGTCAACTATGAGTGCGATCTAGAGGATGGAACCACAGAGCAAGGCTCGCTACGCACCAAATACTTGGTGGGTGCAGATGGTGCCCACTCCAAAGTGAGGAAATGTATGGGCTTGGAGCTCCAAGGCGAGACGTCTGATCACATCTGGGGAGTGTGCGATTTCATCGCGGACACCGATTTTCCCGACATCAGAAAACGTAGCGCAGTCCACTCCCCAGTCGGCTCTGTGATGATCATCCCCAGGGAGCGGATCGCTACCGGCGAGTATCTCACACGTCTATACGTTCAGGTTCCAGGAGAGGTTCATCCGGAAACGGACCATACTGTGGCAGTCAAGCCGGAAGATAAGACTGCAAGTAAGAAGAGGCGTGGGGCCGTCACTCTGGATTATATTCTCGAACAAGCAAGTGCTGTTTTCTCACCCTACAAGATTGCCGTCAGGGAGGGCACCGTTCCGGACTGGTGGGCTGCATATCAGATTGGTCAAAGAATGACGTCCAAGTTCTCCTCAAAGACCCCTGATGGGGTAGAGAGAATCTTCATTGTGGGAGATGGTAAGTAGGCTTGATTCTGTCCGCTGGATACTGTTGTAGCGGTACTGACATCATGTAGCCTGTCATACGCATAGCCCCAAAGCAGGCCAAGGCATGAATGTCTCAATGATGGACTCCTACAATCTCGCCTGGAAACTCGCACACAGCATCAACGGACTGACTCCGCTCCAACCCAAAGGTACTGCGGATCCTGTCCTCGAAACGTTCGATTTCGAACGTACGGATATAGCTCGCCAGTTGATCGATTTCGACACCAAATTCTCACACATGTTCTCCGGCAAGATTGCCACCGGAGACGACTCAACMCTAACTCACGACCAATTCCTACAAGTCTTCAGCGAAGGAAGTGGATTTACCAGTGGTTGCGGTTACGAATACCAATCAAGCAGGATAGTACAGCCATCATCGGACGAATCGAACTCTGCATTCAAAGCCGAGGGCAATGCACAAGACGGATGCTTAACCCCAGGAAGACGAATCTTGAACGTGGAACTCAAACGCTACGCTGATGGCAGTACTCGACAACTCCATGACGAAATGCCCTCTACAGGACGCTATCGCCTGATGGTCATGGCCAGTGACGATCTCCTCGATTCGAACGGTGCATCCCAAGCAACTCTTCGTAACTGTGAGACCTTGCTGCACAAGTTTCCTGCAGATACCATAGACCTCATCGTTCTACATCCTTTGGAGAAACGTTTCGAATGGAGTGATCTCCCAATTTCCTTGAAGAAGACTGCGGAGATGAGAATCTATGGCTTGTCCAAGAAAGAGGATGCCTTTGAAATTCTGGGAGTACCCAAGCGTAGAGGTAGTCTCGTCGTCATCAGGCCAGATGGATACGTGGGTATGCTTGCTCGACTTGATGCTTGCGGTTCGGTGGAAAGTTACTTTGAGAGTTGTCTTGTAAAAATAGCCTAGTTGACTAGCTGGGGACACGCAAAATGTTTACTTGGCTTGTCAATAATCTCGTTGGGATGCGGGGATGGAGCAAGGTGCTTGGATTGTCGATGGGAAGTTGCATGTCATTTGGTCTTGTAGTGCTTTGTCCCTGGCTTCGTCTGAGTTACCGGAGCAGACGGTCACCCCACATTCGCAACACAATTAATATGCAAGCAGAACTTACACCGTTGAGTACTCCTATTGATGAGATTCGGTATGGCTGGAATAGGTGGCAGGTAGTGACTCGACTCACCCGTCAGTATCAAGGCTTTGTCGATGAGAGCATCCAGATTTCTTTCAAGAAGACAACCAGATTTTGTCTTTGAGCTCTGCTTGGAAATCTAACACTTCTGACAGGAGCCTCGTATGTCTCTGAGGTGCCTTACGTGCAGAATCGGCCTTACGTGCAGAATTGGAACACGCAGAATTGGAACATTGCGGTCATTCAAAACTGTTACCGCACCGTAATTTTATGCAGCTACGCCACCGACCATACGAACATCATCAAAACTCCCAGTGCTACAAACCCCTCTACTCCAACGGTCCATAGCGAACAGGCGGGATGAAATCAGCATGTACCATATTCCTGACTTGATCCGGAATCGGTCCCATAGATTCCACACCCTCCAACAGAACGACCTGCTGGCCCGACCCGAAATGATGAATACGATGACAATGCAGCATACTTGCCGCCGGGAACGTGATCTAGTATCGAATAACCGTCCACGCTCCATGTCCCGCGGTCAAACGACATCCATCTCGTTTCGGCGGGTTGTCGAGATTGAAATTCACGCGATACTCTTCGTGTTGCATCGCTTCCTCTACAGTCTCGAAGGGGAAACCCCCGTAACCCATTCCTGGCTTAGGTTAGCAAAATTATCGACTCGGTGATAATAGCAACATCACTTACTAATCACGTATGCTTTCATATTGTGCTTATAGAAAGGATGCATAGCAGTAACACCCTAATCATTCTTAAAGATAATATCCACGACAGATCCATTCCGTATGGAGCCCTGAGAACTATATGTCGTATTACCACGAGAACCATCATTCTATAGAAGCGGAGGAAGAGATTGTCGAAAGGCTTGGTGTGGCGCTAAGTGAAGCACCCAAGTTAAGGGACCGGTCATTTTAATTATGAATTTCAACGTCTTGTCTAAGTACTATAGTGGTAGAGAAGGTGGGAATGGAGCTAGTGCCATTTCATCCATTTTTTTTAGAGGCTGTAGAGATTAGGGTGCCGTTTAGATAGACCCTGGGTTTTGTTAAGGGGACTGTTATGTTTGTAGTGTCTACTTAACGCTATAGGGGAAGTTAGCATTAGGTAGGGGACGTTCTAGAAACCTTAAGGATAACATACGCTCTGCTAGTAATATCGAAGAATGCCAACTCCTTCGATAACTTGCTGTTCGCTTAACGAATTCAAACGAATAGCGTAGTCCTTTAGCTCTTTATCCATCTTAACCAAAATGCTAAGTTTATAGTTAGCTACCGTAGTTTGTAGATAATCAGCCACGCTTACCTAATTCTCTCTCCTAGGTTAACGTTAATAGAATGAAACTTGTTAGGATAAACAAATTCACCGTCCGTAGCGACGATATAGAATTCGTGCTTATCGATGCTAATAGACATCTCGTAGTAAGCACCTACACGTTATAGTTAGCTATCTAATCACATCCAAACCCTAGCTAGACGAACCTAAATRGATAAAATTAATCCACATCTAATCTTCGTTCTTCTACTATTCGACAACCTCTAAAGCCGCCTAAGTCGACTCGCATTCGAGCGGATTAGTAAACTCGTACCTAGGAACTTAGTAAATGCATCCTAGCGAATTACGACCTAGCCTACTAGCGTCTTTAATATCCTTCGTAGAATAGCAGAATGTCCGACCTCTGTTATTTAAAGTTAAGGAAGTCGAACACTACGGAGCAAATCCGGTATTACGATACTAAATTAGTAGAATATCCATTCCTTCCGCATTCTAGTTACTTGTTACGATATAATAAGGATTCTCCTCGGCTTTCTTTATAGCTAAGAGATCTTGCTTAGAATCCGATATTAGATTATATAGCCGTTCGCGCGACTCCGCGGGGATAATCTAGATTGGCCTACGTATGCCCTAGAGCGATCGAGATCGCGATTAGTAAATAACCGAGTGTTTGTAGTGCTTAAGTTACTTACATCTGCGAATATAGGACCGAAATGTCTATAATAGAAGTAAGAGCTATACTACTACGTAGCGGTCTAACGATATATATAAAATTGTCCCGTAGTTAAATGGAAAATTGCGTTACTCCTAGGACCCTATTATTATAGGGATAGTCGACCTAGTAGATTCTATACTAATGCATCGTGGTTTTAATCGCAAGCTAATTATTAACGAAGATTTCCATTTCGTCGCCCTCTCGGACTGTAATAAGTGGGCCTAGGCTTTAACCGTTAATATAGTACTTTAGGCGACTATAACTATCTATACGGGCAAAATCAAAGTGTTAGATTAGGGGAAGAAAGTGTCTAATGCTTAAGGATAGTTCGAAAACTTACCGTCGTCCCCCCTATCCGGAGGTAACGGTTATGTTATATCGCTAAATATGTTTTGTAAAAGTGCCTGTAGCCTAGAGTAGGGCTACTACGACTCTAATCGACTACATTATTGTAGTAGAGATGTAACGAATAACCGGAGGCAATTCTATAACGAAATGGATCCGGATTAATTAAGTTGTTTTTGTCGAGAACTACCCTTAGGCGCTAGGGAGTCTTATATCCGCTTTCTTAGGATAGAATATGTTTGATCCTAGCCTAGCGAGAACTAGGGTTAGCAATCTTAGTCTACCGCGACTAATTAGTTTTAACTACGACTATGCTAGGTTACTACACTATATACGGTGCGAAGTTAGTTTAATAAGGTAACTTATGCGGAGGATATTACACAGGTGCGGCGGGACGAGACTAAGTCCAAATGATTATTGCATCTTGTAATAATAATAACTACTAGGCGTCTACGACTAGCATTTCCAACTCGGAGTATAACTTAGCTCTCTTCGATTCGGATCCGTCTAGGTATCTTCTTTAGACGGTCCTATACTTAAACCCTAAAAGCTGCGACATAAATAAGCTCTATGTATATAGACCTTGTCGTGCATTATAGGATAATCCCGTATTCCCTATCTAGTATCGACAGACTCTTAGACTAATAGGAGCTAGGGGTCGGAGAAATCTCTACGGCGTTTGCTACGAGTATAACGTATCCTTATAGTCTTTCGGCCTTTATCGTATATATAACGATGGGATTGCGTAAATAGTCTCGAATAACTAGCATTTCTAACTCGGACGAGGGCTATTAAAACTAAAGAATTGCTGCCTCTCCTTATAGTAGGTTAACGACAACGCTAACGAACATGTAGCCTTAAGGCGCGTTAAATATAGAGGATCGAATGTCTTGGCGAACGATCTGTTCTAAATCGTGCTGTCGATGTTATAGAAAATACGAGTCTTACCTGCTATAGATAGGGCGGTAACCTTTAATTATACCGGGCCTTAGAAGCGTATCCCCCCTTCGATACGGATCCGTCTAGGCCCTCCTATAGGGTCTATGCTTTATTCAGCCCCTAAAAGCTGCGACATAATTTAGCCTAATGCATATAGATTGTTTTATACATACGAGAGCTTTCCGTTTTTTCCCCTACTAATAGATCTAGACCGATAGAAGCTAGAAATTAGAGGAATCCTTACGTAGATTAAAATTTCTTACGATGTTTTCGACTTTTGTAGTAACCGATATAGAGAGTGTGTTTCTAATTTTTGCAATTCCGGTAAATGCTTTAGATGCCGAACCTAAGATAAGGCGCTTAGCTAGGCGGAATATTGTAGGGCAWTTTAAGACTAGTACGGAGTAGTTAAGTCAAGCTTTTAAATTAAGGCTAGTTAGGCAGGGAAGCTATGCTATGCTAGTAATTATTAACTAATATAGGGTAGTCTTAGTGTAGTACGGGGTAGTTAAGCTTCTAAGCTAATGTAGGCTAGCAGGGCCGCTATACTCTAGAGTCTGTTATACATATAAGAATACTATCGTCCCGTCTTCCCTATTAATATAGATTAGGTCGATAGGAGCCGTACATAAGTAAGCTTTCTACGCATATTAGCTACGAGATCGCTTACAACCGTTCTAGTTATTCCCGTATACACGACAGGCTTTATATATATATGCTCGTAATCGCTAACATACATATAGTCTAATACTACGGATCTTCCGCGGTAAGTGCTCTCTTAAGTCTTCTAACCTACCTATAGTCCTTCTAACCTAATTATATACGAGATAACCCTACTAATCCCGGTCCTTAAAGCAAATCGCTAATATATTTTCTTAGCTAGGGCCTTCTACGCTATACGTCTTAGCTAAAAGGACTAAACCCGGCGAGCCGGTAGTGCATCTTACTATTCTTTAAACTTAGTATCTCTCTATAGTATTGTGCCCCTCGACTGTAGCTATATTAACGACATAACCTCGCCGTCTAGGTTATCGTCTTTTCTAGGACCGTAAACATCTATAGAGCAAGACTAACATTTCTCCCTTTTACGACATAGATTATAAATATAAAAGTATCGTCGATGCGACGAGCATTCTAACTCTATAACGTAAAAAGAATACCCCTTCGTTCCTATAGCGTGTCCTTCTTCCTATAGTTATTACCTCGGCACTCTTACTATAGTAGTTTAGAGAATATATCCCGTAGATTAGTATAGTCGCCCTAAGTTATAATAGCCTTAGGAGCGGAGAGTCTACTAGTCTAGCGGCGTAGATCGTGCGTAAGTATAACATTACTATCGGAGTAAGATAGTAGAATCTTAGTAGATAACGAACCTCGATTCCTTTCTAGCCGCAATATTACTAACTATAGGTGTAGATAAGGAGGCTATTAGCGTCCTAGCTTCGTATATAACGGCGAATCTCTATGTCCGACTCTTACTACTAGAGAGGGTAACTAGATCGAGCTACATACTACTAATAATCTAGCCGCGTAGCTATTAATTTACTAGTTCGATCTATAGTGCCCCTCTAACTTTTCTTTAGTTAACTAACATCGCGGCTAGGTCTAGTATAACCTATTAAATGTTTGGGTATAGCACCGCTATCCTCTAAGTTCCTATTAGAGACTCTCTAATAACTTCTGTTCTGTAGCTTCGAGAACGACGGTATAGGAGGCTTAAACTAATAGGCGACGCTCCCTCGTAGCAACTAGACTTCGCGTTTCGACACAACTAGACACTAGGGTTTAAATTAGTATACCGATTATTCGGGCGCGGGAGTTATAGATGTAAGTATTATTACATCCTCGTAGTCGTCGATACATTTTCCTTCTAATATAATATAGGGCGTTTACGGAACAATCTAGACCGTACTATCTCTTTCCCGGCTACGACTATACTCTTTAATTACGGACTACCCTGTTAATCTTCGCTTAATCTAAGAAGCAGAAGATAAAATTTAACATTTAACTTTGTAGAACTCTAATTTCCGTATAGCGGACTAGAAGATCTAGAAAATAAAGGCTAAAGGAACAGGTTTATCGTGTTATAAGTCTATTCTAGTAAACGGTTTGTAAACAATTACTTATTTTATATAAGCTGTTACTAATTGTACGTTTAGGAAAGGGCCGCGTGTTTTGTAAGAATCCTAGTTATAGTACTATCGATAGGGCCGAACTCGATAAAGCTAGATGCATTATAACGCCCGGTATCGAAACCGATGCGTATAAGCTATCTATAGCTAACTTTACGGTATGCTTCGACTCGTTGCGGCCTTTAGCGAGACTATACTAACTTGCAATTTAGATTGTTAAGACACATAGTAAAGAGTATATTATGCTCAACCTTATTAACGTTAGCTTCGAGCATGCATTAAGGTAGAGCGTTAACAACTACCGAGTTTAGGTTATTGCAAACGATGCTAGATTTATAGAGCTATAATCGGACGATGTAACGCTATCCTCCTATATATAGTCGTTATCGTTGCTAATAAAGTCGTAGACTGTCTACATTACTAACGGAGTACGTATAACCGTATTAATTAAATTAGACTAAGAACTAGGTGACTATGCTATACGCCTCGTATCTACTAGCAAGTTGTAGAATTTAGAAGGCTATTCTCTCTTACGATACCCGGTATATATTAGTGCCTGTCCTATAAATTACCTATCGCTAACGCTATAATCTCTAGGCTAAACGATACCCTATATACGGCTAACCTATAGCACTCCCCTCTACTAATAACAATACTAAGATCTATCTTAATCTAGATAGCTTAGTCCCTTCCGGATACGACGTATTCGACGAGTATTCTGCCCGTTAATTCCTAGCATAGACACCGCCCGAGAGAAGTAACAAGACATTACGCTAGATAGTAGGAAGCCAACCGTCTAAGTACGAAAAACACGTTACCGAGTACTTTATAAACGAGAAACCTTAGCAACTCTTCCGCGCAGCTATAGAGCCTGTATTATTTACTAAAGATGTAGCGAGCGTAGCTAAACCTATCTAAGCGGGTCTCCTACTCGGCACTATCGTAGATTTAATTATTTAGAACACCCTTAATAAGACGATTCCACTCTATAAGCACGGCAACCCGACCTTCTATTTAGGATCGAGAGCTTTCGAAGAGTTCGAATAGGAGTCTATCTAGGATGCGGTTAAACACAACGCCGACCTTAATCTTTAAAACCTATCTTTAGCTATCGTACACGACTTGCCTCCGCTTAGGTAGTTAGCTATTCGCTAGAAAGTTAGCTTAACGGGCGCTACTATGTTCTATACGGTTAAATTGCGGTACTTTGCGGTAAGATTGCCGGTTTATAATCGATTATAGATTGTTGTTTCCTATACTAATAGTGTGTGTACGTAGCTCGGTATAGCTGCTCCTATACTTAAGGGTATTAAAGAATCTATAAGGGATTCGGTGTCGGAATATACTAAGTAACAACCTTATATTATGTTTAAACCTGGCAATAATAGAGTTTTTAGATGAGTTAAAAAGGCTAGGGCTGTAGATATGCTAGTACACCTAGAGTAGGTATACGTAGGGTCTGAGTCTAAGTCTAGGGGTTGTTATTAATCCTATAATTTGTCGTTAGCACTATATAACTCATGCGCCCACATCTCTACCTCTTTAAAACAGATATTTTCAAACGTCAATCTTCTAGTAAGACTATGTGATAGTAGGTTTGCCCCATCGATCTTATCTTAGTCAGCTATTAACCTTCCGAAAGAGGCAATTAATTACTTGGCAAAGCGTCTAGGTCTTGCAACTTGCGCAGGGGTGTGTATACTTGAGAAATGACAGCAAGCTCAACGAAAAGAAACATACAACACGTTATCGCAATGTTATATCGAGGGCTGTCGACACATGTGAATTTCTGCTCTTCTAAGACAGCCCCGCTGTGGGCGGGGTATTAGCTCTTAAGGAAGGAGCTCCGGATTAATTGTGAGCTTACAAGTGGGCACAAGGTCCTTGATATGGTTGTAATCACATTGCCGCATCTCCATTTTGCTCTTAAACGACTGGTCTTCTACTGGTGTATGCCTACTATAAGTGCTTACTCGGCTTCGTCCAATTATGGCTCTGTCTTCAACGCAGATTGTTTACTCGGAGGGCATCTTCCACGGTCTTCCAAGCTATTCAGATACTCCGGAGCTCAAAAATCTGACAGCCATCGTCACCGGTACTAACGGTATCTCTAGATATCATATAGTTAAAGTCCTCGCTCAATCTCCCCAAAGATGGACCAAGATCTATTGCGCTTCTCGTCGACCACCTCCGGACTACTTCTTTGCCGAGCTAGGAGCTGGTATGGAGCGTGTAGAACATTTAGAGGTTGACTTTCTCTCCGACCCGAGCGCGATTGCTGAGGTCTTGAGACGTGTTCCAAAGGTGTAAGTCTACCCGAAGATCATAGCGGTGGCTTGGTGATCTCGCTTATAGTATACGTCTGTAGCGATCATGTCTTTTTCTTCTCGTACATGCAACCAAAGCAAGAAGGTAACGTCCTTGGAATGYGGTCTAACGCGGATGCATTGGCCGAAGTGAAAAGTGAGTCAATACATGCCATCCTCACACATATCGTTCGGAGATTAAATGTATCCCAGCAAAACTCCTCGCAAACTTCATCGGGGGCTTGAAGCTTTCCGGTCTCCAACCGAAGCGGTTCCTCCTCCAGACCGGCGCAAAGCACTACGGCTTTCACATTGGGCCAGCTACCAGCCCGTCATTCGAGAGTGACCCCAGGGTAGGACTTGAAAGCAACTTTTACTATCCTCAAGAGGACATCCTGCAGAAGTACTGCAGAGAGACTGGAGCTGGTTGGAACGTCGTCAGACCTTCATACATCATTGGCGCTGTCAGGGATAATTTTTTAAACCACATGGTGGGACTGGCTGTATATTGTTCAATCCAGGCACATCTAGGCCAACCTATTGCCTTCCCAGGTGACTATATCGCCTGGGACAGGGAATATTGCCAGAGTTCCGCCAAGCTGAATGCTTATCTGGAAGAATGGGCAGTTTTTAAGTCCACAAGCTCGTAACGAAGCCTTCAACGCTCAAGACGGCCTGGCTTTCACCTGGGGACGACTCTGGCCGTACCTCGGTGCTTGGTATAGCACTCCATGGACTCCACCGGAGTTTGACGAAAAGAAATATGTAACTTATGAGTCTCGCTGGGCAGAGACACCAAGAGGGTATGTCAACTTGGATGTAATGTACTGCAGATCGACTGCTGATAGCTCTCTACAGTTATGGACCCCGTGGAGTGACACGATCTACATTCAGCCTTCTCGAATGGTCTGACCGCGCTGAAGTCAGACAAGCCTGGCGAGATTTATCCAACAAGCACGCTCTTCTCTTTGATCCCTTCAAGGATCGTGCTCAAGTTTTCGGCATGACTGACTCGGCTGTTATCGGTGGTTGGGCCCTTTCTTTAAGCATGCGTAAGGCAAGGAAAATGGGATGGTATGGCTGTGTTGACTCTTACGAATCCATGTTTGAGACTATCCATGGCTTGGCTCGCTTGAAGGTTGTCCCGCCTCCGACGGCGACCACATTCGTGGAGTAGGCATGGAGCTGTACACTGCTTCAATGGATTCTCTTCGCACTGATCCGATTATGAGCTATCGGCTTTGAGCTTGTTGCTACGAAGCTCTTTGAATTGCTTCGAGTCAGTCGGCTCCAAATGTTACTATGATCGGTACTTCAGCCAAGACTGTGCTCAAAGTCAGCACCCTTTGTTCTCCCGAGAAAGTCAATCTCCTACTTATTAGAGTGTGCAGACCTAGCCGTACATGAAACTCATAGCAACTGCGTTGACTGCTAGGAGAGCCATATTAGTCTTATTGGGACTTCATTTCTGTGCTTCGTAAACATGCGTCCTTAACCAGATGGTAGTACTAAAGTTGAAGCAATGTTACATCTGGGATACATTCGGGCATTCCAACCGCYGGAAGTTTACATGCAGCTATTCTGATGCAGCCTTGGAGGTATACTCAACAATCTTAGCCCACAGTATCCGCATTATTGTATACGTAACGCAAATCTCTAATGATCAAGGGCGTTTTATCTGACACGCCGAACTTAGCGGAGTGCTACCAGAAGTTATGAGACTTGATGTCATGGTCGTTTTGAACGTGTTAGGGGATGTCGAAGTTCAGCTAAGCATAGGCTCAGCGATTTCAGGTCTTCCTGCGGAATGGAATTGAGAAAGTCCAGGCGATATGGTAGCCGCTCAGGCTTTGAAGTTACGTGAAAAAGCGCCAGGGGCTTGTTGATCAAGGCTGCTGTCGAAAGCGAAGATGGCAGATCTGGACTGGCATTCTAGTGAAAGGGCATTTTGAGGTCTTGTATCTCGACTGCAGGTCTCGATAACAGAGTTGGTTTTGACAATCCAAGGGTCAACAACAAACGTAATACATCCAATTCACTCATCCAGAGAACGAGCTGTACACATCAATGTCCCCTGCATTTCACCAATACCATAACTTCCGAACCGTACCGGCTCAAGCTTAGCATCCTCCTCCAAAGTGAGCTCGAATCTCGTGAGCAAGGTCGTGATGGTCTTGAGGATATTGGTCATTGCAAGATTTCGACCAATGCACATACGATGTCCCAGACTAAATGGTATCAACGCGCTTGAAAGTCCAGCGGTACGACCATCGAGCCATCGATCGGGATCAAATTCGGCGTGGTCTTTGCCCCAGATGGAAACATTGTGATGCTGTACGTAGTTACTGGCTGCCACGTTCGTCTGAGATCAGATTAGTACGGGGTAAGATCCCTTTTCCATGATTCAACACACATTAGGCGGCACGAAATTGTCCCCGACTACCAGTCCTTCATCCCGTGTAACCCTTCTCCACAATAGCATGGTAAATACAGGTGTCATACGAAAGTTCTCGTGAATGCAAGCCATCAAGTATGGGAGACTGTTCTCTAGATTCTTGACAGCGTGTGTCTGCCTGCCGAGATTTCTACTCGGTGGACCCAACTTCGAATTGAGCTCGTTCACGAGTTTCGTCGTGACTTTAGGGTCCCGGAGAGTATGGGCAAAGAAGAGACTGAGCGTACCAGATGTCGTATGGGATCCAGCGACACTTGGCAGAAACAGTCAGTGTATGCCGAAGTCAAGAGCATCATGTTCTTACAGCATTGCAAAAGCTTCCGTGTTGATATCCATTGTTGTTAGACTAGCACCCGTCTCCGGATCTTTCGCCTTGATAAGGGACTGGAGCAGGTCCTTCCGGCCGTTGCCAGACCCACTGTCGATCCGATGTTGTACACATCTCGCACATGTATCTCGCAATAGCATCCGGTTTGCAACAATCTCTCGCATCCAATTAATAGGAGACAGTGCCAGTAGCTTCTTGTTCAGTGTTTGGAACGGAAGCTCTCCAATGATACTCCCCATGAGAATGTGGCCGTTGATCGCCTGAGGTACTTTTTCGTAGCCTCCAGCACCGGGCGTCTGAGCATTGAACGAACAGCTGAATGCCGTCTCCCCTAGGATATCCAATACATAGCGAGAGATGCAGTCTTTTAGGTCGAATGCTTTACCTGCCTTGGCAAACATTGCGATGCGATCGCAGAGTATTGAGAGCTTCTCGTCGAGGATCTCCTCCATTTCARGGATGGAAGTCTGGCTGAATCCGTGCGCCATTTGTCGCCTGCGCAGAGCATGGAGCTGAAGTAATCATCAGCAAGCTAGCCTATGTCAATTGAGATATCTCATCTTACATCGTCATCTTGTGTGCCGAACAAGTTGTGGTTGAAAGTTTGCCAGGAATTGTAAAACGACGTCTTGGGAAAGGCTCGACCGCCTTTGTATATTGTAGCTACAGCTTCGGCGTTCTGGATATGGACATCGTTGGGACCGATGCGAATAATGGAGCCGTGTTGCTCGTGTAGTCTTAGCAACACAGCATGCAGTTGTGTGTCGTAGATGTGGAAAACCTTCCATAGATTTGTAAGAGCAGCGATTCGAGGTCCAGGTACATGAGCAAGAGGATGGAATAGCAGCTGGTACGCCGCATATAAAGTGAGGAGCAGGAAAACGATAGATATGCAAGCTGAGGTCCACCGAAGTGTTTGTAACGGCCCGGTTACGATCACTGTCGAAGCATTGGCGGRAACATCTTCGACGCGGGGAGCGAAGGCCATGTCAAGTGAAAAGGGGTAGATGTAGGCCAAAGTTGCTGGCTCCCTCCAAACTCGCGTTTGATATCAGGCAAAGGAGTCATTGGTCTTTTTGAACCTTGATTCCTGCGAATGTGTGCAGACCTCGGCTGTCGAAAGTATATATGTAGGACGTACCAGTTGGCTCTTTGCCGCATTCTGGCTGAGCAAGCGCCGCGAATTGATTTGACGTGAAACACTGAGAAACCTCATCGTTTAGCAGATCATATACCGCCGCAATAGATTCGATATTGCAGTCACATTGCAAACATTCACAAGAAATCTGATTGAGAAGTTGGTAATGTACAGCTGTTATACACGACAAATCAAGGACAGTCTAATTTTCCCCATCAACTCATTTCATCGTCATTTGTCTCTTGCAACATTTCATAATCCGATCTTCAAACAATCGCACCGAGACCCCCAAGTGTCTCATCGAGAATGTCAGCAGTGTCATAGGTTCGGTCCTTCATGTACCCCGGGTACATCTCGAGCAACGACTCATCCATCGCCTCGAGCTGTGGGCAAGAGAGCTTCTCCACCACATCACCAAGAGTAGTCAAAAGAGTCTTGAACTCGCCGAGTAGAAGATCTGGCTCGGCCTGAGCAGCAGCCTGGAGAGCAAAGCAACCAAGGTTGTTTCCCTGAGCGAGACTCGTCCCGTTGAATACGCCTCCAGTAAGATCGGCCACGTTAACACCAGTGAACGAGTTGGGGGTACCAGTGTTGCCGCCAACGTCAAGGAACTTGGGGTGCAAAGCTGCGGCTGCGAGGACTTCGGCGTTGAAGTATGGGATAGTGTATGGAGCATCGATGGCACGTCTGTACCAGTTCTCGGGAATTCTCTCCGTGCCTTGCACTGCCTTGTAGTTGCCATTGGTACCCTCAACTCCAAACCATGATTGAACGACTTCATGGGATAGGTAGCCGCGTGGGTACTCTGCGGAGTGGTTGGCCATGAAGCGGAAGATGAAAGTGTATGCCGCGGGCTGGACGAGTATTCCTGTGAAGGGACCGTTGAAGAAGTAGGGGTTGTTGGCGATCTGGGTGTCGAATCGCTTGGATCGGAATGCAGTCAGCGAGTCGATAGTGACGCTACCGGGTGAGTAATCGATCATCTCTTGGAACTGTTTGGCGACGGTCTTGTAGTTGTTGCCCGCTTCGTAGAGGTCAGGTCGAGTTGGAGATGCTGCAAGGGTGGAAGAGTTAGCGATGATTGGGACKAAGGAGATGTGTAGCAATGCCCAGCATAGCTTAAGGGCGCATCTTCGTGCTACGCTGGAGGCCTTCTGTAGGTCAACTTACCGTCTCCTTCATACTTGTTGTGGGAGCCAGTCAGGCCATTGCCATTCGATGACAGTGGTCCACCAACACCAGCTGGAGGAGTTCCTGCGATCGACCACGATAGAAGATCTCCATCGAGGGCTCCACCGAGAACGGCCAAGAAAGCTGCCAAATCTGTTCCCATACCAACGACCTTCTCTGTTACGTCGATGAATTGCCCGATCGTTGCATATCCGCTATGTGGGAGAAAGTTGTGATTGGCGAATGCATTCTGGTTGATGTCAGCACATCTTCAAAAYGTGTGGAAATGTTCAACCCTGGGAAGTACTCCATGGATGCAGACAAAGGAACGTCACATACCAATCCGGGACATGGTCCTCGAAGATCGTTTGGTCCAGGAGCAACATACTCGTGGCCGCTGCCCTCGCTGACATCGATGTACTGTGCCTTCGCATCGAAAACGGGAACAGCCTCGAACAGCTTCTCGGCCGCATCAGCGCCTTCTTGACGACCCGCGAGTCTGTTGCGAGTCAACATCTCAGCCATCTCAGCAGTTCGAGCTGCCAGGGCTGGATCTCTTGATGCAGCTTCGAGCATTGCTGCTGGGAAGGCAGACGCCAAGCCGGCCATGGAGGCCAAAAGAGTTCGTGAAATCATATTATTGGAAGACAAAACGCTGTGAATCGAATGTTGGAAAGTCGGATGAATGATACGATGAAGGTGAAGGAAAGCTCCAAGACTCTTGTAGGTGTGCTTGAGCGGCGAGTTTACCACGCTTGGTAAGAAACATACAGCCGCCACACTGTAGACAGCATCTCAAGCCATGATCTCACCGCTGTCGATCCAAACCCAAAAGCCGACGAAGAGGTCTCGAGGAGGTGAGGTTGAGAGACAGCCATCATCATGCTCGCGTGCGGGCCAAGGTCTAGCACGAGGCTGACGCAGCTTGTAGAAATGCTTCTCCAAAGATCGACAGTTGAAGACGTCAGCTCAGACTTCGACCCCTTCTTTCTCAGATCTTCAACAGCCAATAGTGTATGGCTAATTTGTCGCTTCTTCGCTGGCGTTCGACGTTGTTGGCGCACGAGGGCGAACCAATATTTTCATATGATACATCGGAGTTGAGGCGTCTTACAACGTGCTTCGCGGCGTTAATTTGATGCACTCAGGCAAAGGAGGGTCAGCATAGCACTGCAATTGCCCTTTGTTCGCACTTCAGAATATATTTCGCCAATACCGCCCGTGACTGCCGGCGAAGTATTGATCGATCTTCTCATGTGTGCCGTTTGCCGGGTGTTCGATCTCCGGATGAATGGACACACTAAATCGCCATACCATCGGGTACAAGCTGTACCAGAGCAGTGGATCAGGGAAGGTATAGAGTTCGCACGCGAATTTGGCACCGCACCCGAGGAAGCTGCTTCCTAATTCAGTCTAACAGCAGCGCTTAGTTTCACAGCTGTACGGGCGCTAGACCAGGGTATTGCTCTTTTTGTGGAGATGGTTTCTCGAGTGAATGACCTGCTTCGTGGTACCGCCTCGCATCGCGTATTCGCATATATGTCGGAGTTAGGTTCATTTGCGACTGGTAAGAGCTCTGGAGCTGATTATTGCACGGACTTGTGACTTGCAATCCCGATGCGACGATGGGTACTTCTGAGTCCTGACTTCGACGCCCGTGAGTTGCATGCAGAGACCCGAATTGAAATCTGGCAAGAGATGAGCAAGCAAAATCTCCCTCGCTTCCAAACATCMTTTCGCTTTTGCTGCGACGACTACTCGCACAAATCTATCTATCATATGTCGTTCTCATGCGTATCATCCGAAAAACATCTATGCTGTTCCATTGACAGCCTCAAGACTCCCTCTCACACCTCCTTTGCCGCCGACCTCTCTCGCGACAACAGTAACCTCCAAATCGGCTCCAACATTGATTTGCACTTCGACTTTGCCGCCCTTCTTGACGCCTCTAATTCCAACCTCTGCGAGAGGGTTACCAGCCTTCCACTCCTTGCTCCTGATTTCCTCAGGCTCGTCGTCGTCATCTGAGTCATCCTCGTCCTTTGCGGCGGGCTCTTCCTTGGTGATCTTGATTTCTCGCACACCCTCTGCAAGCTTGACAAGCACATCTCCGCCATCTTTGACAGCGATTTGCGCCGTCCGTCGCACGGGCACGGGGGTCTCTGCAGCCACAACGACGTGGAACTGGTTGTTGGCGTCCACAATTCCGATCGCTTTGCTGAGATGAGGAGTAACAATGACCACCGCCTCGGTGGAAGCTTCAATATCGGMCTTTTCAAACTCGGCGATCAAGGATGCCTGGATGGCGGCTCCTCGAGAAGCAAGTTCGCTGGGGTTCACTGCTGCTGGGAAAGTGCTGGGAGCTGTCACCGCGGTTCCCTCTGGGAAATGTGACTGCAAGAGAGAGGCGATCTTGGGTGTGTGAGAAGATCCTCCAGCGAGCAGGATCTCGTCAATATCAAGTATATCAAGGTTTGCCTTTGCGACAGCCGACTCAATCAGACGAACGAATGAAGCAAAGACCTTGCCTGCGAGAAGCTCGAAACGTGTGCGGTTGACGCTGAGCTGGAAATCGATTCCGTCGATGAGTGATTCGATGGAGAAGTTGGCGGAAGCACCAATGGAGAGGGCCTTCTTCACAGCTTCGGCTTCGAGAGTGAGTTTCGACAAGCTGCGCTCGGTGGAGCGTGGGTCCTTGGCAGACTTATTCTTCTTGAGGAATTCCTTTGCGGCGTATTCGACCAAGACCTGATCCAGAGTTGCGCCTCCCAGCTCGTAGTCGTGGCTYGTAGCGAGAGTGGTGTAGAGGCCTGCGCGAGAAGCAACGATTGCAATGTCGGTACGTGTGCCACCAATGTCTGCCACCACGACGTTCTTATCCTGCYGAGAAGGAGTGGCCTCGCCGCTCTGYTGGAGCTTAGCGTCGTGTGCGAGGAGGGCCGAAGTAGGCTCGTCGATGTATTGAATGACCTCAATGCCTGCGGCCTTGGCGTTGGCGGTGAGGGCAGTCTTTTGTGCATCGGTGAAGTCGGATGGGACGGTGATGACGGCAGCAGAGACATCACGGCCGAGATAATCGGTAGCAGATATCCTGAGTTTCTTCAAATGTCTGGTTGTGATTTCGTCGACGCTGAGTATGCTGCGCTCGCCCTTTGGCTCTCCATCCTCGTCGACTGTCTCTTGTACGCTGAATGCCACGCTCTTACCGCCGTCGTGCTCAATGGGGTGGGCGGAGGAATGGCAGGGAGTGGGATCGATTTSCTTGAAGGATTTGCCCAAGAAATCGCGAAAGTATGCGACTGTGTTGCGCGGGTTTCGTACAATCTGTGCCTTGGCCTGTGTGCCTTGAAACTCCTCGCCGCTCACGTATGAWAGGATGCTGGGGATGAATCGGTCTCCTAAGTGCCAGAAAATTCTGTCAGCCGCGCTCATATGCATGCCACCGCTCCGTCTGGCATTTTCTTACCCTCCTCGTTGGCGATGACCTCCGGCTTGCCATCCACGGGCGATGTGTRGGCGATGCTGGAGTACGAGTTTCCAAAGGAAATACCAATGGCGGTGCGCGATGGTTCGGCACTCATGTTGGCGGTGGATGGGGATGTGTATGGAGTGGAAGGTGTAGGTATGCCGTGTTTGATATGCGTGGAAGAATTGGAATGGATGCACGAGTTTAAAAAAAGCTGCCAGGGTTCAAGCCCGCGATCTTCAATCAGTCTTCACAAGCAAACAAGACATCCAATCAACAACGACACAACCACATCACCGCATCCCCGCCATGGCCACCGTCCTTCTCCCCGGCGAGGAACTGGATTCTACTCTTCTCCCAAAAGTGAACAAGAAAGGCCATCTCACACTCGGTCCTGGACTAGGATTTGTCCCTCCTCAAACCATCCTCTCCACCACCGCCGGCACTCTCCACGTCGATTCCAAGAAATCTGCACTATGGATTGAGCATTCTCATGGCCGTTATTTACCCTCGGTCGGCGATCTCGTCGTGGCTCAAATCCACCACTCCGCCGCAGAAGTCTACTACTGCACTCTCACTCCGCACACAACCCATGCTGTGTTAGGTCAATTAGCCTTTGAGGGTGCCAACAAGAAGAATCGTCCGCAATTGAAAACTGGAGATGTTGTATATGCTCGCGTGAGTAAAGCCAGTAAATGGGAGGATGTAGAGGTGGAATGCGTGAATTCAAATACGGGCAAGGGAGAGGGTATGGGACCGCTGGCTGGTGGGATGGTGTTCGATGTCAGTCCGCAGTTTGCGAGGAGGTTGATGATGGGTGTTGATAAGAAGGATGGGAGGAGKTTGGGTGGAGTGGTTGTTCTGGAGGAGGTCGGAGAGAAACTGAGGTTTGAGGTTGCAGTCGGCAGGAATGGACGGGTCTGGGTGGACAGTGGAAGCGTGAGGGAGACGGTGGTGATTGGCAGATTACTACGAGAGGCCGATGAAGAGGGACTTGGTGTGGAAGAGCAGAGGAGAGCGGTGAAGAAGGTGCTCAAGGAGCTTTGACGTGTTGGCTTGTTTTGATGATACCCATGTGTTATGCTACAGATACAAATATGGACAGAGGACAAAAGGTCCGCCGTTGGGGCTCGGTCGCCCTCCCTTGGAGACTTTTCACGAGCCATCCTCGCAGAGGAGTCAAATTACTCGGAGCCATCACCCTGGTCAAGCCCATCGCTGTCAATCTCAGGCGCTCTCCCAAGAGTTCGACCAATCCCCACAAAGGCTCCACCAGCAGCCGCTTCATTCTCTCCCAAAACCATATCGAAGCAGCTCTTTTTCTTTTCAATCTTCTTCTTTCCAGTCTTCTTCTGCTTCTGCTTCTCCGCTTTCTCCGTCTCTCCACTTCCCAGCACGTTCCCCTTCTTTCCCGGCTCCTTTCTGAACCCCAACTCCTTGGCCACCATCTGCTTATCCGCCGCTTTCTTCCGCACTTCGGCACTCTTCTTCGCAGCAGCGATCTTTTGTGCATTGCCCATGGTTTTGCCTCTGGTGAAATCCCAGTTTCCATTTCTGATCGCTACAATCACACTCCGGTTAGCACGCATGAGAATGGAGAGAGTGATGCAGTACATGCCCATCCGTCTCTCCGCCGCCATATTTTTGGCTTGTTTAACCTTCTCCGCAGTTGCAACGGTGACTTCCATTTCGTCCGGTGGTGGGAGGGTCTTGGACTTTTTGGATGGTGGGCGGTTGGTCTTCTTCACGGCCAGAGACCGCTTGTGATCTGCCAAGGCAATCTTCTCCGCATTTGTGAGAGGGTTGCGGCGAGGGTTAGTGGCAGGTGAGGAGGATTGGGTGGGAGGCATGATGTTGTGTAGTGAGTGAGTTGGATTATGCCGAACGGGGTGTTGAGATGAGGGTGTTGATGTTAGGAGGAAATGACCTGGTTGGTGATGTGTCTTGATTTGTCGTTGAAGTCGAGTTGATGTTTGAGATCAAGTTAAAAGCCTGAGAATTGAGGAGTGAATAGTAGGAGTGAAGAGTAAGAACAGGTCAATCACATGCGGTGCCGAAGCAATGAGATAACGGGGATCCCTTCGATTGAGCGTAGCCTTTCTACTATGTGCAAGCAGAATGAATGAAGTGATGCTATGAGAAATACGGAATTTTATCAACATCTCGAAGTCAGCACCTGCTTGCTACGCTTCTTCTCTGTATTTAGACTTGACGCGAGGACCTGGCCAAAGACCTACGGACTAAGTGCTGCCTTCGAACAACACGTGTCGAGCCTGATGGTCTCATACCAGATTTGAGGGCCCCAGCTCCCTCGGTGTGTACTCTAACGAGATCTGTTGATGTTCTTATTCTGTGGTTGGCAAATTTGTCCCGGTCGTGTTTTAAGATGGCCAGAAGCATGCATGCTAGATGGCGGTGGCATTGCTATCCTCTAATGATTTTGAGAATTATGAAGGCAATCGATCCCGAAGAGATTCTGCTCACCTGCGGTCCCGTACTAATGGGTACGCATAACAATCCAACGACATACCTCAAAGACCGAGACCATAAATCTGTCTTGCGTGCTCTGGGCAATGAGCATGCAAAGAATGGTCAGAACGGCCATAAGATTGATACGTCCGAGTGTTCACCACTCCTGAAACTGCCGTGGCATCGGGGGACGGTTTCGAGTCCAAAAGTCACGCAACGGCAACTTTCAAGGCGAATAGGGACGCTCATCGGATACTCAATGAGTATGCCAGCTTTCCAGCCGCCGGACTGCAATATGCTGTCTTGCGGAATCTTCAGGTTGCATTGACATTGTACGGGTGGCGGAGGAGGGTCACAATCACGAGGAGGATGAAGATTACGAAGTACCGGGACTCGGATCGCTGACCTGGGAGGAGCTTGCTGGGATGTGCGGACGCTCCCGGCCGGAAATCGTCCCGTCTTCACCTCCTTGGTGGCCACACCGTCAGCAATTTCGCCAGCAGCCGGCGACGTTGTCGACGAAACATATGGACATGCTCACGCGTTGCTCATCGGATGCGACATTGACACACCGGCTACGATGTGATCATATGTGGTCAGCCATAGAGAAAAGGGTTGTACCTGCCACAACCTCTGCTCAGAGGCCGCTTCAGACGCAAGCCTGCGGGAAAGGGCCTTACATATCTCCAGTGGTGACGCAGGGCAGGTTCATGGCTCAAAAGACACGTGGGACTGCCTCATGCATACCCGAAGCGCCGCTTGCCGCAGCCGTTGTCCTTCTGGACTTCACCTCACGTTGAGACAACGTCGGAACGCTCTCTCATCTACGACATCAACGATTCCAACATACAGCTCCCGATAGAATGCTCTTGGTGCAAGCAATTGTCAACACATGTAGTCTACAAACCAGATGTGACAGCAAGCCCACCGTCCATGCCATCTGGTAAATACGTCCAAGCCAGTCATCGTATTCTCTAATCCGCGTCGGACCTTTCCCTGTCAGACCTGCAACGACGATATACGAGATTCGCTCACTCAACAGCAACGGCGAACGACAAAGCCGTTCTTCGCCTGTGGCATGAACGCTCATGGGAGCACATCTCATACACCAAGACAAGGCCAAGGCACAATTTGAACGTTAGAATCCCCACTGATATGGCTACTCAGAGTATGCATATAAGCCTCCATCTCATTCCTCATTCCAGAAATCATCCAGCAGCTTTCCAGCCTACTTCACTACCACAGTCACTCGTTTCCAACACTCGCTTCCAACACTCGCTTCCGACACTCGCTTGTCCATTACACTCGTTTTCACTACAGCCAACAAACCAAGTAATCAACCACCCAACCCACCCACCAATCAACATGCAGTTCACTGTCGCCATCCTCGCCGTTGCCGGTCTTGCCGCCGCGCTTCCAGACAACTACGCCTACGGTGCCGGTGCTGCCTACGGCGGCCACAACTCGCCTTACAGCCCTGAGAAGGAGTGTCAGGTCAGCAGCACTTGCAAGGCTGTCTACAAGACCATCACCACCGATTTCCCATCCAAGGCGACTTCCACTATCGTCAAGACTATCTCCGAGGCCGTGACAAAGACTGAATCCACTCAGGAGCACGTTACAATCACAAAGCTCATTCCTACGACCTATGTCAAGACTTCGACGGTGACCAAGACCACGACAATTCCGTACGACGCTTTCAAGATCACGACAATCTGTGAGACCAAGACGATCCCATACAAGGCCACCAAGACTTCCGTCGTAACCGCTCTGGAGAGCGCTCCATTCACAGAGACAAACAAGAAGGCTGTTGTCACCGAGACCCAGAAGCAGAAGATCTACACCACAACCATTCCTGTTGAGAAGAAGGTCGTTACCGTGGTTGACAAGAAGGTCCAGACCGTCATCGTAAAGACTGAGAGCGAGTGCGCCACTGCCACCAGCTGCAAGGCGAAGAAGACATCCTCTGCCGCAGAGTCTTCCTCCTCCGCTGTCAAGACATCCACCGAGACCGAGGGCAAGAACACCTACCCTGCCACCTACCCTGCTGGGGAAAAGTCCACCGCAGCAGCCTATGACCCAACCCACCCAGCTCCTTACGTCCCAAACCACACCGCGTACTAAGCGATTGATGACTTCATTGTCCATCCTGGTTCGTGTTACAGTGGAGGTTTAGAAGTCCCGCCGCTTAATTCGGAGTTGCTGTCTCTCGAGCGGCGGTGGGAATGGGTATTCACCTGGTGTTTGGAGTATTTAATCGATAATGTGAATGAATAAAAGATGACTTATACAACTCTTCGAATTGCCCCTTCTTGATTTTGCTTCTTGGCTCGCGGTGGGCCAGACACTAACATGTACCCTCGATTCGATAATTTGACAGGAAGGCTCTGCTACTTCAATCCCACACCTAAGATCAAATGGATCGACGGTTCGTCTCAGCGTGAGATGTGCCTCGATCCGTCCTACAAAGGTCAAAGCTTGTGATTTCTCGCCTGCGTGAATGAAGTGCTGCTCATTCATTCTATATTGCCGCCGTCGCGTACCTCACTCAGATACGACAGAGCGATCAGTACATTTGTCGAATAGCCTTCGTCTTACGAGCAATGGGCAATTTGCTCTTCCAAAACTTGCAACTTCACTTGAAGTAAAGGGGTTAAACGTGACCCATCCAGGCATCAAATGAGCTAAGAGTACTCCCTAGTCGACGATTACTTCTGTAACCCTACTATTATTGATTAATGGGTCTTGGAGGGCACTGCACGACGCCAAAAATCCGAGCAGGGTTAGGGTTGGGGTAGCAGCTGAACGATATCTAAGCGTTAACTAGCGCGAGACACTCGCACCCCACATTCACATGCAATATGCAAAATTCAAAATAATTCCACGCAAGGCTACCTTACTGCCTTAGTCGTTCATTTATGAGAGCATTGTACAACAAATCCGCCAGAACAGCTCAACATGTCAATCGTCGCATGGTAGTAGAAAGGGTCCCCGAAGCTTCTGACCCCGCCCCTGGACGTCTCATCTTGCAACAAAAACGAGCAGCACATCGGCAAAAGGAATCAACCACAACGACGCCATCAATGGCTAATCAAATGCCTTCTAACGGATTTGAACCGTTGACCTCGGCATGCCAGTGAGTACTAGTGCCGCGCTCTACCAACTGAGCTAAGAAGGCGTGAGTCCAAATGGTGTTAGGTGTGAGACCGCGGGCCGGGAATAGTATATATCGTGTTGAAGATGATGCCAAGCCGGGTGGACTTCATCCCAACTTCGGGCTTCCAGGCCTGACCAGGATCGATCCCCATGCAGCTCGCAGCGCGACCTGGTAGATTGTGTGAAACGGTTCTCCTGATATTGCCTCCAACTCTTCGTCTAAGAGCAGTCGGAATGCAAACTTCCTCGTAGTCCGCATTCAGTAGTATGGCGTGTACGACCTGTCTGAAAGTATCAAATGTGACGAAAGACTTCAAAGAGCATGCCTTGGTGATGCGTGCCTTCAATCCTGTACGAACGAGTCTGCGGAAAGTATAGAAATCGGCCGGAAACTGTGCTGATGCTGATGCTGGAGCAAGAGTTGACGATGGTCATGTGCCATCGCTCATGTCCTGATCGGCTGGCCATGTACAAATGTCATTGCCAGTGCGGGAGTTGAACATGCTTTGCGAAGTATGAGCCCGCCGGAAACCACACAAGTACTTCCTCGTTGCCGGAATGTTGCGGTGATGCGGAAATGCGTGAGAATAGCGCTGCTCGTGATCTGGCGTTGCGAGTGCATAGTCTCGACCTTCTCGGAGCACGGAGGTTGACGCAGCCCAGCTTCGATACAAACCTGGCATCGAACGCATGGTCCAAGTGAACAGCCTCACGACCGTACACGTCAGAGCTATTGGAGAGATGGTCGATTTGCATGAGGCCTGCCGCGGGCTCTGCCGTCTTAGACCTGACATGGTTGACCCCGCCTGGCTTGAACTCCTCACCCAATTACCCTACGCTGCAGTCAGTTTCGACCCTTCGGTCAGTCTTCGAGTGAAAGGAGCGCCTGCGGCTGAAGTTGGAAGGAAAACATGGTATTGTCGACTCTCATTTGCACAGTATCGGATGTCGCGGTCCTCGAAGCCTCGAAACATGCATCCTCCCAAGTCTCGTTCAAACGCAAGGAAACTCAATGCTCTCTGTGACTCCATTTCTACTCGTCGGCTGGCTTGTGGTAGTTGACCTTCTCGTTCCAGAAGAGAGTCTTTGTCACATGGTCAGTCTACATTTCATCCCATTCCCGCTAAACGCACCTGGTCACCGTTACCCCAAGGATAGCYCTTGGTGCGGATGTTCTGGTATGGATATTCGGTCTTGTCCTCAAGCGCAGGGCCGTGTGCAACGTGCTCCCAGTGCTCGTTCCAAAGGCGCCAGGCGTTGACGCTCGCGATGATTGTGGATGGGATCACCACACTGTTCACACTGTTAGCTACGTCGCTCGCGTGGGCTGCTGGCCTCGGCTTGGAGAGGGAGGTCGTCGGGCGCGGTGGGTCGTGGGGAAGGCATACTAGATTGAGAGCTTGCGCCAGGTATCTGAACATGATGCTGTCAGTCTACATGGAATCTCTGCTCTTGAGAGTGCTCCAACATACCACTGGTCGCGGCGGCGTGGTCCTTGACGGCCTGACGCTCTCTGTTGAAAGCATTGTCCTGGGGGCCAAGGTTGGACTGCATTCTCCGCTGTGTGTGGCGGCGGAAGGCCGGAATGGCATTGCGGAAGACGCGGGCGGCGAACATGGTGTCTGTGTCGGCGGAGTGAGGAGTGTTGGTAGCYGATGCGCTCGTCGCGGCGTGCCTCCATGAGGTGGCCGACGATTGAAGCAATCCAGCGGCTACACCCGCAAAAGTGGGTCCAAGCAGCCGCCTGCTTTTGTTCCCGTCACTTGCCACTGCGAACGTGATCAGTCGCAATTCACAACATCAAACATAATGGCATTGGATCAACAGCGGAACTGGGACATCTCAATGGCGGAAAACCTCAAAAAGGTTGTTCGGAGCAGCCGCGAAAAGGAACTCCAGGACAAGACCAGAAATACACATACACATCCCGCTCTGCCAGAGAAGGAATGGGGACCGCCGATACACCTGCCAGATGAGATTCTGGTACAAATTCTCGACTATGTCTCCACCTCGTACTACTCACAGACAACTCTGGCTTCATGCTGTCGGTTGTCTCACCAATGGTTCACCGCCGCAGTACCTTATCTCTACCGCCATCCGATACTCTATGGCAACAAATTCGATCCCTTCATCAGAGCGATATGTCCATCCAAAAACCTTCACGTCCGGAAAAGCCCTGTCGCTGCTCTTGTCAAGGYGCTAGATATGAGCGGCCTTGTCCATCAGGGATCAAAGAGTGTGACTGCGCGCCTGCTTAGTCGCACAAAGGACAACCTGGAAGAATTCGTCGCTCCACAGGCGAGTTTCGGGTGGATTTGCCTACCATCCTTGGCCAAGGCTCCCAACTTGCGAAGGCTAGACTTGTCGTTGGTCTCGGAATCTCCGCCTCTTCTAGATCTATTCAAGGCGTTATCGCATCTAAATAAGCTCAAAACGCTTCGGCTACCACGGTCTGCAGGATTCAGTGTCCATGTTGATTCGTCACAAGTGTCATGGCCACCGAATCTTGAACATCTCTGCTTGAGTGGAGGCATAGACAACCACTTCCTACATGGTGTTGTAGAGTTGCCAACATCTCTTCAAGGCCTCACCGTGGAACACTGTCCTATGCTGCACGGCTCTGACATCATCCACTTTCTAAACAACGCCGTWCGTACTCTCCMCAACGTCGAAGTATTGAAACTAGCCTCACTTCCTCGACTCACTGAGTCATCGCTGGACTGCATCTTGAGTATCCTCCCCGGTCTCACGAAGCTCAGCATCAGCGTCGACTACATCACACCGACATTCTTTGACTTGGCGAACAACCTCGAGTACAAAGAGTACTACGCTGGCAATGTTGTTCCTCAAGTCGGAATGACCCGGCATGAATGGCACGATGGACAATTCTCGCAGCTGCGAACGCTAGAACTGACCAATTCTGGCAATCCGGGCGTTGAAGACAAGATCTCGCCTATCGACATACTCATCGCGATTGACGAGGGTCAATTACCAAACCTGAGGCAGGTCAGAGTTGCGAAGAGTTTGCTGTGGCATGCAGGAGGCACCGCGGCTGACTTGGAGGCGTTGTCTGATTCGCTGAAGGAGTCTGCGACTGCGAAAAATGTCGTGGATCTGGCAGATGTTGGGGTCTGGACATTCGATTGAACGAAGTCCTGGGCGAGTTTCTGATATCAAAACAAAAAATAAGATACTTTCATGCACCCCATTCAATTGCCTAGCACTTCCTATCATCATTACCCCAGGGAGATGTCTATCAAACGCTGTGAAGCTGCCATATGAAGCGACTTCTTACATCGGAAGTTGTTCTTGATGACCAAGGTCAGACTTGTAAGAATCGATTCGCTGCTAACCTACCAGGGTCCTGAAGAGGACTCTGTGGGCCTGATAGGACTCCTCCTACGCAAAGAGTCGTTGCTCCTTTGCCTGCACATTGCTGCAAAATGATTGGCTAGGACCCATCGCCGACCGCCGGAAGATTATTCCACCGTTTCAAACGGTTTTGCTCCTTCACCTGTCGACCATTGACAACAGAACCCAACATTTCCATCTGAATGCTCGCGAATTGCGAACTTTTCGGATATTTGTTCAAGAGACGTATTTACTTACGACATCGCATGTCCACACTCCTCAACGCTTAAATCCGGTCTTCGCGGCTTTTAGCCAACCCGGAGTCCGGCTCATTCTCGTTTACAGTACCTATAAGAAGCCATCGCCCATGAATGCATGCTCAAAATCAATGACCGCTTCAATCCGCCTTGCGACCTTTCAGCGAACCCCAGCGCTCGGTTGCAGGCCATCGAGGTCCTGCAAAGTGCATTCTCGTAACATCATGTCGTCCACCAGCTCGCAGGGGAATATTCGAGCAACAATCTCTCAGCCGGACTACATGCTAGCCTGTCCGGCAGACGTCAAAGAACTCCACCACCACCAGGAACGATACAAGCTCTTTCAGAACCCGTGGCCAAGCTTCGTCGATCCCGGCGGTGCAGAAGTTGCCTTTAAGATTTTGCAAAGGAAACTTACAGGCACCGCGAAGAATCCAGACGTTACACCTCCGACTGTAAATGTAGTCAAGCCAGAATTCCTTCAGACTAGGGAGAGCAATGGATCTTTGCGAGCTACATGGCTTGGTCATGCTTGTTACTTGGTTGAGTTCCCTTCCGGATTGAGAGTCCTTTTCGATCCAGTCTTCGAAGACCGTTGTTCGCCTGTATCTTTCCTTGGACCCAAAAGATTCACAGACGCGCCCTGCAAGATAGAAGACATTCCAATCGTCGATGCGGTGGTTATATCCCACAGTAAGGACCCATTGGTTGAGAAGAATCGATCGATGCGCCTGCTAAACTACACAAAGACCATTATGACCACATGAGCTACACCTCTTTAAAGAAGCTCGCCGCCAAGCATTCCGAAGTTCAGTTCTTCGTACCATTGAACATCAAGAAATGGCAAGTAGAGAGTTGATACATCCCAGTCCAGCGATCTGACGCTAACTTCACACCCTCCTCTTCAGGTTCGACGACAACGGCTTCTCGAACATCACCGAATTAGATTGGTGGCAGAGCACTGAAGCAACATTCACACCTCCAAACGAAAAACCATTCTCCGCGACAATATCCTGTCTACCAGCTCAACATGGTAGCGCTCGCACAGCCTGGGACCGAAGCCGCATGCTCTGGGCCGGATGGTCCATCGAATCAGGCGACAAGACGCTTTATTTCGCAGGAGACACTGGCTATCGCACAGTCCCCGAACTCCCACCCTCAGAAGACGACTACGGAGAAGCATACTCCAACTTACCCGTCTGCCCGGCTTTCAAGCAAATTGGAGAGCTCAGAGGACCTTTTGACCTCGGAATCATACCCATTGGAGCGTACGAACCGCGTTTTCTGTACAGCTCGCTGCATTCGAATCCATATGACTCTGTGAAYATTTTTGTGGATACGAAGTGTAAGAACGCGCTTGCTATGCATTGGGGAGCGTGGGTCTTGACGGAAGAAGATGTCATGGAGCCGGCTAGGAAGTTGAGAGATGCTCTGAGGTGGAAGGGATTACCGGAAGAGGGGACTTTTGATGTTTGCGATATTGGCGAGAGTCGGGAGTATTGAGCTGAATGCATTGAACAGGCGCTGTACCAGGCCGAGGAATATGTGTTACGCAGTTTCCCTGCGCTGATTGCTGAACAGAGATCGAGTTAAGCACGCCGTGTAACTGGAAAATTCGTTCGCCTGGACACGAACTTCAAGACATCCACGGAATATGCAAAATATCCTCATATATCAACCGACTGTGGGCGAAGCTGTTGACATTCTTCACACTGGCAGAGCGATGGAGCACGAATTTTCGAATGCTTCAAAGTTCGACTAAGATACAAGCTACATGCGGCTACAGCGATGTTCCAAAACTACTCCGTGATCTGCGCTATGTTGAACACCCCGTTCAATAAGAAGGCGCATCTGACGAGCCATTCCGGAGCGTGGAAGGCCGCTGCGTTACGCCAAAGCGASTGTTGCCCTGATCGAAGATGGCATAGACGGAGCGCAAGAAGACATCACCGAGGATGTCAAATCCTTGGTCACCACGAGATTGAATACCGCCGTAGTATGTGCCATCGCCGAGATCTTGGAATGGGAGCTCCTCTGGGTTGATGGTGAAGAATGCATCACCGACAGCGACCTGGATCTTCGGCAAGGATGCGAGATCTGTGCTGGTGGGAAAGACCCATCCCTGATCATGTTCGTTAGCCAATGTATACACATATGCGAATTGGGAACGCTTACCTGCTGCTGAGAGCTCTGCTTGGCGCCTTTGATGGCACCATAGACCGCCTTGCACAAGTCGTCTCCCACCAGAGCGAGGGTCGTACCAGTGTCGGCAATTGCGGTGTTGCCAGTCCTTTTTATGGTCTTGTCACCAACCTTTGCTGAGGCGCTATCGAATGTCCAGAAGCCCTGAGAGCTGTCGACTGGAGTGTAGGTTGGCGTCTGGCCATCCAAAGCGTCCTGGTCAATGTACCCAAACGTATAGAAGCTGGTGGCATCGGTGCTTGAAGAAGATCCAGTCGAGCTGCTACTAGCCACACCGGTGCTACCAAGATAAGCAGTGAAGAGCTCCGTGTCCTTTGGGAAATCGGATTGAGCAATCATGTTCTCGACCAGAGCGTTGACAGGACCAGGCTGTACTGTGTTGATGGAACCGAAAGCAAGACCAAGAAGACCATCACCAGGTCCTTGCGCGAATTGCGTGCTCAAAGTCTTCGCCAGCTCGATAGCCTGGTTCTCGACCACAAGACCTCCGGCAGTGACGTTGTCGGTTCCTACATCACCGGACGCAGTCGAGCCRTCGSCATACGAGATTGACCATGTCGAACCAGAAGTCTTTTGGAAAGTGGAGCTCTTCTTCGGGTCGAAGATTGTGTGCTTGTTGTCGCCAGCCTGTCCTGTGAGGGAAGACGGTAGTTCAGTGCTCCACACCCATAGATCTGCTTGAATTCAGCGAACGACGAACGTTTTGCAAATCATCTCATTCTAACTTACCGGCGCTGCCTGTGTCAAAGTCCAACGCGAGCTGCTGGCCGGGCGTACCGATCGTGACGGTGGCCAGGTATTCTGCATTGTTTTCGATATCTTCTGCCTGTTGGCTGTTAGTGAACTTCACGTCTTCACTCTGAACAAAGGAAACATACTGGGACGTTGCCGTTCTGACCACTGGATGGGTCTTTCTTGGCGAGAACATGGCTTCGAACATGAGCTCTGCCGCCAACACGCTTGCCGGTTTGCTTGAAAATGGCCTGGGAGCCTTGCTGGTGGACTTGATTCACTCTGCAATAGGGACCTTCGACCGAGGGACCGATGTTCCATTTCTGCAGAGCATGAACGTAGGACTTGAGGCCGTTACGGATGTGGTTGGGGTTCCTCTGCAGAGCACCTCGGACGAGCTTCGCGTCGGACGACATTTTCGATTCGATGGAGAGTTGCTGGGACGAAGAGCTTTTGTGGAGAGCCCGAGCAAAATAAACAGAGGTCGTTGCCTTATCTTTCGTTGTGTTTGTGTCAAGATGGGCAATCGTGTTGTCCTGCGAACTCTATATGTCCGACGCGAGAAAGCAAACAGGAACGCCAGTCAGATTACAGTAACTACATGAAAAAAACTACTTTATGGATAGTAAGGTACACGTCACGCGGCTGTTTGCTTGGGCAGGTACGAGACGAACACGCACGCAAGAGCCATCATGGCGCCGTCTCGTTTAGTGTAGAGCAACATGCGTCCAGACATTCGTCTCTCATAGGTCAACGAGAAGTCATGCGATTGCCGTTTAGGATTGCCTTTGTTCGCTTCGAACGTGCAAACAGGTTCGTTTGGCGAGATCGAGCATGATCCAGCACAGAATTGCGTCATGTCCTGCCACGACGCCTCGGCGTCGTCAAGTGAGTGCTACGCATGCATGGTCAAACTCAAACAAACGATCAACAGCAAGCTTGTCGAGCTCAAGCTCACTCAAGCTCTGCTGACTGTCGATCGCCAAGTTTAGTAAGTGAATGGATTTTGAGCTAAAGATGCAGAATAACGAACGAAACAGAGGACATGTGAGATATGGCTGCCAGTTGATGTGAATACACTACTTAGGCAGCGAGGCACGAGTACCAGGTAGAGTGTCGAGAGAGTGTAACTTCTTGTTTCTTGTCACATCGATCTCCTGACAATCGATTTCATCTCCTAGGGCCTTCCTGCTGGCTACTTCAGGTATCCTTCTTCCTGCTTCGAGGCCCCTATCGCTCCACTCTCGAGCCTCACTCGGCTGCACAGAGTCATTTCCAAGTGAGCAAAATCAACGAAGAGTTGTCTGAGCCCCACAACAATCGCGAGCTTTGTAGGTTTGGCTTCCCAAATCGTGCCGACCTAAATGTTTGTGCAAACCGCTATTCCAAGGCTAACTGGTTAATAATCCCAGCGCGTCCCTACTCCTGTCCATTCCCGGCAGTCGCGCCACTGATTGAGTGTATCGTAGATGATTCTAACCGGTTGCTGCCACAAACAGGAGCGGCATGCGTCTGATCTCGGCTGGCGCCTCCCGACCCTGCTATCAGTATACAGTGGAAGTGTTCGCTACACGGAGCAGCGTAGGCCGAGTACCTAGACCAGTAAGATGTGAGTCCAGACTCGATACAGCAGCTCGATCAAGTCGATCAGTTCGACTCCATCAATCGGCTTACAACGTTTATGCGCCGCTTCTGGTTTCAGACTCAGTAGGCCACAGTCACATTTGCATTGCATCGGATTGATTAGTGCTGTGTGAAGCACCCAGCTCATCCGGGATATCTAGGTTCCGTCGCCATCCTTCCTCTCTGTCGTCGGCTCTTCAGGAGGGAGTGCACAGATGTAGCTCAGAGAAGTTGCGACCCACAATGCCAGACTCCCAGGAAGCCATGCCGAGGACCGTCGACTGCTCACTGGGACATGCAATGGGCCTTCCATACCGTCCATACCGCCCATACCGCCCATACCGCCCATACCGCCCATACCGCTCCGATTCGATGCCCATGATCGGAGCAGCAGCGTTCAATCATGCCGAAATTCGTCAGCCCCTCGGCGGGATGCCCCAGTATCACACATTCGGAGTCCAACTGTTGGAGGAGACGCGACGCCAATATGCCACTCGCCAGGTGGCTTGAGATACAACARATGGTGAGTTCTACCACTGATATGCTGAGGGGCACAAAGTCTGTACCGGGTACCTTACGATGCGATGTCGGCGCGGCCTTGGCTCCGCGACAACCTTGCTCAAAACGCTACCACGAACTAACGAAGGACGCCTGGACAGAAAGCGCCTTTCGCGCCAGCTGCCATCGCTTTCTCCCGACCTCCAATGCATCCTATCAGCCCAAGAGACGCCATGATTCTGTTGCAGCTTGCCGATCTGCCCATATCTCTGCAGATATCGCCAAGATAGATAAGGACCTTCGAAGGATGGTCTTGGAGGTGCCATGGAATGTGGAGAGCCAACCAGAGGTCTAATTTTACATAATAATGGGACCGTACTGCTCCTTCGGGCCTGGGAGTTCGCGTCGCCCCAGAGTTCCTTTGCTCGCATGTGCATGTGCCAGGAAAAGAATAAGGCCTTCAGTAGCCGAATTCTGGGGACTGTCCTGGAGAACTTTTAGCAACCATACCTATCAAAGGCATCTCACAGCCGTCCTGCTACGGTACTTCCGGGAAGCACTCTACACTCCCACCATCATGGACCACTCCACAGTGGAGAAGAACCAATATGGGTCCCACGATGTTGAAGTCACAAAGACGCACTCCATGACCGGATGGCACGAAATCGATCTATCTGGCGGCAATCAATTAGAGCGAGGTCTAAAGAGTCGGCACATCCAGTAAGTACCAATTCCCTGGAGCTGCCATCATGAAGCCGATTTTTGTGGAGCGAAAGTCTTGAAAATGTCAGATAGTGCTCCTCACAAGCGCTTCCTGGCTTTAGAGCGGCTAGCGCCGCTGTCAACAGCAGAGACGGCCATGACAAGACGGAGAGATATCGACTGCCTCAACGATCACTAAGATTGGCTGGCAAGATACTGACGAAACTACAGATTCTTAGCGCTGGGTGGCGCGATTGGAACTGGTCTCTTCATCGGCTCCGGCGCCATCTTGAATACTGTTGGCCCTGCGCCTCTCCTCATGGCGTATCTTTGCATGATGCTTCTTGTCTGGAACGTGATGAATTGTCTCGCTGAAATGGTTACTTACCTGCGTAAGAGAAAAGTCAAGTGTGATGGTGATGCCTGGCTGACCGGAAGTAGCACTCAAGGGAATCTCCATCCCCTACTTTGTCAACCGCTTCGTAGACGACAGCCTTGCTTTCGCAGCCGGGTACAACTACTGGTATGCATACGCAATCTTGGTTGCTGCAGAGGCTAGCGCTGGGGCTATCATTCTCTCTTACTGGGCTCCCAAAGTTTCCGCTGGCGTGTGGATCGCTATCTTCCTGGTTTTGGTCCTAGCACTGAACATTATCGCTGTCTCGTTCTTTGGAGAAGCCGAGTTCTGGTTCGCGAGTATAAAGCTCATCACGATCATCGGATTGATCATCTTGGGCATTGTGCTCATGCTAGGCGGAGGACCTAACCGTGACCGGCTGGGTTTCCGGTACTACAAGTATCAGAACGGCTATGGTATGTCCAGCTCGTAGCTCCAGTCGTGACAACCACTAATATCTCGCAGGTGCTTTCAATGAATATCTGGTGCCGGGTAATACCGGCAAGTTCCTTGCATTCTGGACTGCCTTCTCTCGCGCAGGATTTGCATTCATCACGTCTCCGGAGCTCATTGCCATTTCAGCAGGAGAAACTATTGCTCCTCGCCGCAACATCCCCAAGGCTGCTCGAAGATTCATCTACCGTTTGGCGGTCTTCTATGGGCTAGGATCTTTCGTCATCGGTGTCATCGTTCCTAGCAACGACGGAGCTCTTCTAGGTGCGGGCAACGCTTCTGCGTCTCCATTTGTCTTGGGCATCAAGAATGCCGGAATCGAAGGACTTGATCACGTCATCAACGCTGCGGTACTAACCTCTGCTTGGTCTGCTGGTAATGCGTTCCTGTACTCTGGTTCTCGTGTACTATTTTCAATGGCACTCTCCGGACAGGCACCTGGCTTCCTCAAAAGGACCACCAAACGCGGAATCCCATTCGCAGCGGTGCTGACCACTTGGGCCGTTGGACTGCTTGCCTTCTTGACGCTTAGTGAGACTGGTTCGACGGTCTTCCAATGGTTCAGCAACATCTCGACAATCTCTGGCTTCATTGCATGGATCATCGTGATGTTCACATATCTTCAATTCCGAAAGGCCATGGAGTACAACCAGATGCTGCATGTGCTCCCATACAAGACTAAATTGCAACCATACGCAACGTGGGCCACCCTTTTCATCCTGATCATCCTTACCTTGACAAATGGCTTCCAAGGTATGTTTGATCCATCACAGCGTCTCTTTGCATCGGAAGTTTTTCGGGCACACAGGGTGCTCTCGAGCATCTTAGCCCTGGTACTTTAGCAGCGAATCGATTCCCATAACACTAGAACACGGCGAAAGGGGATGTTCGGCCGCTTCCGATGCAAAGACATGCTGTGGATTCTCGCTTCTCTTCCTGTTGCTAACATCTTCGCAGTCTTCTTCCCTGAAAACTGGCAAGTATCCTCCTTCATTGCTGCATATGTTACTATTCCGATCTTCCTTGTGCTCTACCTTGGCCACAAGCTTTACTCTGGCAAGAAACAAGGCTTTCGCAACATCTCCTGGGCGCGAAAGGTTCATGAGATTGATGTCTTGTACGGGAAGAGGGAGATGGATGAGCTAGAAGCGATGGATGTACCTCCAGTGCCGAAGAATCTCTTGCAGAAGATGTGGTTCTGGGTTGCATAGTTTAAGCGGAGCATAGATGAGATGCAAAGCCTTTTTCCGTAGCTTGGCCTTGAGCCTTGCCTGATCCAAGCACCGTGAGGTAAGTTACCCTGGTCGAATTGCCTCGCCCTGAGCCTCGCCTGATCCAAAACTATGAGGCGAAGTTGCCCTGATCGAATTACCTACACAGATACGCATGAAGTCGTACCTACCTCTAGTACGACCAGTCACTTATCTTCACTTGCATACCGGAGATCCCTAACTTTAGCATCACTCGTTCCACTTTACATCAACCACACCCCATCAACATCAACATCAATGACACTACCTCTCACCAATAGCATGAGCATACCAAAGCGACCAGCACCCTCAGAGTTCGACGGAAGTCCCGCGCCGCTGAAGAAAAGGGCCAACTGGACAGACATTCTCACAATCATCGTGGGAAGACGCTACGAACAAGAGACGTTCAAAGTGCACGAAGACCACATTTGCAGTCGATCCAAGTTCTTTCACWCAAAATGCAGCCAACTCGCGGGTTCTAGCGAGAAGATCATTACCCTTCGCGATGGCGATGTCGTTTGCTTCCAGCAGTACGTGGAATGTCTGTATAACGACGCCGTTGATTTCGAAGCGCTTGTTGGCTGCGAGATGGTCACGATCAATAATGTGCGGAAGGCGAAGACACCTGATCAAGGTACGTACAGCGAAGTGCAAAGAACTCTCCATGCAAAGAGCGGAAGACGTCGCCAGTGAGGAGGCCTTTGCGTATTTGAGAACTGCTGAGGCTTTGGTGGCGCTCCTCGACTCTTTGTCTGCCCGCATATAATATCTGACTCAACGCTAACAAGTTCATCCTTCGCACGTTTAGGCAAGGCCGCAGTCCTCAGCATGTGCAAGTTATGGGACGAGGCCTACCACCTCCGAGACGTAAAGCTCAAGAACGATGTAATGGATGGTTTGATCCGGATGGTCTCGGAACAGGGCTTCGCTATTGGACTTGAAACGGTCAAGTTTGTGGGCAAGTACGTTAAGCCTGGTTCAGCACTTCGACGCTGGCTGGTGGATGCCCTGGCTCCTACGCTCTATCCCAAGCCTTTGAAGGATTTTGGGACTGAATACCCTCAGACCATAGTGATGGATCTTTTGATCAAGTGCTCCGAGATCATTGGGACTCTGGGAGGGCGCAAGAAGGGTACTCCCCAGCTCTCGGATTGTATCGCCTATCACGAAAACGACGATGTCGAGATTGTGAGGGAGGCAAAGGTTGTGGTGGATTAAGCTTTGGGATCAGTGAGTTCATGATTGAGTCGGAAGGGATGGGATTTGTGGACATCTGCGGTGCGATGCTACGCGAAAAGCTTGGAGCTATGCTGGGTGAGTATGTCAAAGATGACGACCAAATGAGCCCAATGATGGGAATTATCTATAACGATGGTAGTGTATTGACATTGGCGGTACCATATGACCGCGATGGTGTGACCTGCCTGCTTCAAGCTTCTCGGTCAATCAAGCAAGCAGATTTCCCTGCGATCTGAAAGGATTCCATGACAAACAAATATCTCTACGCTGGCTAGCTCTACCCCAGGCCTTGGTATGTCTCCTCCCCTTCCATCCTCGGTAACCTGCAAGCCAGCCGCTCTACCGGCAGTCGGCACCACACATTTCTGTTCCGCCACGCCTCGCTGTGTGTTCCGCACTCGTGATGCGTCGTGAAGTATTACTAAAGTCACGTAGGGCGTAAYAGAATTTTTGCCATGTGCTTTTGACGACCTGACGTTTATACGAACCTTTTCTGGCCATGCGAAAAGCTACCTTCAAGCACTKCACCAAGCCCAAACTGTTTTTAAGGTCCCCAATAGCATGGTGCATGTGTTGATGGCAAGAGAATAACATTACATCCGCCTTAGCCATGGTGTTCCCCGACTCTTCAAGCGTGATTGAGGAGAAGCACGAAAATTTAACCGACCTCTCCGAGAAGAACATGCATTGTGAGGCCTTGGAAGCCGCTACTACATCCGACAAGACATCAACAGCAACAGAGGATGAAGGTGCTGCTCCAGAACAAGTCGCCAAAGATGGAGGCTCAAGAGCGTGGCTCCAAGTGGCTGGCTCATTCCTCGTCTTCGCAAAGTGAGCAGTGATCTTCACGCCCACTTTCTCTCCCTCTCTCTCTAACCATCTCTCAGTCTCTGGGGAATGAGCTTCGCGTTCGGCAGCTTCCAATCATACTATGAACTGGACTACATTCCCGAGCAGTCAGCGTCTTCCATCTCGTGGATTGGCACAGTCTCAATCTTCCTCCTGGTCTCCATCGGCGTTATATCGGGTCCGCTCTTCGATCTGGGATACTTCCGTTCCATGCTAGTGACCGGCGCTTTGATCGAGACGCTCGCCGTATTCCTCACCAGCGTTAGCAAGACCTACTGGCAGTTGATGCTTACCCAAGGCGTGCTGATGGGAATGGGCAATGGCCTGCTCTACTTGCCGGGCTTGGCACTCGTGAGCAGGGCTTTCAAGCGCCATCGCGCTATAGCGATGGGAATCACGACTTGCGGAGCACCCGTCGGAGGGATCATATATACGCTTGTCTTCGAACAGCTCATCTCGAAGCTCTCGTTCGGCTGGACGGTACGTGTGATGGCGTTCATCATGCTCGGCACCTATTGCATCTCTTTCCCGCTTCTGCTCTGGGGTGTCAGTAATCTAGGAGACCTCGCATCTGGTGCACCGCGGAAGCTGTTCGACAGAAGCGCATTGGCAGACGTACCCTTTTGGACTTACAGCACTAGCAATTTCCTGATCTTCTGCGGATACATGGTCCCTTTCATCTTCATTCCATCATATGGTCAGTTGGTCTTGGGGGTCTCGAGAAGCTTCTCCCTCTACATCTCGATGATTGCACAAGCGGCAAGCATTGTCGGACGTCTGGTGGCTGGTTGGTCTGCAAGTCGCATTGGCGTAATGATACCCTGGCTTGTATGTGTCGTAAGCAGCGCGACGGTATGCATTGCATGGATGGGTGCGCACAGCACTGGAGCTTTCGTTGCCATTGCTGCGATGTATGGATGCTTCAGCGGCGCTCTCATTCCGCTGCCTCCAAGCGTCTTCCCTGTTGTCTGTCCAGATCCAAAAGTGTTCGGGGCGAGACTGGGAATGGCACAGGCTTTTGCGTCGTTTGCCAGTCTGATAGGACCGCCAATCGCGGCTGCGCTGGCTTCGGTGTCCAGCGAAAATGGCGAAACAAACTACCTGGGTCTGCAGCTGTTCGCCGGATTAGTGATGATGGCAGGCGGAGTCAATTTGGTCGCATTGTGGATTGTACTGATGAGCAGAAGGAAAGGTGGCTCAAAGTTGATATAGAAGGAAAAGCAAGGATTCATTTACCATTGCATATGAATACGACCTGCCATGCAGGTGCTGCCATATGCCAATAATGTGGAATGAGGTCTCCAGTTGTGTAGTGACTTGCGTGCCTTTCAGCATGCCGTTTCCGCGTCGTCCATGGACATACTACGGATCACTGCACACCAATGCTTCGCGTTCAACAAACCCAGGTGAACATTGTCGCCCGCCTCCTTTCCCGCTTAGTAGAATAGGTGGGTATATGGTACATGTTCTGTAGCTCTCGGTCGATGTTACACTCGTACTGCTCCTTCCCTTTTTTCTGAACGCCTCGCTATGCTCCTGAAGGTTCGAAATCGCACTGCCTTTCCAGAAGTCTTGGGTTCTTATGCGCCGCCGACCAAGATGTTGTTTACGGGAATGTGGACTGCGCGATCACGGTMAGCTTCGTAGATATGCCTCCTTCTCCCTTGGGTAGAACGCACTCAGCTTGACAATGTATCCAATAACGCCCATGATCAAGAAACCCATGCCGACGGCTTGCGAGATACGGAGGAATTCGCGACGATCCGCTGTTGACCAGCATTGTCAGCCCTGGTGCACGTAATCGTGGCCATGTGTGCGCCAGCTCTTCGTGAATTCGGGAGGACCTACGCTTGCTGCACCGGGCCAAGAAACCCTGGCCATCCTTGAGGAACTCCCTGGGGACTTCGAGAAGTTGCTGTGCCTGGTCCATCTTGGAGGAAATCTGGAGATCGATTCGTGTTTGTTGTGCGGTTGTTGAGGTTGTTGGTGAAGAGGTCGTGGGATGATCGGAAGCGCGCTGAATGTCAGTGTCAATCGCGAAAGGGAAGACAGCTGGCGCCGCTCGGAGATGCGACAGGGATCTGGAACCTTATCTCCACAAGCCACGTGATACTGCCAAAAGTCGTGACCAATCGTCTTCACTTCACCTCACCTTGTCTTCCTGATTCGGACGTTGTTCTGCATCACACTCGCTAGAGCCCCTTTGTAGACATCGGAGTGCTCATTGCCTCCCTGCATGCCAGAACTGAAACTCTCACCACTTCTCCGCTCTGCTGGGAAGTCTCACCTGCACATCCGCTGTCTCGCCAGCATGGCAACATCAAATGGTACATCTCCGCCKCGGACGCTCAAGCTGCTCATGCTTCACGGATACACTCAATCAGGCCATCTCTTTGAGATCAAGACAAAAGCTTTGAAAAAGAGTCTGGAAAAAGCCTTTCCTGCCGCACCCAAACCAGGTTTCCTACCAGAGTACCCTGGCGGCATTGAACTTCACTATCCTACAGGGCCTCTCAAGCTCAGCTACGCTGACATCCCTGGCAACCCGTCTGAACTTGATGCCGACGGTCCCGGAAACGATGATCCAGAGGCTTATGGCTGGTGGCGACGAAAAGACATGCCAAAGGGACAAGATCAACTCGTTTACGAAGGGCTAGAGACGGGACTACAGACCATCGCGGATGCCATCAAAGTATCGGGTCCCTTCGATGGTGTGCTGGGGTTCTCACAAGGTGCTGCTGCGACTGCACTCGTTGCATCTCTGCTTGAGGATGGACGGAGGGAAGCTTTCAAGGCTGCGGAGCAGAAAGGTGGAATGCCATTCCCTACCTCATTTCTGGCAGAGAATGGCGAAGAGCTTTTACAACCAGCGATGAAGTTTGCAGTCTCGTATTCGGGATTTGCCGCTCTGCCTTCAGATCTTTACCAGCCATTCTATGAGCCAAAGATCGCCACACCAATGTGCCATTTCATCGGCAGTGTAGACACGGTGATCTCGGAAGAGAGATGTCTTCGCTTGGCTGATACATGTGTCGGCGGTAGAGATGGCGTGGTAGGGAAGCTGCCGAGAGTCGTGTATCATCCAGGTGGCYATTTCTTGCCCAGCAGCCAGAAGCCTTATGTTGCGGCTTTGGTTGCATTCATCCGGGAAACCGTGGAAGGTGGTGGTCTTAAGAAGAAAGAAGAGGAGAAAGCAGAAGATATGGATATGCCGTTCTAGGGGCACCATGTGGGAATCCTCGATGAACATAGACGACAAAGTGACGAGCGAAGAAGACAACGATGTCACAATCGAGATGCAGGTGAGATAAGGTGGGTGTATAATTGTCGTTTTCTCAACATCATTTCTCAGGCGTATCTATCTCGCTTCCACAGGGCGAAACCCGTAACGACAAGCATCACGATCTGTCAGCGGCGAGACCGAGACAGTCAACCTCGATTCGCARCACAAGGGCTCAACTGGTGCGTCCATCCGTACTGACTGCCACACTGTGCCACGCGACGGCTTCAAGGCGATTATACAAGCGGTTCAATCTGCAACGCTGGAATCTTCTCTACGTTCGAGTGCACTGTAAAGCTCTGCACAATCTTAGACCCAAGTCTCTCCTTGTGGCATGAATGCCGCTCCGAGTCCATTCAGCGGGCCAAAAAGTGCAAGAAAGTCATCCCGGTCGCTTTCCGTAACCTCTTGACCCAGGGGTTTACTACTTCCGTCGGTACTTTGCCCTGGTCTTGAAAACAGCATGAATTATAGCGTCAGTGTCTTCAGTACCAATTCTGTGATGAATCACTTGCCCACGACCCTGCAGCCCCGTCTGTCCCGTAGCGAGTTCTTGCCACTGCAACAAAGTGATATCGGACCAGTGCTGCAAGACAAGATCGCGAGACAAGAGATGGTCATCCGCAAGCTTCTTGTTGTTCTCCTGCATATGTGAGTCCGGACTGTTGATATCAATTGCGATGATCGTTCCACTAGCGACACTGTAAAGTTGTTCCTGAGACACCATCGTTACGTCAAGTCGAGCATCATACGAGCCAGTAGCAAGGCTGTGATGCTAGGAAATTGGAATGTTGACGACAGCTCTATTTAAGACGTTGCATTTTGCCATGACTTTGTGCAACTCGATTGAGACTCCTTAGCGTTCCAACGGGTATGTTTGGAAATAAGCTCTTCCGGCATCGAAATTGTGTGCAGGGTCGCCAAGTAGTCCTTGTTAACAGCGTCTTTCGTTGATCGAGAAGAGATCCAGCACGGAGATAACGTTCTAGAGACAGTAAAAGGAAAGGTTGCCGCCGTATGCTGCAGTCAAGATGATGTTCTTTCTACAACACCAACGTCACAGTCGAGGAGACAACATTCGACAAGACAGTTTGCTCTCCGTAACACTGCTTGTTTGAGTCGGTGTATTCCACGGTCCGTGAGCGTGGTAGTCGCTTGATCGCGAGAAGAGTCGGCAAGCTCCAATAATCTCTGCCCTTGGTTGACCAAAGGCTTTCCTATCGGCAACTCAGCTACAGACAATTGATATGAGGCAACCCTCACAGTCTCACAAATGCCGAACAAGATTTCTCGTACACACAAAAGTTGTGATCATGCTCCCTCCTCCACGATCGTCGCCTTGTATATGTTGTCCCTCCCTGTGAACAGCCAAGCGCCCTTTCCTTTCGCGGCTTGCACGTTGTATATAACATCATCTGGTGTGTTGATCCTCCCAAGCAGCAGGCCAGTGACGGGATCGACGACATCCACCCCACCGTAAACTCCCGAGAACAACAGACCACTCTTGGTCGTACGCATACCATCTGGAGCTCCTCCCTCAAGAAGATGCACCAATCTCGGGTTCTGTAGGGGACCGCCTTTTTCAGGGTTATCGAATGCCCAGATACCGCGCTGACTATCAAGAGCATTGCCGCTTGAGTTGGTGTCAGAAACGTAGAGTGTTCTCTCATCGGGAGACAGGGTAAGTCCGTTAGGCTTAGTTACGACGCCGACAGTGAGTGCAATAAGAGACTTTGTCTTGGCGTCCATACGGTAGACTGCCATGGGAAGCTCGGCTGGCTGGACGTCTTTCCAGCCATTGTCGATACCATAGGTTGGATCAGTAAAGTACAGGTTGCCTTGGCTGTCGAAGATAAGATCGTTGGGGCTGTTGAGGTGGCGCCCACGGTAGTTGTTAACGATAGGCTCGACAGTTGATGTCGTGAGGTTCAAGGCATATATTCCACGAACGGGACCGCCATTTGTCGTTATATAGACTCGGCCATCGCTGTGAAGGGTACCTCCATTGACATTCGAAAGAGCAGGGGTGAAGTCGACCTGACGGACTTCGAACGTGTCGATATTGAGGGCGTATAGATATCCATCTGTGACTGTAGTGTCACTATACAGCAGCTCATTTGTATCGGCCAACCAGACAGGCGCTTCATGGACGTGGTTCAACTCTTTCGGGAATGACTGGATCTTTTCAAGCTTGGCTGATGCGCCAATAACATCAAAGAAGGAGTCGTCGAAGGCGATGAAGTCCGCACCTTTGGCCTCTTCCAGAAAACTGGCAACGCAAGGCTCCTCTGGTACAATGTCGTAGAAAGCTGAGGCTACAACAAGTCAACACTCGTACACACATGATGCCGGCCTACGGGACTCACCAACTGGACCACTCTCCCAGTTTCCAGGTATCACAGGCAGATTGCTGCCCAAGAAGACGGCACTGACATTAGTGTAAGCGGCAGGAAGGGCACTGAAAACAGCGCTTTGGCCTYGCAGACAGATGCTAGTGACGTTCATGATTGAAGAAAAAGTATCGGATTTTGCGCGAAGGTGACCCGATGGGCAGCTACAGCGTCGTTATAGTCCATTTCATATACCGACTAGTTGCACCGACGCCTCTGCCTCGCTTAAGGTACCAAGAGACTAAGAAGTGCACTTGAAATGTAGCGTGTACGGAGTACAATAGCGGGGTTGTTAGTCTAGGTGGATCAAGAGTGACGTCGAAATTTCCGCCGGCTAAATTACTAGTGATACAGTGCCTTAGACAAGGGTGCGATACCGCTCTTGTCATTCACCTACGTTTACATGCGACTTATCACGGTTTGATAATCGCGCGTAGGAACGGAGGTTGCGAATGAGGTGCCGCCTGTCGTTTCGGAAACATGCCACCATCTCTCTCTTCGAGGTCTAATTGAACTGCTTTGCAATCTATCTGAAGCCTGTATCATCTATGGTCGACGACGATCGATCTWCATGCTATGTCAGATTTTGGTGGCGTCTCGAGACGGGACACCTAAGCAATAATCAATCCTCCATTTGTCCACTGGAAGCGCGTTTCCAGCGTAGTCAATTGCTCCTATTCCCTCTGAGGATCTCGAAAGCTTCGCACACCTTCTTGGTGCCAGCATGCTCTCGGCCTCTACGACCAGAGGCTGCTTTTTAAGGGTAACTGGGCTCAGCCCACGTGACCTCGCAGTGGCCAAGCGCACTGTCCACACCAAGAGCTGCGAACACAGACTGGCTCACATCGATGGCTTCTGGGCTTCCGGACGCCTTGCGGTCGACGATTGTTGCCATGACCTGAGCGCCAGTCGTCGGGTGGGTGATTTGTAGTGTCTTCCCGCAAAGACTGTTACGGTTGGGATTGGCAATGCCGCCGGTCAGTGGAGAATGTGGGTCGAAGGTTTCAGCGCTAATGGCAACGTCCATCCCAGTGACTGGAATGTTGCAAGCATCTAAGGCTAAGAGTCAGTCTTCTGGCTTCCAAAGTAGAACCCGTTGGGTGAGTGTGGTTGTGTTTGTACAACACCCTGCCTCCGGCTGGTTGCGGAGACTCTAATGGCTCTCCGAGGGCACCTGCCGCGGGCCATCTTCAATCAAGGATTTTGACAGGGATGAGGTCTCCAACCCATTATTGGGAGTGTAATTTTACGATGAGTTGACATACTGGAGCTGAAATCGAGGTTGTAGGTCATTACACCTGTGTGAACTGCTCCGCTTCTCGATACAAGTGCAGGCAATGGGGCTGCGGCGACAGCGCCGGCCATGGCAAGATATGAGAGGCAGTGCATCGGAGCGTTTGTTGTCGTGTTGTCGTGTTGTCGTGTTGTCGTGCTTTCGTTAATTGTTGTTGTAAAGTGGCTGGCTTTCACCAACGCGACAGCGAAAAGATATTTAAGCGTCCTGCCAGGAGGTCGATGGTCCGTTGGGAGGAACACTCCAATAGCTGAACCAATCCACATCGAACTACCAGACGAAGTTTTGACACGCATTTCTGGTGACTCGTGGAAAGAAGTGGAGCAATAGCAACCATTTCAGCGCGCCAGGTCATCGACCACTGTTCTGAACGTGGTAGAATATTGCGGTGTGGTAGCCTTCGTCGAATATGTTGAGTGGCTTGGCATGAACCACTGGCTCTTGCAACATGACGCTCCAGGCCCTCAAAATTTGTGAATATGTATGTGGTTCCGCAAGCTTCCATTGGGGTCATCGATGGACGAATGTAGTGCAATCACCCGCACGATCAATGCGTACGACTTTGCTATTGATCTGGTCTTGGTTCTCGCGAAAACGTTCCGCCGCAATGTCCATAAATCCAGAATGTGATCAGACCACGTTGGTGTTGATTCGTATGATATTCTCTATTGGGAGTAAAGTTCTTGTTGGATGCGATAGACTTCTCACTCAACAGCGAAGCGAAGCAACAGGGGAGTTGGTGCGAGTTGAATCACCAAAGGGGCAGTCCGGCGTGGTAGGATATTGTAGGTAGCAGGCCTTGCTACGTTTGAGGATTGGTTCAGCCTGCCGGGTAWCGCCCAGCCCAAATACTCTGTGCTTCGAAGCTCGAGACACAGTGTGATGAGGGAGCGTTGGTCTGTATCAAGCAGGTTTGTCCGTGTTGAAGGTGTGCCGCGAGTCCAAATCACCCCTAATAGGTACAGAAAGAGCGAACAATCGAAGGAAGCCTCCGATCCCGAGTAGTCAGTCAACACTTCCAGCGCAGCGCATGGCCGTGCCATTGACAGGCATACAATCCGGAATGGGTCAGTGCTCCGGGCTCACGTGCATTGCCACGTTGGATTCCTCGTACCGAGACCGTGGTGCTTGCTGGACTAGAAGTGTCTCCTTCTGGCAAGGCGCCAACGACGCCTGAAGACAAGTCGAGCGATGTCGTACAAATATTTCTCGCCTATTGGAGTGCCATAAGGTTCAGTCAAGAGGCGAGTGACTGAAATGACCCAAAGGCCAGCTTAATCTGGAGTTCTCTGGGCGGCGCATCTCATTCCGATGCGTCGAGACGCGGTAATGTGGGAGTCAATTCGCGAATTCGGGTGGGAGAACCCATACGGAGGAAAATTTTGCGATATGTGTACTTTCTCCATCATCAGGTCCTCGCTGTCTGTGATGAAACTCTCTGGTAGTCGACGTCGCTTGGTGTTGAAAGTCGAAGCAAGGAAGGGGGAAGCGAAGTTTTAACCGAATCGCTGACAAAGATGACGCGCATTTGTGCAACCGGAAGGATCACAACTCTGGACGGCAGTACGATAACCTCGTGTCAACAACACCAGAATGCCCAGATTTCCACTTGTTGACGGCCTTCCTGGACTCATCCGCGTACTAGAGTGGAGAAGGTAACTAGCACGAGTCGATGTGCCTTCACCTGCAGAGCATTTGGAGTCCGGAATAGTCGCAGCATCCACTAGGCGGCAAATTGTCCAGCCCGGGGACGCTTGATTGAGCACATGAAAGCTGCGATCACAAATTGTCTGCATTCGAGTCAACTCGAAGCATCGCTGAGAAGTTTCCAACCTCCGAGTTGAAGCTTTGCGATGGAAACGGCGCCACGAGGCACGCCGTTGGGCCTGTCCAAGCTGCTTCGCAAAGACAAAGACAAGGATTCTCCTGGCGTTTCAACCACTTCGCTGGCCAGCAGTTCCGACAATGGCGCTGGGATAACCCAAGGAGCCACGGTGGAGAGCAGTGGGCTTCGTGCATCGATGGAATCCGCCATGGGCAAGGTCAAAGAACGCACGCGTCGGCACTCTGTCAGCGACCGGGGACGCCGTGGTAGTGACGAGTCGCGACGTTTGTCCACGCTGGTATCCAAAACGAAGCACCGGGTGAAGAAGGGTTTGAAGGTTGCCGATGTTGATTCGGAGCGCAGTTTCAGCATGGACTCCAGACTGGATGYCAGTGGGATCRGGGGGAATCAGTCAGACTATGAAAGCGGACGCAGCAGTCTATTGACTGATGATGAACGATCAGATCCAGATGGGTGAGTGCTTCCTTCACCATCGTTCCCTTCGCAAACAACGCCCTTCGCAAATGGTAGGTTTCGGCACGGACCGAGAACGACGCAGGGATCGCCAGCAACGCAACACGCATGTGCCATGCCACGCCGTCCACGTTCCACCCTCTGGCATATCTGCATTCGCATACTCGGTGCTAGATCAGCGGTCCACTCTTTGTCCACTGGCAGGTCCAGCAAGACGATATTGCCCAGATCCTTGCTCTGCCGCCGCCGCCTTGACAGGCACGCTCTTCTTTGTTGACATCCTCGCAGCGATATCACAGGCAACAGGCCATCCATACTTCCCCGCCAGTCTCATCAAGGGTACTTGACTTTGTCGTCTCCAGAGATCAACGCCCAGACAAGTCACGTCCTGCCCGGCCAGGACGTGCACACCTTGACCAACACGTTACCCACCGCCGGCTTGCCCACCATTGAACACTCATTTCCCCGCATCGTGGAGCCCAACAACACCTCTTCCACCTCATTACCCGATCGCAGCTCGTCACCCAGTGGCAAGCTCCGCAGTGCCTGGACGCTCCCGCGTAAAAAATCCGGTGGGGAGATCGAGCCGGCCAAGGCGTTAGGGGGAGGCGGAGGCGGAGGCGGAGGCGGAGGCTTGGGAGGCATCTTCAAGTCATCCGGCAGAAGAAATAGCGTAAATACACAGGCTTCGAGCGATCACGACGTTCCCCTGTCGCTTCCTTCAAAAGACGACGTCAAAAGTAGCAGCAAGGCAGGAAAGAAGCAAGTGCCAGCAACTCCGAAGCAAACGCCCATTCAAACCGACATTCCTTCCACGCCGCAGAACCTCCACGAGCCACCTACCACCCTCGTAACCCCACCAACACCCATCATCGATACACATGCCGATTTTCCGACAGTCGCAAAGACATTCACTTCACCAGCGGCACGAAGCTTAAACTCGGTCGACAGCATACGGCACCGACGAGCGCAATCCGCCACATTTCCAGGCAAACTATCGTCTTCCAGCAACGCGCCTCTACCGCCCACGCTAGAAGAAACCAAAACTCCAGGCGGAACGCTATCTTCTCCCGCCCCGACAACAGGCTTTTTTTCCTCGGTGTTCTCCGTGGCACAAAAGGCAGGTGCCCAGTTTACCAGCACTATCGGACCGGCGCAAAAGAGCAAACCGACTGGCACGATATCAGCAGACACATCGGCTACGGAGGAAGTGATCCCTGGGCCAGATAGCAGGCCGGCAACGGCACCTGTCGGGCGAGAGAAGACAGTTCTTGCGGTAGAGACACTCGGCAAGGGCAGTCTTAGCCTCAGCCATCTCGGCATTGWCGAGGGGGAGAGCGAGGCGACTATGCCGTCCGCCGCAGAGTTGCAAGAGCACGATGCCCAGTCTCAGAACGGACAAGGCACGAAGAAGGCAGAGGAAGAGGCCGCTGCCCGTGCTGTCTCATCCGCATATGAAAAGCCGGCTCCTTCGGTGGTTGGCGRGACTGTCGGCCGTCCCGGGTCGGTGGCATCTGTTGACCGGCTGACATCAGTAGGCGAGCAGACTCCACCGAGAACCGTAATCAACGGCAGTTCCGGTGGAGTCAAACGATCGGGTAGCGTCCGGAGTAAAATGAGTGGACGACGGAAGCACAGGTCCAGCTCGGCCACGCAGGCAACGTCCAATTCTATCGCTGCCGCTATCATCAACAGCAGCTCTGGGCTAGCCAATCCGGCCATGAATGGTCTTGGACACAGACTTACTGGATTTGCTGTCGCTAGCAACAAGCGCAACAAAGACTTTCATCAATTGTTCCGGAGTGTGCCGGAGGATGACTATCTGATCGAGGACTACAGCGCCGCGCTGCAACGTGATATTCTCCTACACGGCCGTCTATACGTATCCGAGGGCCACATCTGCTTTTCCAGCAACATCCTCGGATGGGTAACGAACTTGGTCATCAGTTTCGACGAAGTGGTGTCTGTGGAGAAGAAGAGCACTGCTATGATCTTCCCAAACGCCATTGTGATTTCTACACTCAACGCTCGGAATACCTTCGCCAGTTTCGTCGCCCGAGACTCGACATATGAACTTCTAATAGGGATCTGGAAGATCAGTCACCCCAATCTGAAGAGCTCCCTGAATGGCGTGCAGTTGGACGAAGGCGGTACAGGAGACCGGACCGAGGTGGCAGAAGCCGAGCTCTCCGATGGTGATATGGACGATGTCACCGATGATGAGGTGTACGACGAAGACGATGATGACGATGCGGGAAGCTTTTCGGACGCTGGAATGCTGGCGAGTCATGTTGAGAGCGAGCTCGGCGACCATACAATCAGCCGAAAGCCGTCCGCCAACGCATTGGGGCCATCTTCGCCTCCGGCCGGCGCAGCTCCGCGTGGGTTGGAGGCGACGGACGCTGTTGTTACCGGTGCGGCTGTCAGCAGTGACTTCCCTGGAGCGCCCACGCATGAGCCTACGCAGTGCACAGAGCCGGGAGAGCATTACGACCGGCCTTTGACCGATACCATCATTCCAGCACCGCTGGGCAAGGTCTACTCGATGATGTTCGGCCCGGCATCTGGCGCTTTCATGCGCAAGTGGCTCGTGGAAGATCAAAAGTCGAGAGAGCTCAACTATGTGGATGACAAGACTGGACTGGACAACGAGCACCCGAGTTTTACATTTGATTACATCAAGCCTCTGAACGCACCTGTTGGGCCGCGACAGACGAAGTGTATAACGACGAATACYGTGAAGGCTTTTGATCTAGAAAAGTCGATCTCGATCGACTGCAGTACTCAGACACCAGATGTTCCCAGCGGCAATGTGTTCACGACTAAAACGAGGTACTGTCTAATGTGGGGACCGGGAAATTCTACGCGTATGATTGCGACGTGTACGATTGAGTGGACTGGCAAGAGTTGGCTGAAAGGTGTGTCCATGAAGATTGGTTGACGGGAGAGAAACTCGCTAATTATGTGCAAAGGACCCATTGAGAAAGGTGCAAACGACGGTCAGATCGCCTACGTCAAGGCCATCATCACAGCAATAGAAGCGGCTGTGACCGCCAAACCTCCCGTCAAAGGCATAGCTCGCAAGGGCAAGCGGAGAGACAAGAAAGAAGTCTTTGATGTTGATGGCGCGGCCGCAAAGCGCGACGCAGCAAATGCGGCAGTGCAACAGTCCAGCGGCTGGGGTCCTCTGGAACCGGTTCGACAGATTCTGGATCCTATAATTGGTATCATCGGACCGTTGATTACTTCTCAAGTAATCATTATCACACTCTTCTTGCTCCTGGCCTACAATTGGTTCTTCTCAGCAGGTCGAGGTTCTTCCGCTGTTGGCTCGCACGGGTACAGTCTGGAACGCATGGCGGCCTATGAGGCCATCTGGCAGAGAGAAGAAAACGCGCTCTGGGATTGGCTAGATGATCGCGTGGGGCTCGGGGAAGGAGCTTACCCTGAGCGGCAAAAGGTGTTGAGGATGCAGAGCATGGGGAAGAGGCTCGCTGATGAGAGGATGGAGGGAAGACAGATGAGCGAGGCTATCAGAACCACAGAGGAGAGGCTACAGGCCCTGAAAGACGCTGTGCAGAGTAAAGTGGCGAAGGGAAGAGCGACGGACTGAACAGCGAAGCGGCATTTCTTTGGTTCTTTCATTACATAGCGTTTGAGCGAATTGGTTGTTASGATCTTTATCGAGTTTTGTCACTTCAAAGCAGTGAAAACATCGCGTTTGGACGCCTTCGATGTCACCAGATAGACGCTTTGTAACCCTTCCCCGAGTTGTTCACTCCCTTTCTACGTGCTGATACATCCTTGCGGTTGTTTGTGCGTCTGGGATTTGCATGTGAACAAATAAACTGCGAAACCTATAGAAGATGACGTATCTGGACCGGCGAAAGAGGAATTTGGGGTCGCAAGGCACCAACGACGAACTTCAGACCATCCCTCCGWCTGCCACACACGCAAAGGATCTCCTCAACAGACTATTAAGACACATTCATCGATCGAACTAGCTGAACGGAATTTCCGGAAGGTGCGCAGCCTTCGGGACCAGTCACGACAGATCGAGTAAGCGCCGCGACTTGGTAGCTTTGCGGAAGAGTTGCACACTTTCAACGTCAGCTTGTGACGAAACATTGGAAAGAAGAACAAAATGTCTGGCCCATCGGTTGTTTGTATCAAGCGAAAGCGTGGGGAACACGCGCCTGATGCCTTGCTGCTGGAGCGGCCGGGCAAGAGGCAACAAGGCGGGATTGGCGAGATTCAATACGTACGACAGAAGGACAACAAAGACGATGGTCAAGTGGAAGAGGCGGGATTGAAGAGTGGAACGGCCCAACCAGAGCGCGTGACTAGAGGGAAGGGAGACGGAGAGGGAGGGGGAGAGGGAGGGAACATGTCTGCAAGCCACGGGCCATGTCAATCAGACGTCAAGCAGCGCAGAACGTTCCATCTCAAGCGGCCGGCAATGCTGGAACCCACTGGCTCTGGATCCAAGAGGCAAAAGCGGAAGACCGAAGGCGTTGCTACGTTCGTCGAGAGAAGCATTCGGCAGCCAAGTAGGATGCGGTCCATCCCGGACTTCAGCAAGCAAGAAATGAGTCCGAGCAAACCATATTCCAACCCTGAAGCACCCCTGAAGCGTCCGGGGCGGAAGGCAGCGGTGAATATCAGTGGCAATGTCACGTTCCCCACCAGGGCGCGTAATGCGCAGGTCGATAACGCTGTGGCGAACAGTCTGCATGAGTACGCRCAGCAAGTCGTCGCCAAGGAATCCAACCCAAAAATCACCGCTATTCCCAAATTACCAGCACAGCGGAGCCGGGAACTGCACCGACAGAGTGCGTTACGTAATGTTTTTAAAAATGCCGATGCGGACGGGGATGCGGAGATGGAGGACGAAGCTGACTATGTCTACGACACCTACATCCTCGCACCCAGCTCTAGCGATGGCGCTGTGCAGGCGACTGCGTATGACTCTCTCGGCAACGTGGGCTATCTAGTCATCACCGAGGAGGACCAAGACGTGTGGGAGACGTATCTCGAGGACGAGCCGAGCGATAAGGATTGGAACAGCGACGAGGAAGACGAGAATGCCGAAGACTGGTATGGCGCCGACTACCCTGACGAGGAGTTGGCGTCTGACGATGAATTCGGTCGCAACAATGATCACGGCTTCCGCTCTCGCGGCGCTGCAGATGATGAAGAGTGGGACGAGGATACTGGAAACTTCTCCGACGAGGAGTATGACCGTCAGATGCATCCGTGGAAGAAGATGTCGTCGCAGCTACTCTAGCTGCCGCGGACGATTGCGTTTCTGACTGTTTGACACACTGTTGCAAATGAGGAATAATTGGGTTAGAGTAGCTCGCTCGCTGTCAGCAAAATTGTCTCTGGCGCCAGCTCCGGCCGGATGAAATGCATGGCCCCTTCCAGCAACTCTGAGTGAAACCTTGCGCTTCCCGTGTCCCGCTTCACAGCAGCGGGACGGCGTGGGTCTCCCTCATGTCTCGAAGCTCGTCCCCGTATTCGTGCGCTAGCAAGGCCGTCAGCCTCGTCGCCGTCGTGCTCGTTTCGTCGTCAAGTCTGCCTTTCACGCAGGACTCATCTCGGTCTGCTTCTCTGTGCGGCTCCCTCCCTAGTATAGTGCTGCTGACACTGCTAGTGCCTTTCGTGGCCTCTGAAAGGTGCTCCTCTGTCGGTTTTGGTGTGAATATGGATGGAGGATGCCGTGGTAGGGGAAATACGGTGGAGTGTGGGATCGCCTGGGATGGCGTCAACTGCTCGGTGGGAGGTAACCGATTTGAATGAGAAAGGCCCTGGAGAAATTCCCGGCCCGAAGCTCCACCTCGCGACAGTCAGCAGAGAAGGTGCCCGGTCCGCTCTTCAACACCTCCGCGAGGCCCCAGTCCTTTCTCGCGCGGTAGTAGACCGACGTCAAACCTCCCTTGGAACGCTGGCCAAAGATTTCGGCGAACCGGTCTTCGATCTCGGGCCAGCTCTGATCCCGCATGATGCGCGCGTACATGATGAAGAACTTTTGCTCTTCACTGTACAATGGTCGAGGGGCCCGGGGTCTCCTGCTCATGGGGTCGGTGGGGGACCAGGGAGGACTCGTGCTCGCCGCATCAGCACGGGCGGTGTCTCCGGAGTAAGGGCGTGGTTGCAGAGGAGTGTACTCCGTATACGCGAGCTCACTTCTCGCCTGACTCGACTGGGCAGCTGACATCGGCAGTGGTGAAGAGATGGGTGGATCTTTCGGAGGGATGCTGGTCGCTGCTTCCTGCTGCTGGCTGGGCGCAGCAACTTCAGTGGTCAAAAGCAAGTGGATTGGGATTCTTCCCGACCTGCGGGCCGCCTCATTTCCACTATCCATGGCTCGATATAGGACACGGAGTTCTAACGAGAATGTCGGCGGTTAGCAGCAGTATCGATTAGGAGCCCTGGAGTCTGGTGACAAGGATGAGAGTCTCGTTCAGAGCAGCGGGCCTCTCAGGAAGGCAATCGTTATGCAGTGGAATGCATCTGTCGACATCCTAGTTCCTCATGCTCAGCAGTCTGCAAGAGGGCGCATTGCGTGGGGCGCTACCAACAAAGATCCATCACCAGTCAGGTCGTAGTAGAAGAGAGAATTTCAAGCTTATGCACGTGCGCAAGTAGTCGGCATCGAACAGCGTGAAGGCAAATCGGCTGGGGACGGTATTTTTCACGTTGTGTCGCTGGCCCGACAAATCGACGCGAGATTGGCAGATCAATTGGTGCTGTTATCTCCGAATGTAGTAGAGTTGTGTGCCACGCGGGTCCACTGCCTGGTGACMAAAGGTTGTGTTTGTTGTGTGGCGACAAGTGCATCTGATGCATCGCGTTGAACGATCAGAGATCGTAAAGTCCAGCCCTTGGTGCGTCCGTACAGCTATCGGAGCCCTCGAAGCAGCCGAGCAAGGCCACTCAAAGGACGCGGAGCGGAACAAGCCCTCGAGCCTATGACCGAGGACTCCAACATCACGATGTTCTGCAGGATTCCTTCGACGGTTTCACCGGAACGTGCTCCGAAACAAGAGGTTTGCGTAATCCGCCTCCGTTACGACACGTGCCTGGCCCCACCTTTGGAACGACGGGCAGAAGTCAAGAGTATTGCCTAGGCTGGGCAGCTTCCAAGATGCGCTTCACGGAGTCTGTTCCCTTCTTCGGCTCGTGACTGTGGACCCTGTAATGGTTGGATCGTGGATGCAAGGTGCAGCCTTGCAGGAACCTTGCAGCCGCGTCCCCAGCAGGTGACGGGGCAAGTCATCGGCGTGCGCGGTGGCGGCAATGAGACTCTTGCACGATGAGCTGGGTGACGGCCACCCGTCAGGCGCCGAGTCTGGAGTGAGGCATCGCCGTCATCATGCCGGTGCTAGTTACTCCGTCTTGTCTTGTTCTCATCCACGAAGAGCCACGGCTCCTCCAGGCGGCTCCGAGCGATTGGGACACCAGCCCTTCCCGCACCTTGCTTAGCGCGAAAGGCAGCAGTAAAGCGGCAACATCAGACGGCTTGTTGGTCCGGRTAGCAGTACAGTAGTGCGGTAGGCCTTGCGGCCTGGAGATGCAACTGGACGGAGAGTCGAGACTAGCTGCAGGGAAGGTGATGCCTCGATTATGTTTGCGATCTACCGCCTGGAAGACGATCTTGCGTCCACGTCGAAGCCACACTTAATGTGCATCACTTGATGCTTGATTCTCCTGTCCGCCGATTGGTCGTCTATCTTGGCTCATTGTCATTGAGACGCTCATCCAACGAGTAAGGAGGGAATCGAGATGCCGTTGAGAGAGGATGGAAATTATGTCAACAATGGATCAGACAGCCGTTGAAGCCTTGCTAGTGCGACCCGCCTGTTGTGCCACTGGCGTCGCAGAGGCGCAGGTACCGCAGGTCCGTAGGCGCACAGCAAATAGTAGTGAGAGTAGAAAAAAAAAATTGGGCCCCATATGGTGATGGCGGCCTCGGTCAACACTCCGAGATTTATCGAGCCTTCGGAACCCCACAGCCGGATGCACGTCCGAGCGGGTGGCGGGTTAGCAATGCAGTACAGTCATCTGATCGGCAGTAGTGAGGAGTGTTTTGGATGATGAGGGGACGGGACTGGTGTTTGAGTGCATCTGGTGCTGCTTCAAAAGGCGGCGACCCTTGCTGGGATATGTTGAAGTGGGAACAAGGTCGACTTTACTCCCTTATCAGACGCAGTATCTCATACGCGGCTCTCGGATCCGACGATACAATATCGGACCATGGAAGACTGCATTGGAAGCCTGACTACCAAAGCGTTTTTGTAAACAACCAAACGAGATGGCGGTTCTCGTATGGAATTTGGCCGCTTTTCGACGAATGAAGAATTGAAGCACGCTCTAATTAGACGGCTGATGAGCCTTGCGGCTTTTGAGCGGTGTATGGGACGATACATATTGTCCTCCTGTCCCTTGGGATGAAGAAGATATATTTTGCATTGGGCCATTGATGACTGTACATGTGCCAATATCCACGCTATCTGCAAATGGAAAGCACATTGTATGCGAAGATTTACAATAGCCCAAACACGAATGCACACGTGGTCATGCGTAGCCCTGTATGTAGGCAATAGCAGAAGTCAGAGCGCCGACTGATCGGRCTGATGCGCTCAGTGCTCACTCAAGGTCAGGTGGCTTACACATGTACGCTAGCTGGCCTCCTTTCAACAGCGCGCTGGACCTCCGACKCCGAAAAGTTTTGATGGAAAACTGCCTGACGTGCTTCAACGCTGCATTCGCATCTTCAGACATGCATTACTTCACGATAGCAGGCATTCCTTCGTCTAGGCATTGTAGCATGTCGTCCTTAGTGTACCTTAAGACGAAGACGTGGTGCATGATTTGACACTTTCAAGTTTCAATACCTACTTTCCCAGTGCTCATCGACGATACACCATTCGACACCTCAATATCTTGACATCGCCGATACAGATCATAGAGATCTGGTCCCGATACAGCGGCTCATCTGGAACTTTGCATAATTGTTTTGACTTTAGAACTTCTCCGTGAGAGCTGTTAGGTGAGGAGGGAACGCTGCTGCTGCTGCTGCTCCAGCTGCAAGGTCATGTCTCCGCGGGCGGCATGCCACTTGGCACGAGGGTCACGACGAGTAAGCTTTCCTCGCTGGAGCGTGTAGCCAAATTTGCCAGATTCAGCATGACCATAGTCCGTGTGGAATGCGCGCAATACGGAGCACACGACTTTGTGCACAAGGATGTCGTTGAGGTCGTCTGTCGTCCGGCTTGAGAATCCTAGGAAGCCCCCAGATTTGCCGTGAATGGATCAAATGCCTGAAGCCGGAGACGGCTACGCGGATAACTATCACGTTGGTTAGCAATATAGTTTCGCCATGTCCGAGCTTTGGCAACATCAGTCCTTCTCTGACGCAAATTCCTAGAGCTCTTTGATGGTCTCCTTGATGAAAACATTCGTGGCTCATAGCCGCTTTCGCTACTCGTCACGTGCACACATCTTTCCCAATGCGGATGCAGCGCAGCGCGCTTGTACCTGTGGGTGGTTAAATTGTACGCCGTTAAGACAGAAGTGCTGCGTCAATGCTCTCGCTGGAGTCACCGACTCTGGGAGCGATGTTGTGGGAACTGAGGCCGGCKTCTGTGAGCAATCTGCTGTCAGCAGCGCGTCCGCCGCCTCGGCGATGGGAGGTAATAGGCCTAAAGGAGGTAACATTCAGCGTCCACTCGGAAGGCATGTCGCCGTACAATGCAATCCCACCCGCAAGCAGAGACAAAGGTCTCTTGCCCATGAAATTGTACTAGGATAGCTGACAATAGGCAGTATTAGAAACGAGATCGAAAATCGTGTCGACGAAGGAGTGAGATTAGGGCCGCGCAGAGAATGATCGAGAAGAGCCGGGCAAGGTGACCAGGAGACGCAGTGTCCATCAACGTCATGTCGCACAAAACTCGATGGGCAAAAAGGAGGTGCCCTTCGACTGCGACAGAGTTCCGATGCTGTCAGTTGCGAGCAGTTCGAGGGCGTCTCTCGCGTGTCAGGGACATTGCCCTCGTCGTGCCGATAGTGTGGTTTCGATTATACAACGCCCAGGACTATCCTCGCCACGGCTTAGCAGCTTGGTGTGTAAACATCGTGGAACCCACAGGCTACAGCGATAAAGGTCGGGCGACATTCGTAGGACGACAGCCGAGGGGTGGTGGACGGTCGCRCCTCCAAATCTCTTCTTTCATTACAACTTGCCATCCGACGAGGAAAGATGCGGTCTAGCGAGCGTGGTGGAACTGCACCCATCATTGCGTCGTACAGCACACGCTGATCGAGCAACACTCCCGACGCGTGGGTCCTGCATTCACATTACAAACTACCTGAAAAAGAAGGAAGAAACTACAATCAGTCAGGCGGAGCCATCAGACTGCGGTCACCCAAGGAAGCCGCTAGTCTACGCTAGGCGATGTGCTGCCGTGACCTACCCACGGCTACATCGCACTCTGGGTAAAGGATACCGCTGAGGGATGTGACGCGAAGAACATGGCCTGCGCAGCATGTGGAGTCACGCATGCGACAGACAGCGCTTCCTACAGCTCCAGGTAAGGCGTCTAGCGCCCGGTAAGGGAGCAGGAATAGCGGGCCTAGCTGGCAGCAGGAGCGGGTCTTAGGGACTCCAGCTCCTATCAAGCGCCAATGGCCACCAGCTGTCGTAATGTCGGGCACTATCGCTAGTGCTTCGGCGAAAGACATTGGGTTCCAACCACGAACGGCTTCGGTATACCTCCGCTGTCTTCGCCTAGAGCCAGAGCGTAATGGCGACGCTCTCCACCGCGACCCACCCACCCACCACTTGAGGAGGGTGTTCAGAGCCCATTACAAACTTGGATTTCCGGTCCAGTAAGTTTTCATGACAGACGCGTACGCGTGCGATGKTGGCGATTTCTGCTGCCTCCTATTCCCTTCTCACCTCACGTTGAGCCCCTTTTCCTTACCCCATTGTATGACATCGCACGCATTTCATATCTCCCAGTAAACGCTGAGTATCTTTTTCAAATGTTTCATTATCCTTTTATTCCAAATAGTCACATGCCAAACCATACATTGCTTGGCGCGTACCAAAAAAAAAAACGCTCCTTCACAACCAACCACACTCAAAAGCAAGACCAGCTTGACGCTGCTGCCACTTGTCGCGTGGCAGCATACGACTGGTGCGTAGTGCAAACATCTTCATCATCACCAGCCACCGAGCGACCAGGATTTCTTGCCTGCCGGCATCCTGCATAATGGGGTTTTGGAGTTTCTGGGAACATGTGCATTCGCGACGGCGCGGAGATCCCTACCGGACCCACATTGGCGCATCAGCCCCACCGTCGCGGTGGAGGTAGAGGCAACTCCGTCGGTTTACTGTATCCACAGCTCCGAATAGCCCTAGCCTTCCTCCTCGCTTACCACTTCGCTGCTCTAGCGTCTCGGGAAGTGAGTGACGAGAATTTGACGCAATATATGCGCAATATACCCGGATTTGAAAATATGGCTACAGACTGCACTTTGCGTTGGATGACGAGACTGTAGAAGTATGCTCGGTTCAGATGTGGCGCATCAGATAAGACATGTGGGACGAGTGGGTTGAGAGCGTAGATGAGCGTTTGGGACGTGATGGAAGAAATCTTGATATTGGGTTGCCTACATCGAAGTCCCAGCGGACTGTGCTGCTTCTTTGCTCATCTGTAGTTCGGTGTATATCAAGACGACTGATTTCTCATGAACATGAGTGATGCTGTGGGTCTAGGAGGAACCTGTAAGGCGTCCCTGTATGCGAGCTTCGGCGACCATYTTTGGATCGGAGAGTGATGAGACCACAGGATACCAGTAACTAGATATCTGATGGGTTGGGAGAGTCACCATGTGTTACATTCGCGTTTCTGACCATCAAGCTAACGTCTCTCCCAAAAGCCCACATATAGCGCCCTCGACGCCGGTACTGTTGAAGTACTCGGGGGCGCTGTTGTTGTTGTCGAGAGTATGATCATGTTACTCTACATTCGCCCTTTACTGAGGGCGGCTTTGGCTTCCAGAAGACGGCCGTTTGGTCAGAGTTCCCCAGTGTTTAACAGGCATCGTCTCTTCGCCCCTTTACCCAGCTAGAGGGCTTTGCGAGGACTTCAGAAGGCTCCGCTAGCTACTACGATGTATCCGAGTTGTCATGTCCCCCTCTTCACTTCCGAGCCGCGTCTTAGTCGATGAAGGCGTCCGGTGTGGCACTGTGGCTAATGCGTGTAGTGACCATCGTAGTTCGAGGCTATCTGCCGTACTTGAGCGTCAGCGTAGCAGCGACCGTTAGTGGCAGTCCGTCGTCGGGGACAGTCATCTGTTTGTCCTCGAGGGGGAATATCTTGTAGAGGCCGGAAGGGATAGGAGCCGTGATGAGTGCCGTTGGTAAGAAGTCCCTTCCAACGAAAGCGCACAAAGTAGATGACTAGTGGTTGTGATATGGTCGTTCAGCACGCTCGAAGCTGGCATCTCGTGTGGGAGGCATCGATGATGGCTAGGGGTGGCTCCCATCTCTCATGTTGTCTATCGCCTCGAGGTCACAGCACGCTCCGAGACGGCAGACAACGCAGCTTGTTGTTAGCACATGGCGTCAACGATACTGCTCGACTTACACGGGATTGAAGGTATCTCAACGCTGCCTTACAGCAAGCTAGCAAGCTGAAGCTCCGGTGGTATGCATAAAGAGCCCACGATCAAACTGGTATGGATCCACAATGATCGACAGAGAGGACCTTTCACTTCAACACGTAGGCTCGCTGGATCAAGCAACCGCTCACCCAACATCTCTGCCCTCTGGAGCAGGCACTCACCCAACATTGTTTCCTTGACTCAAGATAGATCGGCCGTCCGTATGTCGAACCGTCGTCTATCAAGGACTATGGACCGGCGGGACTAGTCGTTGCCAAGTTCCGGCGGCAACAGCGGCGACGAGCTATACAACCAGACCTTCTGACTCCCGCACAGCTCTGAAAGGATGCTACATCGTTATCGGATGTGAGACCTGGTCGAGGATCTACGACGACCGTTTCCCTGTCATCACTGCCTACATTGAAATTGGAAGTAGCGGCCTCCAATACAGACTGTGGCCCGCACACAGGACACACGCTAAAGGAATAGGGAGGTTTTCATCCAGTATGCGCACTCCATTCTGTCGACGACTGACGCGGATTGGATCGGACTTGCCGCTCAGATTTTTCCGAGTGTACGACTGGGGATGTACCTCTCGCCTTTACAGAGAATCGTTCGTCCGGCAGATTGGTCCTTCCTCTCCCCGTCGCTCTAAACCTCCCACCCACATCATATGACTATGCATCCCTCAGACGCGAAGGCCGACACCCACGAGGCTCCGAATCCACACGTCTAGTGTACTCATCTATGACCGCAATCCGTCACTCCATCAACTCCTCAATTCAAGCTCGCTCCCATTCCCACACCATTTCCGCCTCGCAGAAACCTCGCTCCTAAAGCGAGCAATGTCTATCCTCTCACTCCTCCATCTATGTCAGTCATTCTTTGACACTATTCTCGTGACCCCTAGCATCACAACCATGAACGCAGCATCCCTGAGTCCCCTGCAGAGTGATCAAGATGAGTGAGGATGCATGTACACTCTCMAGCTCATCTGTTGAAATTCACGAAGCATATCTCATCACTGATCAGGGCATATCATACGTTGTCACAAAGCTATCATCAGACGACTCCTCCTCCAACCCCGCTGAAATTCATTTCCGTTGCTCTGGAATCACGAGTCATCAAAGTCACAGTTCCATTTCATATCCCTAGGTCTGTCTACCCTCTCGCCTGTTTCATTGCTAATATCTTCTCACCGACAAGTCGGACAGGGAGACAAGACTTGGACCCACTCCCACAGCAAGTGATGTCGCAAGAAACTCATCAGGGTTAAAGTCCTTCCCAACTCCGAAGGTTTCCCCAGAGATGAAGACGATACCTCCTAGTGGCACGACGCAGCTCATCAGACGACATCCTATCAGAATGGGATCAAGGTCCCCAGGCCATCCAGAGCAAGAAAACATATCCCTCACCTGCCGAAATAAGCAACACAGTCCATCATCAACAACCTCATTTACAACCAAACAGGAGTGGCTGCGCCAATGACCTTGCCCTCTTCGGTGACTCCCAACACCACCCTCGCAACCTCCGCTAATTTCTCCCCATCAAATTCCAACATCGACACAACTCCTTCCTCACTATCGCACATTGCAAGGTACTCTTTCCCGCCAAACTCCTCCCTCCAAGGCGCGGGCTCAATAGCATTCGCCAATCCCCCACTCGTAGGAGTCTCCCAGACATACACCGGAACTTCCGATTCCAACATGCCATCTTCCCGAAGCCGATACACCGCCACGAACCCTTTGGTGTCCTTGGACAATCCCCTCGTAGAAGCATAGAGATATTTCGGTTTCATAGGATCAGGTCCCGTAGAATATCTCACTTCATCCGCCCAGAAATCCCCACAATTCTTTCCTTGCGGAAGAATCTCCGCTCCTTGGACGTGCTGCAACTCCGTCACACCACCTTCTCCCAAGGAAAACACATCAACCATACTACTATGTTCCTGCAAAGAATATAGAATCTTCCCATTAGGATGCGGCCAAGTATGCCTCGGTCCATCATTTCCTCTAGGCGCCCTAAACTTCCCCCCAAATCGCAACGGGGGCTCCTGGATTCCTCGCTTGGAGTGCACTACCGCATACGTCCAAATACAATTCCTTCCGATATCTGCAATGTACAGTGCCTTTCCATCGGGAGAAAGATCGACACTATGCGCTCCATGCCGCAGACCGCCGAAATCTCCATGCGCCACTTCTCCGCGCTTTTCAGATTGGTTTTCGCCCTGATCGGTGACGAAATCCAGAGTCTGGACGAGGTTTCCTATGGAGCCGTCGGCTTCGAGACGGAATACTTCCCCCGAAGGACCGCCTGCTGAGAAGAGGTGGGTGGAGTTGGAGCAGACATAGCCGGAAAGAGAAGCGACCTGTTTGGCATTGAGGAATTGGATTTCTCGGGCTGAGGATTTGAGGTGGTAGGCTGCTACGGAGGGTTTGGTGGTCCAGGCTGTGCAGTAGAGGTATTCTTTTGTCGGGGAGAGGGAGAGCCAGGAGTGGCCTGCTATGGCGGGGTGGTCTTTGAGGAGTTTGAGAGTTGCGGAGGGTTGAGATGGGGAGGGAGGGGTGAATTGGAGGAGGTAGAGGGAGGGGTGGTTGAAGGTTCCTACTAGGAAGTCCATGGTCTCTTGATATATGTCTGTGATGTGATTGCGCCTATTCTAGGATTCCGCTCTCAGGACACGCTGATTACTTGGCAATGCTTTTGTTCATCAGGTGGATGTTGTTCAAAGTCAATGGTTGCAACACGTGAAGTGCCGAGGGGAAGAAAGAGGAAGCGGAATCGACCCCGCCAACAGAGACGTGGAATATATAGGTACGCGGGCCGGTACCAGCATCATCATGCTCCATGCCGTTCTACCCGAACAAAGTCGCAGTGCTGCAATACGAGCGAACGACTTCGGGGGAGGGAAAAGTATGTGTAGTACGTCGGTTGATAGAACACCCTCCCTCAAGTCTGTGAATCATGAGTTGTTCGGAAAGAAACGGCAATGTCAACGAATTGAGAGGGTAGAAAGTTGATCCGGACTGACAAGGGTGTCTCGCGATAGCATACCTACTGCACTTGGTTGATCGTTCTCGTCAGGAATAAGTTAGGCCTCTGTAGTTCTACATGATTCATATCCAGGACGAAGATTTGACTTGGGCAAGATGTCTTCCATTGTCTCACCCAGCTGGATTTGACAACCGATCTCAGTCTTCTTCCCATCACATCACATCACGTTACGATTAGATTAGATATAAGACACCTTGGTGCCCATTCCCACCGTCTCCTTCACTTTCACCCCTGCCCTCTCCAAACCTCTGCGAAGCTTGTCTCGCAGATCTCGCCTGGCGATCAAGAGTACAAAGGCTATGAGGAACATCAGAAACCTCGCCAACGCTAGATTGGTCCCGGCGACATTTCTCGAAGCCTGCAGGACCATCTGCTGCAAAGATCCAATAGCTGAAGAGGCACGGGAGATGAAATTTGTGGGAGGTTTGGAGACGCGGGTGGATTTCTTTTGAGACGAGGGCTTCGAGGAAGGTGGCGGAGGAGGAGGTTTCTGGGCCGAAGGTCGGGTGTTCGAAGACGAGGAGTTTGGTCGAGGGCGAGATTTCTCTGCCTGCTCGGCCTTTTTGCGCTCTTCCTCTCGTCGCTCCTGGTCTCGGAGTTTGGCTTCCWCGCGCTCCCTCTGCTCTTCCATCTCCCTCTCCCGCAGTTCCTCCAATTCCTTCTCACGCTGACTGAGACCTTCTTTCTCGTCCTTTAGCTGCGCCAGCGCGTGTAGGAATGCCTCCCGATGTTCATCGTCCAGCACATCGTTCATCTCGATGAACTCTTTTGCATAATCCCACTCCTCGTTCGCGGGCAAGACATGCAGGGTGTATAATTCCAGAATCTTCAGCCGAACTGTCAACTCCTTGGGTGAGGAGGTGCCCGTAGACATGGGCGTCGCAATCCCTTCCTGCATGAAAGCCAGCTGAGCAGCATCGGCAGAAGCGGAGAGATATGCCTCCAATCTCTGCTGATTTAGTTTCTGATCCTGCATGTGTGTGAGGAGGAGGGTGGACAGATTGAGGACGACATCGGGGTCGACATCTCCTTCAATCCCGGCATACCCATGCTGCACCACTTCCTCCCACACATTCCCTTCATTCGCTTTGGCGAGCAACTGTCTCCATTTCGCCGAACCGAATACATGCTTCCCTTCCTCGGCCCCCAAATCGATGATGGCGTTGATCAACGRGAGGTAAAAGACCCAGACCTTGGTGCGCGTGCCCTTGTTGCTCTGCGTGACGGGTGCCGGTCGGAAGTCGGAGGGAGATGTGGACTGGGGAGTGACGATGGGCTCGAGGATTTCCAGCGCTTCCTTGAAACGTTTGGTGAGGTAGAGTTGGGTGGCTTGTTTGTACGCCTTGACCGTCAGGCTGGCCGTCGATCGGGGGCGCGAGAGGGAGGACAGGGAGGTGGAGAGGTAGGCCGAGTCAGAGGATTCGCGATAATTGATCGTCTCGGTGGAGGCCATCTTATCCCTCCCAGGTGATGATGAGGGATTTGTGGTGGTGAAGGGCGAATTCCCGACGTGGTCAGCGCGTGGCTACGAAGGGGAAGTTGGTGTTGGTGTTGGCAGCTGTTGCGCTGGAATGCCGAGGCCGACGACGTGATGCGATGCCGATGATTCAAGCTTGAGATCCGATGCCAGCTCCTCCAATCACCCGCCAACCATCAATTTTGTAGGGCAATATTGACATGTAAAATCCCATCAAACAACATCATCATCACCAGCATTCTCACTCGTTTGTTTGCTGCATTTGCACCGCATCGTATCGGCGTCGAGCAACTCGGACTGTGAATTCTCCAATAAACGGGCATCCCTCCATTTCCCCAGCAATCATCGTGGCATTGCTCCCTCGACGCCACCTCTGCCATCATTTGCACCAGGCAAGTGTCCATATCAACCGCAGCAACGTTCATCATGTGCCGACGATAGCACGAGCCAGACTTGGACCTGTACAAACCCCATCACAATCACCGCACCTGCAGCATCAAGTTTGCTCTTTCTGGTCGCTGTCTCGCATTACCAACACCTTCTTCCCTGCAACAACAACAACAACACCATCTTCAAGCAATATCACCAACGACAATCCCATCAACATCACTCAGCCTTTCAAGAAGAGTAAGAAGAAGAAGTACCCCAAAATGGACGTCGACAAGACCTCGTTCTACCCGCTCCTGCTAGACATTCTCACCGACATCTCCACCGCCCACTTTGTCACCATTGACTTGGAATTGAGCGGCATTCCCACAAAGGATCCTGCGGCAGGAAAGCCCAACCTCCAACAACGCTATCTCGAAACAAAAGAAGCTGCCGAACGCTATCAAATCCTCCAAATCGGCCTCACGTGCGTGGAACAGGATGTGGAAAACCACCGGTACATTCTCAAACCCTACAACTTCGATCTCAGTCCGGTGATCGACGAGCGCGGGCTGGATGTGGAACGCATCTTCTCCTTTCAATCCGGCGCGGCTGAGTTCCTCCTCAAAGTCGGCTTTGATATTGGTCGTCCTTTCACACATGGAGTTCCATATCTCAACCATGCCGAAGCCAAGATCGCGAGAGACAAACACACCAAACGCAACGACAAGAACTCCATGGCAGACATCTTCATCAAGCCCACCGAAGTCGAAGCCCTCGCGTTCCTCTCCCGCGTCCGCAAAGAGATTGAAACCTGGCTAGCAAGCTCCAGCATGGACACGCCCGAATTCCTCAACATCAATCCTCTCATCCCGGCATCGGAGATTGGTGAGGTCACCGTTCCTTCCGAACTCTYTCGATTTGAGAAACGACTCGTCCATCAACTCGTCCGCGCCGAATTCCCCACCCTGACATCCATCTCCCGGAGAGGCTTCATCCAACTGCTCCACTTTGACAAATCTCGTGAAGATCGTATTGCTGAAGGCCGGAAACGCGATCTGGAGGAGCGCATTGCTCGGCAAAAGGGATTTCGCTGGATCATCGATGCTCTCTCGGGCCAAAATATCTCCAACTTGGATCTTCGCGAGTGCGCAAAGGACGCCGTGACTGGAGAGCACATATTCGTGGACCTGGACGATTACAACGCGCAGTTCCATCGTGCGGAACGACTGATGAGAGGGAGGCCGAAGGTGCTCGTGGGACACAACTGTTTCTTGGATTTGGTTTACGTCTACAGGACATTCATTGGTGAACTTCCGGATACTGTGGAGGGGTTTCAAAAGGCTTTGCATGAGTTGTGGCCGGTGATTGTCGATACGAAATACATGTCTACGCATAACTGCGGTGACATCAGTCCTGCGAGTTCGTTGGAGCAGATTGCAGATCAATTGTCGGCATTGAAGAAGCCGGTGGTGGAGACGGATGAGGATCACGGAAAGTATATGGATGTCCAGGCCTTTCACGAGGCTGGCTATGACAGCTTCTTGACGGCGCAGATTCTCGTCAGATTGAGTGCCAAGCTGGAGAAAGAAGGGGAGTATGTCGATGGTATCGAGGAGACATTTAACGGGCTCAAACTGGGGTTGGAAGATCAGGTAGATGGGCAGGATGAGGAAAGGGGCTTCACGCCCGATGATGAGAAGAAGGAGTGGAAGCCCAAGTCGAATGGCAAGACCAAGCGTTCCGGACCTGATCGCACGACTGTCAAGATGGAGGGAGGCATGCCGAGATTCGGCTCGGACTTCTGGAGAGTATATGGAAATCGATTGAGGGTGTTTGGTACCCAGGAGGGTGTTTGTGTCTTGGACGACGGAGCGCAGTCGCCTGGGAGTGAGGAAGATGGCGGTGTGGGACTTTAGGGAGGGTCGGCGTACGATATGGAGAGATTTCTCCTCCGGATGAGTCATGTAACGAGAGAGCAGCCTGTTTACGAGTGGAGGAGATTGAGTGGCAGGACATGATCAGTCGTTTGATCAGACTTGCGAGAACTGTCAAATGTAGGTGCGAGCGATCCTAGGCAGTTGCTTGCATTCATACCCCGCACTATCATTCGTCGTGCATTCAATCCTGTCGTTTCATCTACGTGACTTCTATGCGATGCCTTTTTCAACATCTTTGCTTGGTGGATGGATTGGTCGTGAGGTCGTCTATAGCTCCAGATCGCTCCATGCCCTCCCTCATTCACCTCCTTCCAGGCCTCTTGGGTCTCGCGAATCCAGAAGTACTGGGTTTCAACTCTGCAACACCCTCTTCCGCTGCATTCCCACCCACCAATTCCGCAGTAATGTCCTCCGGCTCCGTCCCTTCCAAGCTCCGCCCCACCACAATCCCCACATCCCTCTCGGCAAACGTCCTCGTCCAGCTTTTGCCCGTACTATACACCATCCTCTCTTTAATCTTCGATGCCGTCGGACACGTGTAGATAAACACCACCCCGTCCTCTCCCTCGGCCGAATAAAACGAATATCTCGGTTCCGCCGTCGAGAGTTTCCCCGCAACATCCTGCGCCTGAACACCACTTTCATCCCCCTCGAGAACCAACTTCTCATCTGGCAATCGAAATCCCAACTGCACCAATCTCCCCCTCTCCTCTTTCACACTCCGCAAAGCAGCAAGCACTCCCTCCCCGACATCCAATTCCACACCCGCGCCTTGCCTCACATACCCTTTCCTACCACCCGTGCCTCCACTCTCAATCATCTCCGCTTCCCGCACGCCTTGACTCCCTCTCTCCTCCTCCGTCAACGGCGCCTCCAATTTCTCATGTCTCTCATGCGCTTCCCATCCCTCCCGCGTCAATTCCTTGGCTTCCGTCACGAACAATGTCTCCCGAAACCTCTCGATGCCCAATTCTCGCACCAGCGTCAGGCGTGTGCTGGCGAAGAGCATCTTCTGCCGCACGGGCGCCGTGTTGGGGACATAGGTGACGGCGATGTATCCATCCGCGGCTTCGGGGGCGCTTTTGATGATGATGTAGAGGGTTGTGGTGGGGGTGAGGTGAGTGGACAATTGAGAGAGGTCGGACTTGAAGTCGGAGGCGGTCGAGGGGATGGTGAGATGGGGGATCAATGTCTCGTTGGAAATGCTGACGAGGAGGAAGCGTTGAGAGGGGTCGGAGACGAAGGCGTTGAATGTGGATTGTAGTTCTTGGGAGGCTGAGATTCCGGATTGCATGGTGGAGGGAGGGTTTGGGGGTGTGTTGTTGGGTGGGGGAGGCTTGTTGTTGTTGTCTTGTGAAAGTGAGATGGGAGCTTGGCGGGGCAACTTCTGCGTCCGCCGTCATCGGCCGGAGAAGACGTCTCAAATTCTCAATGGCAGGCTTCAAGGTTCACGGCACAACATCTCCTCTGCAGTGAGAGTCCTTCATGATGGCCGGAGCCACTTTCACAACAACTTTGCAACTGWTGACTTCGCGGGCCAAGTACGAATGCCAGGATGCTTGAGAGGACTTTGTGGGTCTGGCAAAGCTCCGATGCAAAGAGACAAACGATGTAGGTAAGTAAACTGCAAATAGCGATGGTAGCCATCTTGTAGAGTCGGAGTCCTACCATCGCCACGACGGGGCCGACATGTACAGGAACGACTCGCACTTGATGCCTCAATAATACCATCCATTCGTCTCGAACATGGTCAATCATAATCATGACCATCATGACTGCACTCGGCTACCATTAGGAATACACGCAGCCCACCACCATAGATGCACCAAGACCTGTTGGTTTACCAGATGATCTCCCCTGACGCTTCCAAACACTATCCCACCCAAGCTTGGTTTTGCTTTGCTTTTCTCGCCGAGTGTTGCTATGCAAGACAGAACAAATTGCCATCCGCCTCCCTTGCGAGAGATCTCTCCTCCCATCCGTTGAACACGCGACACGGATTAGTGCCGCTTTTGCCGACTCGCCCGTGCTCACATCACGGTTCCGGGACATACCTCCTCAGCGTGAGCGGAGCAGTCAGTCCAAGCCATGGCCCYCACCACAAATCTAGAAATCGGGGAAGAGAAGTCGATGCCTGTAGCAWGTTAGTCCAAGACTAGCATCTCAGTTAATCCTCAAGACACTCACGGATCGTCTCCCGTAGCCCCATACGCCTCCGTCTCCTCGGGATACTTGTCAAACAGACTTGCATCTCCCGCTCCACCCCTGACAGGCGGCACATATGGCGCATCGATGTCCTTCTTCTGCAATCGATCCCATGTCACCTCTGCGAACCACGCGTGTTGCATCACATCCCCACTCCCACCATGCAAGTTTCCCAATCGCTTGGTCAAATCGGCTGTGATGAGTTTCGAGAGGAGATCTTGTGCATCCGGGTGGATGTATGGTGGATACTTGACCCGGCCTTTTAAAATGTTCTCATAGATCTTGAGGGGGGAACCGGAGTCCCAGAATGGCGTGAACCCGGCCAACATTTCAAAGATCAAGATTCCAAGACTCCACCTGCGTGGCATTAGCATTCATCATCAATCTGCTCGCAGTACAACAACAATAACATACCAATCAACGCTCTTGTTGTATCCCTTACTGCTAACAACTTCAGGCGCTAGATAGTCCGGCGTTCCACACAATGTCCATGTGATGTCGGGAACTTCCTTGGCGAACCCAAAATCGGTGATTTTAATGTGTCCGTGGCGATCAAGGAGTAAGTTTTCAGGCTTCAAATCGCGGTAGATGATGTTCATGCTGTGCAGGTAGTCGAGGGCGAGGGTAACTTCAGCTGCATAGAACTTGGCCACGGGATTCGGGAAGCGCTGGAGCATGTCAGTTTTCATCCCTCCCTCACCATCGCAACACGACGCACCTGTGACTTTCGCAACAAGCTGAACAGCTCACCGCCTTCAATAAAGTCCATGACCATGTACAAGTTCTTGGAATCCTGCCACGTTCCCCAGAGCGTGATAAGAAATGGGTTTCTACACCTTTGCAACATCTTGCGCTCATCATTTGTGTGCTCCACTTGCTTCATTTTGTAGACCTGGGCCTTCTTCAAGACCTTAACAGCGTAGAAGCGCTGGTTGTGCTTGCTCTGCACGAGGTGTACACGTCCGAATGACCCCGTGCCAAGTGTTCTTGAAATGGTAAAGTCGGTCAGGGTGTATTTGCCTTTGGTCTCGCGTAGTGGGTTGACATTGGGCTTGCTGGGTGGGATGTTGAGTGTTGGAACACTGCCATTGCCATTGCTGTCGTTGCCGGCGTAGGCGGAGTCGTGCTGCGAGCCGTTGTAGCCTTGTTGTGGGGTTTGTTGGGGAGCGTGGCTTTGAGTCGGCTGCACGGTTTGGTAATTCTGGCCTTGCATGGCCTCGTCCTGTCTGCTTGAGGCAGATGGCGTGGTAGCGGAGGTCGTAATTGGCGGTTGCTGCTGCGGCTGTTGCTGTTGCTGCTGAGGTTGTTGTGCCACTTGTTGCGGCTGGGCTTGCGCTTGCTGAGGCTGCTGATGATACTGCTGCTGGTTGGTATCGCCTGACGGGCGCTGGCTGTCCGGAAAGAAGCCGCTGTTCTTGGAGAGCGTCTGAGAGATGGGAGAGCCAATCTTGCTGCTATTGCTGTCGACGGTGGGGGAGGTGGGCGAAGCGACCTCGTTGGACCCTTGCGAGTCCTTGGTACGCTTCTTCTTGAGGAACCCGAGCGACGGCATTAAACTTGACTCGTTGCCCTTGCGCTTCTGCGGCACGCAGGATTCTGGATGATTGGTGGGGTTGCCGGTAGAGGGCGCCAATGTATTCGTGCTCCGCGACTGCGGGGAGTGAGGTTGGGGTGGAATGTTGCCGGGATGTATGCGATTGGGTGGAAGCGGCGCAGCTTGGGGAAGACAAGCCTGGTAGATATGGACGAACAGGGCGGGGTCGGAGAATGCTCAGGTGTGAGTGTACCTAGGACGAATGGACTAGGACTGCGATTCGTGAGCGATCGGCGTCGGTGTCGTCGGCGGGAGGAGGGTTTGCAGGGCGACAATCCAGTAGGTAGGTGGTAATTAACGAGAGGCTTGAATGCGATGCGATGCGATGCTCGATGCGCAGGGAGGAGAAGGGCTTGGAGATGAGAGGTTGGGTTGGGGTGGGTTGGACAATGCCGGGAGCGGGCGAATGACCCCAGATAGCAACCCCAGATGGGTTCTAGTCTTGGGCTTGGGAGGCGTAGCTCGCCGCGTGGGCYGCAGGCAATTATACAGTACCTAAAACAATAGAGGTGCTGCTTGTGTGGGTAGGTGATGGTGCGTATGTTTTCAGGTAATGACCCGGTCGGTGAGGTTGTGCAATCAATAATGAGAGATGTCTTTGGCATGAGAAATTATGGAAGTCGAAACAATGCGGTCGTGACTGCTGCGTTGCTGGAAACAAAGCGATGCGATGCAAACGTGGAATGCTGCAGACAGAAAAGCCGAAGCTAGCTCCGACATGGATGGCGTCGACGTCAACGTCAACGGCTCGGGGTACAGGGAGACTTATTAGGTAGACTTCCAGGTTGTCTCAACACTACCCTTCCTCCAATGCAGATCTGAATGACTATCTGCGCATGGATCAATGGATTGAATGCCATGATGACTACCTGCAGCTGGATTAGGTGGAATTTCCACCGTGGCTTGGTTGGAAAACGATAGACCGGCGGGGGCACCCAGCCAAGCAGTCCGAAGTAGCTCTCCGGGCAGAACAAGCAGGTATATATGTAGACGTGTACATGTTTGATGGAAGAACGACGAAGACTGCTTGTGCAAGTTGTACAACCACGCCGCGTTGATGTTCTCCTTGCACGGCATGGAAGAGCGTCGTGTCAAATCAGGAATTCAAGCGTGTTGAACCCTCCTGTGGCTCTGCATATGTCATATCCAGTGTTGTGGTCATCATGCAGGTCCAATGAGCATCAACACATATCCATCGTAACGGTACACTTTGCGTTTCAAAAGCATGCGTAGGTGTAACAAGCAAGTTCTTCACAGCTTACTCTCTTGCTTCTTATCCCGATTTTCTTGGGCCTTTTTAATCAAAGCATACATGGTCTGCATCCGAGGCATATCAAACCCCTTCTCCCTGGCAAGACGAATGGGGTTACCAAGAATGACCTCCAGCTCCATCTTCGATCCCTTCTCCCAATCACCCCACATGCTTGGCCTGCTCCCACTGCTATTCCTCTTGGTTGAATTGAGAATCTTCTCCGCACTGGCAAGTGTCTTCGGTAGTGGTTTTCCCAACACCTTCGGCGCCGTCTCCAAAATCTCATTCATGATCGCGGCCAAATGTATGGACATTTCAGGATCCAGTGACATTTCCTGATTTCCGCATCCTCCGGAAAGAACAGAGCTTGGATTCATCGCAGCGTTAATGGCAATCTTGTGCCATCGCACAAACTGCAGACCTGCGTGATCGTAGGATTCCGCATCACCAATACCACCTTCTTTGAGTAATTTTACAATCTTCAGATTACTCGCCTCATGATTGGTATCATCGCCAGTGGGTCCTGAGCCTCCTTGGTCCAAGTGAGGCATGTAGGGTCCAATCGAGATTCTTGTCCAGCGGTTGTGATTGATGACTCCATGACTTGGTTGAGCAGCGCTGGCAACCGTCACGGCGCTCAATATGGATGCCTGGGGGAAGCGCTTCTTATAAGGTTCCTCAACACCCAGTCCATTCTGTATCAGTACGATGCTGGTGCCAGGTCCTACGAGTCCTTCCAAAAGTGCACTATCGTCGCTGACATCCGGGAGAGCTTTGGTCGCGACGATCAGGTAATCCCATTTCACGCCAGCGTTTCTGGCCTTGTCTGGAGAGCTAAAGACATATTCTGGTTTCCAGATCTGCTCTCCGTATTTCGGCGATGTGACCTTGAATCCGTTCGCTTGTACTGCGGAGAAGTTGGACCGGCAAAGTGCCGAGACTGCTGTGTTGGTTGCGCAAGCCAGTCGCGCGCCGTAGAATGCYCCAATCGCACCGGCGCCGACGATGAGAATGCGAGTGGGCATGTTGGTGGGATGTTGTTGTTCAAGAAGGAGAAAAAAGAAGAAGAGTTCAAGTTGTGTGATCAAAGGATCCTCGGCCATCCATCGGGTGATGGTGTATGTAAGCGAATGGCACTTTGTCCGCCTTGTCCGCCTTCACTCCGCGTTACCCTGCATTCCCTCTCATCATCACAGGAACATGGAAATCCATCGAGGTGACTTCTAATAATATCGCGTGTCCAAGGTTCAGTGAAGATAAGAGTTGCTGGCAAGCTACCATGTGGGCTGCAATTGAAGAGGTCGAAGGTTCCATCACAACGACGTTAGGATTGGACCGACATTATTATCCATTCGAGCGTCTTCGTCGACTCATCATAAGCAAATTCGGCAGATCTCTATTTTCCCTTGATCGAAACCTCAAGCGAGCCCAATCGTGAGCTGGCCGTCTTCTTAATCACTTTGGCCAGAGGCAAGAAGCGAAGCGGAAACTCCGATGTGGCTATGAAAACTGCCAAAGAGCTCACATCCAGCAACTTGGAAAGCCTGGACACGATTGTTTCCTCCCGGAGAAGCAAGAACAATACGACTCCGATACCGCACTGAAGCAATCGTCTGCATGCTACCGAGCGTCCACAAAACGTGGTTGAAGATCATAGTTCTCCTTGGCATATGGCCTTTATCCACATCTCTTGGTACTCCTTGACACACCCAACATGTAAGCACTGATAAGGCGTGGCGTCTTCGTAGCGAAGGCAGATACAGATTGGGAAGGGGCGGGCTCCCCAAGGTGCTCCTAATCTATACGGCTGTCACCGCCGGCGAGCATATGTGATGCCAAAGCTCTCTCTTGGCTGCGTGTTCTCTTATCACTCGGCATGCACTCCAGAAGCTACCGATGATGCGGTTCTTCATATATACTCAGAGCAGGGTTCATTCGACGATTTTCGAAAGACCCACGTTCAGAGGTGGGCTATCATTTCTTCTATTCGTGTTGACAGTCTTGAGCAATGTCGACTACGATCCTTTCCCAGGGTGTTGGGTAAGAATCTGCGGTTATACTCTGCGTATAAAGCTTACTGACAGATCCGTAGGTATGGCATGATCATCGGCATCTCCGCAGTCTTCGCCTTGTTCATGGTCCTACTTACATGGTGTCTGAAACGCTACAACAATGAGCAGCAGACTTCAGAGGCATTCACCACTGCTGGCCGTACACTGAAATCTGGTCTCGTTGCGTCTTCGGTCGTCAGTACTTGGACCTGGGCAGCAACTCTTCTACAATCGAGCGGCGTGGCTTATAGATAGTGGGTCAATCCCAAACCGCGAAACCACAGTGGACTGACTCACTATCCATTAGTGGTGTGTCTGGGCCATTCTGGTACGCAGCGGGCGCAACTGTACAGATCATCCTCTTCGCTACTCTTKCCATTGAGCTGAAGAGGAGAGCTCCGAACGCTCATACTTTCCTGGAAGTTGTAAAGGCCCGGTATGTGGAATCGGAGACAGAGAGCATGTCGTTGTTCAAATTCTGGGTGGGAACAATACTGACGCTTCATGCAGATATGGGGGTGCTACACATGGAGTCTTCATCGTTTTCTGCTGCTTTACAAACATTCTCGTCACTGCCATGCTGCTCACAGGAGGCGCCGCCGTGATCGAGAACCTAACTGGAGTTCCCACGGTTGCGACTGTATTTCTCTTTCCCTTGGGAATCGTGGTCTTCACATTGTTCGGCGGCATCAAAGCGACATTCATCACGGACTATGTGAATGCTTTGGTCATCATAATAATAATTGCAAGTTCAGTTCCTTCGATCTGAAAGCCAGCTAACACCTCTCCCTCCAGTTCATCTTCGCCTTTGTTATCTACACGACGAATGCCATCCTTGGGTCTCCTCGTCGTCTGTGGGAGATCTTGGGGGAAATCGCTGCTGAACGTCCTCTTGAGGGTAATGCCGGCGGGTCATATCTTACCATGCGATCCCGTGGAGGCGGCGAGTTCTTCGTCATCAACATCATCGGTAGAGTAAGCCTCTTACTCGTTGCTGTTGAGATCTGACAAGCTTGCAGGTAACTTTGGGACTGTCTTTCTTGACAACGGTTACTACAACAAAGCGATCGCTGCATCCCCTGTCGATGCTCTTCCAGGCTATGTGATGGGTGGATTGTCTTGGTTTGCAGTACCTTGGCTCACAGCGACTTCGATGGGATTGGCCGGTCTGGCGCTAGAGAGATACGATGTATGGCCTACATTTCCTGCTCGAATGTCAAGCGCGGATGTTACAGCCGGACTGGTTCTTCCAAACACAGCGGTTGCTATACTCGGCAAGGGCGGCGCCATAGCGACCCTTTTACTTGCTGTGAGTACATATTGGCGGCACCAAGTGAGACCGCCAGGCTAACATGAAGCAATACAGTTCATGGCCATAATGAGCACATACTCTTCCGAGCTTATTTCGATCTCGTCCATCGCCACATACGATGTCTATAAGATGTACTTCCGGCCCTCGGCTCCTGGCAAGCAACTCATGCGAGTCAACTATGTCAGCATGAGCCTCTTCGCCTTACTAATGGGAGCCTTCTCAACCATGCTCTATTGTAAGTTATACGTTCACTACTTGAATGATACCCACTCATACGTTCTAGACATTGGCGTCAGTATGGGCTACCTCTACCTCCTAATGGGAGTCATCATATCTCCTGCCGTAATCCCCGCCACACTCACACTTCTCTGGAGCGACCAATCCTGGGCAGCAGCAACATTCGCTCCACCACTCGGATTCATCTGCTCCATCATTAGCTGGCTCGTAACCACTCAAGCAGTATACGGGGAGCTAAGCGTAGAGACAACGGGTGCCAACACACCGATGTTGGTAGGCAATATCGTCGCCCTACTCTCACCACTACTATTCATTCCCATCCTCACATATGTTCCACCCTTCAAACCGCAAAAGTACGACTGGCAATCCATGCTCAACATCCGCGTTGCCGATGATCGAGATGTCGTTGTGGGCGATCCTGAGCGGTTGCCACAGGAGCCGCTTGTCATTACCACATCTAATGCCGAAGAGAATGATAAACTGGACAAATCAGCAAAGACGGCGAGATGGCTTTGTTTGTCGCTGACATTGTCACTTCTCGTAYTATGGCCAATGCCGCTTTTCGGGACAGGGTACGTGTTCAGCAGCAGGTTCTTTACTGGATGGGTGGTTGTCGGGATTTTATGGCTGTTCATCTCGTGCATTATGGTGGTGTTCCTGCCGGTATATGAGTCGAGGGGTACCATTAGCAGGACTGCGAGGGCGATTTGTCAGGATTTGATCGGGCTTGCAGGGAAGACAAGCAAGACTGAGGTCACTCATGGGGAGAGGGGTGGAGGGTCAGGAACTTCGACTCCTGCTGAAACTGCGGTTGAGGTGGAAGAGAAGAAGTCATGATTTTCTCGTACGTCTGCTACATAGCGCTTGCATGATTTCGCCACTACGACCAAGCAATGACTGTTTCTCAGCTTTTGGTTTACCATGAGAGATCCAGTGTCTCATGGAGTTCAAAGTATGAAAGGTACCACTTTCTAGGATCGACATAGCTACTGCTACATGAAAAGGACCAAATTGACATGCAGTGTAATCCCTGAGTGATACCGGAGTATCCTATGAGATATTCGTCACTACATCAACCCTAACCCTATTAAGAATTATACCGCACACCAATTGCGCTCCAGCTCGATGCTGCCCGGCCTCGCTCATCGCTTTTTACGAGAACTCCTCCCACGAGGCTGGAAGCATCCACCGCCTCCTCTCTGCGATGGGTCCCCGCGAGTAACAGCATATGTCCTATACGTCAAATCAGTTACCGTATTAGGCGGACCAAGAATCCAGCCGTCGAATCCATTGCCTTGATTCACATCGCTTCCATCGCCTGAAGCAGTGCAATCCAAGGGACAAGTCCCATCTGGACCTTGAGAAATACTACACGAAAGAGGTACGGTGGTGAGGGATCCCTTGCCGCCGATGCGGACGCTGTAATCTGGATCTTCGCCTTCGGCAGCTGTAATCTCAAACGCATCGCCCTCGGAGCCTTCGAGGGCAGTCAGGCTTTTATCGGCGTTGAGGGCGAAGAGTAAGGCGTTTGTAGTCTCGTCTTCGAAACTCAGCCGGCCAAGGCCACTTCGGACCTGTTTCGGGCCGCCTATGACACATTCTTCCATGGCGTAGCCTCCTCGGTCGTTTGCTATCAGGAATGTGGGTTCCGGGGGGAAGACAAAGGTCGTAGAGGCAGTTCCCATAACGGTGGTGGCAGTCTACGATACAGGACTTAGTCGGTAAGTAGTGCTGAACGGGCTTGGTTGTACGTACCCGAATAGTTTTCGTCGTGGTCTTCTTGTCGGAGATAGTCTTGGTCACCGTCGTCGTGCTCGGTTTGATCGAGTAGCACCTGCAAGCAGCTGAGATAGCCGAGCGGTCTTTCTGGGAGTCAAGACATGATGGCTTGTAACCTGCAGGAGAACCACGTCGTGCGACTGGGGTGGCATCAACATCAGAAAGTGATCCTTCGCCATCAGAAACGTCTCCTGAATCATCTTCATCGACCGGAGCCATTGTGATAACCGGGGGTGCACAACTCGTCATGGTGCTCGTTACCGCTTTGGGTGTGCTTGTAATCGTGCCCGTGACCTGGGTGATTGTGTTGGTTTTTGTAGAGCAGACTGTCTTCGTTACAGTCCTGGTGGCCTTTGGAATGGCTGGAAGAGTTGTTAGCTACATGAGGTATGTTTCTAGATTGAGAGCACTTACAAAGGTAAGACGAGCAGTATGCCATCACAGAGTCCTTTTGCTTGGAGCATTTCTTGGTGTTTGAAGAGCAGAAGTATGAAGGCGGGCTAWTGGTTCTCGCATCAAGTGCAGCTGCCGGTGCATTGACAGCCGCGCTTCCTACACCAGCACCGACAACTGTAGCAAGGAGAAGTGTACTGAACATGACGTCCAAGGGGAGAAATGGCTTGAAATGTGTGCAGTACTTACACTGTCATGAGGCAGAGCGCCTTTCTATATGCATCCCATCCCTGGACGTGTACTCGCAATCTAATCAGGCCATCCCCTTCGGCCAGAACGAGCATTTGTCTCTCGAAGCGAAAACGGGCTGTACATGATTCGGCATTGCAGTTGGAGAACGAAAGTCAAGGCGAAGTGGCTGAAGTCCAGAAGCCACGTGCCAGGCCGATTTCAGCCTCAAGTGCTTGGCTTCGCATCTAGCCCCTGTCTGCATGTCCGCCTGCGTCTTATGCGGCGTACAAAAGCAGACGGCCCTATAATTCTGATTCAGGATGCTGCGATTCATCTCACACCTTCTTCAAGCGCCATTGTCGAAAGATGCCAGACTTTGGGTTGCCTGGCGAACCTCGCCATTCCCACCGTGCGGGCGATGAAGTTCGCCTTCTACGCATTGTCGAGACATTGAACATGCAGCACGTTCGACAGCCCTTCTGCGTTGTATCGAAAAAAGATGGACCGATCGCTGGTCCATCGGGCGATGGCAAGCAGAGAAAACAGACAGGTCTCCAAAAGAGAAGGTGATGATCAGCAAAGGAAAAGTCACGGGAAGCGTTTCGAATTCGTGATTCCTGAGGCATGACATCATTGCCTGTCAACGCGTCRCTTACTTAAGTACATGTATGCCCATTGCTCGACTTGAGGTACATGTATGGACGTCTTGTTCCGCATTTCCAATTCCTCTTTTTCCCTTCGCTCTTGTCATATCGCGTGAAACTCATCACAATGCCTCCTAAGAAGAATCACAAGACTGTTGGCCCAAAAATCGTTGAAACACCGGCCCCGAATGCACTTACAGACAAAGATCCCAATGCCAACACCGCCCCGAAAGCAGCTGCCTCWCCAAAAGATAAAAGTGAGAGCTTCGTCACGAAATTCATCGTTCCTCGTTGCTCACCACATTCCAGAATCCCCAAAGCAGAGCAAATCCAGCAAGAAAGATGAATCCACTCCAACAACCGCGGCCTCACTCTCTTCAATTCACCTAGATGGCGAAGAGAACGAAGAAGTGCCCATCTTCGCCACAGCAGACGATGTCCGCAAACAAGTCAACGCTCACATACCTTCGACCACTAAGGCCGCTTTCGCGCGGGAGCTCACCGAACTCCTCCCAACTTCCAAAGTCACAACTCGTAATCTCGATGCCCTCTTAAAGATGAAGGGTCCTCTTGCCGGAGCACACAACATTGCTTTCTATGCCGCTTACGTATTCTTCGAGAAGATTCGCCTAAGAGACGGCAAGAAGAAGAGTGTGAAGCGACAGAAAATGGAGGAGCTGTATCCTGGTGGAAAGAGGAAGCTGGGAACGAATGAGATTGAGAAACCCGGGGTGCCGAGGGAGGGAAGTCATAATATGCATGCGATTTGTTTCCAGGGAGAAAAGCCTGTGCTGGACCAATATGGCAAGGGCCATATCAAGGGACATCCGAACGGAAGGAAGGGGATGTTTAGTAAAAAGGTCAAATGATGTGTTTGTGGTACCGAATACTTCCAAGTTCTGGCTGAATTTTGTATCAGTAGACGATGATGATGATAATGATGCGAATCAAGACTTTTCCATGCAAGACGACGAACCTTATGATCCTCTTTCGCCAGCTCCCATGTCAAAGGGCAGTCCACCGCCAGCGTCCACGCCAGCGCCAGAGGAATCTGCCGTCTCCAAGGTGCATCCTCCAAAAGATGAAACCGAATCAACCAAAATATACGCGACATGCGACGACATCCGCATTGCTATCAACTCTCATCTGAAGACGACGGGAACCAGTAAAGTGGCTTTCGCAAGTCATCTCGAGAAGATGCTCCCCAAATCCAAGGTCCCGACTCACGCACTGTACCCGCTTCATGGTTGTTGAGGGCCACAAGTCGCGGGACACAACACTGCCTTTTATGCTGCTTGTGTGTTCTTCGAAAAGGTGAGGATTCAGCAAGGAGCGGAGCAATGCGAGAAGAGGATGGAGATGGAAGGAATTTGGGAAAGGAAAGAATATAGGAGGAAGAATGGGAATGACATGAAGCTGTTGTTGCCGCAGGGAATGAACTGGTCGATAGATGATTATGGCAGGGTGGAGACCATAGTGGAGGATGGGAGAGTGAGAAGTGTGGATGCACCGCCTCACGGAGTGGAAGTCCTGCGGTCGAAWGGAACGACAAAAATCATGAGGTCACTCGGTATTCGGGATGTTGGCTATATGATTCAGTTCGTCGTCTAATGTGTTGTGGAGCGTTCACCTGCGTCGCGTCTTCTTCGTTGTTGTTCCTTTCCATGCATTCACGAACTGGATCTTTTCCTCCACGCCTAATCCAAGCGTCTTTGCTCTCCCCAACCTCGAGAGCGATTCGGTCACAATCTGGAGCGATTTGAGCTCTGCAGCAGTGAGATCGTCGGAGTCGGCGGTTCCATCACTGTCGGCACCATTCTGCGTTGGCGACGGTTGAAGGCTGTCGAAGAAGTTGGTATCGTAGCTGTTGCGTGACTTGGCACGACTCCGGCCCTCCCGGCTGGCGGACTCTGATGAGGCGTGCGTTTGTTGCGCCAAGGTCAAGGGAAGGCCTATACGGACACGGATGCAGTGGGTAGAGCGCGAGGTCAGACGCCAAAGAAAGCGTACTGCTTCAAACCAGCCCGGGRTTGGTGTGACAACGTCTGCTGCATCGTATCTGAGGGAGATGGGGAAGATGCTGGTGCCCTTTGAGGCAGAGAGGAGAGAGGGTGATAAACGGAGGACGCCACGCCCATTACTGGTCGTCGCTTCCGGGAAGACAACAATTACTCTGCTTGGGTTCTGAGCGACGAGCGTGGAGAGCTCTACTGTCTGATCTGGTGCTGGGGACATGGTGAAAAAAGCGGCCAGTGCACCTTCCAGAGATAGTGGTCGCACGGAGCGCGAGCCGGCGTAACTCTGTGTGAAGATCGGATCGAAAATGGCAGCAAGATAGATGACATCCAAGGGAGATGTGCAAGACGATGCAATGATGGTCCCTGGACCAGGAAGACGCCCGGACTTGCCGAGAGATCTGTTTGTCCATTAGCATACCGAATGAAGGACAATGATCGGCCTGAACGAACCCTCGTTGTACGCCATCGACCCTAATATCAACAAACCACACGCCGGGTATACCTAGTATACACCAGAGATTCGCTTTTCGGAAGAGTCCTCCAGCTGGAGTCCATTGAATGAGAAGAAGCCAAACGGTCCRAGCGAAGATGAGAAGGGGGAGTCTCAGGAAGAAAAGGAACTGCAGTGGGTTGTCAATATCTGTCCGCTAGGCCCGATCAAAGCATGCATACCACGTGATAGGGTCCCAATAGCGGATTACTGGCGGGCGGAGCAATAGGGAAGAAAGGTGCAACGCCGGAGCCTAGGAGCGACAGTCAGCGATGTGGAATGCGAGCTAATCGTTGGTGGAAGAGCATGCCTTTGTCTCGATACTGTCCGTATTTCTCCATGGCTGGGAGGATATTTTGCTACAAGTATCAAAGTAGCGGACAAGTGATCCAAGGTAGATTCCGGTCAGATCAGGTCCAAGTCWGCGCCGCTCAACGTAACCACATCTGCGCCACGGGGTGAGCAAAGATGGACCTGAGCGCTCCGGCGGTCTGGCTTTCAGATGTCAGATTCGATGCCTGTGCGGATCCCCACCCTGCAGTAGCTGTGCATACGCTGTGATGAGGTAGGGGTGCTGTGAAATTGTGGGAATGCGAGTGCGAGCGCGGTCGGATTCAGTAGAGTGGAGCTGCGTTTGCTCGGAGTTTGCATGTGATTGATGAAGAAACCTACGTAGGGAAGGGTCCGAGTCCCAGAACTCCGGCCTTTACCGCCGCGGTCGGATCGGCCCGGTCGCTGTCAAGCGAGAGCGCGATCGTAAACATTGACCCAACTCAGGTCATCGCTTGGAACTTGAGTCGTCCTTAGCTGCAACTCGATATCCTATCAACAAGACCCGTCGACGAGAATGATTTGCGTCTTTCTCCTCGTGCCCGTCTGACGTCCACCCCCACCTCCTCTTCCGCACTGGCAAGACACCATTCGCGCCCCAACCACGAACATGGAGCGTCCGCCGTCCCAGGTGGAGAATGCGCGACCATCGGGTCTCAAGCAGCCTTCGAGGCTCCMGGCATTGGCTAGCGGCCGCACGACGCTCCAAGAAACCACCTCGAGCGACGTGAATGTCCGCGCAGGAAATGGGGTGGGTAGTATGGGACCGCCGGGCAGCTACGCCAATGGTTTGAACAAGCACAAGCTTAATAACCGTGCGTACATGCGCTGATCAGAGCATTGGGCGTTGAGACTGATGATTATACAACTAGCACCCGAACCACCTACGAAGCGTAAGACACTGGTAGATCGCGCTGGCGAGGCTCCCAGCTCCTCGCGTACGGGAATTCCCAACAAGCCTTCGTTCAGCAGCTCTACCGCAGGATTCGGCGTCCGACCAACCTCGATCTACCAGCAATCGAATCGCACCAATGGCAATGTGGCGAGTGCAAGCTCTATCGGCGGCATGCGTCCCAGCAGCAGCAAGCAGGCCAATGCCTTTCGCCAGACGGCGCCCACATCCAATCGTCCACCCAGCGCAGCKAATATCCCCCTCCCAGAATACGACCAGGAATCAGATGGAGAGCTCGGCGTCTCGGGCAATCGTAAAGGTACACCCATTTTATCTTTTAATCCCCTCAAGAACATCAGAATCCGCAAGACACGCACCACACACCCCGAATCACAAGGCGATAACCGCCAATCTCCCCAGAAATTGCCATGTCGTGCTGCAGGCGACGTCAGATCTCAACATTCTGGCTCGTATTCGGGCAGCAGCGGCAATGCTTCCAACAACAGCTCACGTGTCAATTCATCATCGTCCACCTCTTCGGCACCACCACCAGCACAACAAGACTCAAATTCAGGAGGCCCTGTTGGTGCCAGGCAAACCTCCCGTAATGTATCTCTCATTGCAGCCTTCGAAGGGCTGTCTCTCACTCCCCCACGCAAAACCTCGGCCAGACACCGACCTTCTCTTGAACGCATCAATGAGGAGCCGTCTCCGTCCAAGATTCCCAAGTTTTCTTGTCAATCATCACTTCGCACCACCCAATCTGCACAGACACTTCGCACGCCTTCGCCTGTGAAGAAGAAAGCTTCTTTGACAGGCCTCCGTACACCGCAGACATCTGTGAAGCACACAGGTATGCCACAATTTTTGACGAAAGAAGCGCTTACACCAGTCGCAGTATGGGACGTGAACGGCCGCCTTGGCGATATGGAGAGCAGATGGGAGCAGCTGCAAGCCCAAATGCAAATCGCCGCCGACACGAAATCCGCCACCGAGGAAAGAATCGCCCTGTACAAGAGTCAAGTTGAGGAACTCCGCGAGGAGAATCGCTTACTCGCAACCGAAAAGAAGACGATCACGACCGATCTTGAGCGCGCACGAAACGAGCTGCACACCACGTCGACCGACCTACGACAGGCACGAAGAGACCAGGAACGAGAGGTTCACGATTTGGAAAGAAAGCATGAGCGTGAGCTCGCTGAATTAGAGATGAAACGGGAAAAGGAGCAGCAGCGAACTGAAATATCCCGAGAAAAGGACGCGAATCGATTCGCAAAAGAGATGGAAGAGGCGAGGAAAGCATGGAGAGAG